TTAAAATGATATGCTGAAAAAATCATAGGATGTTTTTATTATCCTACACTTACAAGGAGTGTACTAATTGTATAATATGATTGCAAAATGAATTTCATGCCAAATAGAGTCATTTTGGCGGGAAATCAACAAGCGGAGGATACCGTAACAATATCCTCCGCACATTGGGTTTTCCGGAGTATTATCGTCACGATATCCTCCGCGGTTTTTCCGGAGTATATCGTGGCGATATGCTCCGGTTATTCATTTTGCCAATAGGTATCAAATGTATTTTTCAATGTTATTATACATTTAGTACACTAAGTGTAGGATAATTCAATTTTATCATATCTCTCAAGGCCACGCTTCTAACACGAGCTCATTGCTCGCGATGCCAGCGGGGCCTGGATAGTCCCCGTGATATATAACCATTTTTATAATATAACATTTAGATAGCTGGCCTTTTTTCGGAAGTGAAAAAGGCAATAATGAACAAGAGGAAACGAGAGAGAAGAAATAAAGGTTTTGCATTACATACAATTTACATCACAATATTTTAGTTTGAGGCCCATCCTGCATGCTTATATGCACTAGTTCTTATTACATACAAACATGCTATCCTCTTGCTTGTTTCTATGTTGCATGGTTTACATTCTAATTTGCTTATAAATACAGATTTGCGATAGACGGACCTGATTTTACCTATGAGTTGATTCTTGCCTTTTGAATTTATTTTATAAAATAAAAGATGTCGGCATCATGGGCATTTGTAAACGTAATTTTCCATTCACTTTTTCTTTAACAATGTTTTTTCATCAGCCCAGATACTCTCTATTTGGGTAAAAATAATAAAAAATTGTGTATAAGAATCATTCTCTGTTACACACTATTTGCATTTGAGAACTATACATGGGGTAATATATTTTCCATTACCATTCTCGCGCAAACATACTGGCCAGTAAATATTATTCGGAAAACATAACGGAGACAAAGTTTAGATTGCGATACTACTGGAAGTCAATTTTCATGATGACTTTTTCCGACAAGCGAACGGTACTATTTGTGATTTATTTGACAAACTTTAAATTCCACCCATGCATGGGCGTAGATATGGGGTACGATGGATGCAAACCCAAAATATCGCACCCCCTTGACAATGGATGGCTACGCCCTGCCATGTATGGCGTAACAACAGTAAAAGTGCGAGGGAATAAGTCAGGGAACTCAGAGGAGGATTTAGGCAACGAGCCAGGGGCGAAGCCAGGAACAGCCAGAGGGAGGAGCCAAACAATACCGGATTTAAGATTATTAAAAACTTTGAACGCTTCGCGATTATGCCTGTCATTGTTGCGCCAGGTAGCCCGGGGGAGGAGCTAAACACTACCGCGTGGAAAAATATGAAAGATTTGGAACGCTTCACGATTATGCGTGTCATCCTTGTAGTCCATGGTATGAAATCTCTAGGACGTCTAATAATTTTTAATAAAGGAGTTGGTAGCACACTATACAGTCAAGCCAAGTAACTAAGTCAACATTCGAAAATAAAAATCTCAAAAATCGTACATCTTTGATTTCCAAGATAAGTTGTGAGGTGGTTATTAAGATGATAATACATCTTTTAACGTATTAATTTTGAGTACATCTTGAATCCATTCTCAACAAAGCGTTGTCGAAATAAGGATTCGAAATATTTGAGTTCGGGATGATAAAAGTACGTTAAGATATACCGCTCCTTAACAAACTCCTTTGGGAACAAGATATAGAATCAAATGCATATTCTTCTTATTTACTCCCTGACACATGCCAACGAATGTTACATAAGTTAATATCTCCGTTTTAAATAATTTTGTAAACGTTGTTCTCTACAGGTGCCATTTTTTATAATTGAAAAACAAAATTGAACATTTTGCATTTCTAAATTGAAAAGTTTCTTGGAATACAACTTAACTGTTAACGATTTAAGTCATTAATAATATTTCCCTCAGTGATCCCATGCTAAATAGACAGTAACTAGGTTATTATTTTGTGTTCAACCTTGTTTTCATGACTTTTAAACATGAGTCGACAATTATGTAGGAAACAATTCCAAATGTAAGCGTGTCAACTCCTGTTTTTGCACAAAATTTAGCCTTTTGTAAAGATAGATCGCCAAAATCTGCATGTACCTCTCAATGAGGCGACACGTTTTTAAATTTATAGATGCTGAGCTATAAACTCAAACAAAATTTCAAACCACCCGCTATTATTTTGATTACACTAGACGAAATTTCCACTCCCGGGGAGCACTGTCGTAACACTTTGAAGGAGGATTCTTGAAAAGTCGTTCGAATTTTCACAAAAGGTTTCACGCAATTTTATTGCTTTGTTTAAGCCTCAACTAAAATCATACTCAAATCCGATACCATAATATAAATTAAAATGAAACATTAAACTCAGGTCAGGTTATATGATAAACCGTTTCGAGAATTGATGATTTGAGTTAACTGTGTATATTTAAATAAATGTAAGTCGGCATGTATTCGACAGTTAATGTAGACACATGATGTATGCATCCACGTGTGACTTAAATATCGATTCATGACTATCATTTTTGGCTTTCAAAAATTAAGTTGGAAGTTACAGTGGTTGGAGATTAACGAAAACGTCAATCACATCCGAATATCCGAACGACGTCAAGTATTAACAATACCCTTTCTGTGCATCTCGAACAAGGCAAGGTTCTGTGATCCAGCAATGTGCATTCCGAAAGAAAAAATTCACAAATATCAACAAATTTCATCGAGTTGGATATTACATTCGAAATCACAACTTTCGAAATGTTTGTTTTAAACAAGAATTGTAAGAACTTAAAACATGTTGTTAGTTTTTCAAACCGCATATCCTCATTTACGTTCTTTGACAAGGATGAATTCATTAGAAAACATGGATTTTCTTGATTATTCTTCAAAACTACCCTTGAAATATAAGTATGTGGGATATTACAGTGTAAATTGACACGCATTTGTTTCCTCCATATCATGAGAAAATAAATGCAGTACCATCTTTCAATATTTGGAAACAAAAAGTTCATTCTGTATGTAAACAAGAAAAAATACATTTATGGTTGATTCATAATGAAAAATTACAAATAACATAAATCTTTTTAAGTAGGGGTATACAGGGACATAGTGGAAATTCAGAAATTTAGGCCATATCCCAAAGACTGCTTCACCAATATGTAACAGAACATCAAATTTATCATTTACACGTTTGCTGATAGGTTTATTGAAAATAATTAAACAGAGATTTACTTCAATTGTGGCACCATTCTTAGTTAATACTGATGAACATACAAATATCGAATGTTGACTAAGTTACTTGGCTTGACCGTATAGCGCAGCGATATTTGACCTTACATTAACATACCTACATATGTCCCCTAATAATTTTTATCATAACCGTTCAATATACGTCCGGCTTTTAGGCTGAATTATGTCTGCCATTAACAGAGGTAAAAAAATCACCAAAAAATAAAATCCCAATTTTTCACAATTTGGAGTACACGGTGCAACAAAAATATTATAAAAAATGATTTTAAATATATGATTTAGGTTTCTAAGCTATAAGTTTGAGGTTACTTTTCTTATCAATATCCAAAAATATGTAATCAGTGTATCGACGTTTTGTATTGTTTCTCAGGTATTAATAAGATAAATGCTACAAATGAATTACTTTTATATTGGATTGACAAATGTTTAGATTATGCTAGTTTTTCACAAAAGGGGTCTCAAGACGTTTTGAGATATATAGGGGTTATGCACTGGGAGGTTTTGGATATTCCATGTATCCAAACCGACCGCGCATAACTGGTGTATCTCATACTTGAGTGGGTTTAGGGTAGATATAACCTTTTCCACCTTTTTCAAATGACAAGATATTTATATTTAACATTTTGGTAATATCCTTTTTGTTCAATACAATGAAATTGTAACATTTAAACTTAAAAAAATTAAATTATAAAATTAAAAATTAAAACTTTTGATATTTAAACTTTTGAAAAATTCCCGGGAGCGGGATGGATATATTATATCTGCCCGCATTTGGCCTGGAGCGGGACATATGCAATATATCCTGCCCGCTCCTCAGATACGATATATATTCCCGAGTGATATCTACCCCAAACCCACTCAAGTATGAGATACAGAGCGGTATTTAATGGGAGGTTTTTGATATAGGGTATATCTGAGGGAAATACAGTATATATACCCGAGGGACCGTTGGGACCGAGGGTTGATATATTGTATTTACCAAGGGATATATATACTGAATCAAAAAACGAGCGTATATATGATTGTTGATATAACTATTTTTAACTTAAAGCTGACTTGAGGAGCATGTCTTATAGAGTTTTACTAGAATTCTTACCAGAATCTTCCAAGTCCTCAGTAATTTCAGTTAAGCATTTGGTTTTTATCAATACTAGATAGATAGTTTTGACACCAAAACCTAAGAACCTAGCTTTGACAATTCGACTTTGTAACGCTTGCAAAAACGTTTTCTAGCAAAAAATCATTCTTTTAAGTGAATTTTTGTACAAAATATTTTGCAATGTCTGAAAATATTTTAAGCACACGCGCGACTCAATGGATTGTGAATGGTTTAAGCCACTAATGTCATGTATACCGCACTCATTCAAAATCTGGAGTTGGAAACAAGATATTTGTTGTTAAATCATTGTATAATTCATTGAACCCTGGGATTGGATCCTTTAACATAATTATTATTGACCATTGGTAGCTATAAAAATGATAAAAACGCTAGTAAGACAGCTAAGATGTGTTGCAAATACAGTCTTTCGATAACTTCATAAGAGGTTGAGGTTAAAGGTGATGGTACAATATCTTCAAAAAGAACCATGTCCACTCTGTCATAAACATTGGGTGTAGATTTACAACAGAGTTAATCATTGATTTAAGAATACTTCATGTGTTCTCGATATCAGAAGAAGTAAAAAACAAAGCTATTGTATTTAGAGATACCATCCACTCGTAGGAGGCTAGGATAAGATTTTTTGTTTCATAGTTCATATCACTATTGACTCACAGTTATCATATACATGTAACCTAGATGTTGATGTGTTTATGATAGTAAGTGGACATCTCAGGACTTGGATAATCATTGGACATTCATAATGTCGGCCAAAGGTGAGTAAACACAATGTAAATGATTATTTCTGCTTGTTGGGTATAAACACGACGCCCTTCTTTGCTATGTTGTGCTTCCAATGCCCCATTTAGTTTTATAAGCGTTTCATAATGATTAGAAAGACAACTGCTTATGCAGGTCAAAAGGTCAAACCTTGCTAAAATCGTTCAGAAAGTTTTTGGTTGAAATTTATTCTTTGAGTAACAGTAAAAAGTCTTTAGCAATATCTAAGCACAAGACTCGATGTATTGTGGATGATTGAATACACTGGTGCTATGATAACCTTTAAATTCGGAGTGATATGATAGAAGTACGTTAAAATATATTGTTTCCACACTCATTTATATTGTGATACAAGCCACATTGTCTAAAATTCAGGGAGTCCTGATCTTATCCTATTATTTCAGCCTGGCCATAGGAAAACCGGTCTTATCACAAAAATTAGAACTGTGCTACAGAGCCAAAAATGTGCCCAAGATTAGGAGGAAAATGTGTTAAATTCAAATCCGACTTTTTGGTCTATATATGCAAGGAAAAATTGTTAAGACATAAGCCATGGGTCATTTGAAAGGTCTCTTTGTGCTTTTTAAGATAAACAGAAAAATCAGAATATTGAAAAAATCTGTGATAAGACCCCTTTTCCTGTGGCCTGGCTCATTTATCACCCCCAGGGAGTTGGTTTCATCATTCTCATTATTAGTCTTATATAGTTGTCACGGGAATAATTTACTGAATTGTCCATATAAATTTAACCCAATGCCATATTATTCTAACCACATTCAATATAATCAAATTATTCAGCATTATTACACTTTTAAAAACCAATACAATATTATCACATTCAATTCAACACATATTCACATATTATTTCAGTTTGCAACATTTCTCGCACATTCCCCGGTGACACATTACCAACATTACTGCAACTGGTGTGTTACAACGGTGGTTCATGTCCGAAACAGCTACACACTGCAGGTTTCGTCACTTCAGAGCTGACATGTAGATGTTGGCCAGGTTTTTCCGGGAAAGGATGTGAAATAGGTATATAAAAAATATTCCCTCGAAAGGTTTAGCAATTGAATTAAAAATGGTATGTTTGCCTCTCCAATTGTATAAGAATTTGGCATTGAACTCCTTTTGCTTTTTTTGCTTTTAGTACCTTTTGAGGTGGATCCCGGTTTTGGCATTAATAGTTGAGAAATAGGGATCGAAACCAGCCATCGTTTTCTTTTTATGACCTTTGTGAATTGTTGTGTTTTATTGATTATTGCGACAGCTTTGCCAATGGATGTTGACCCTTTGATATGCTTATTGACTTTAAGACTCGATATTGTCCATCCCACATCATCTTGTACAAATGCTTGTATCTACAACAATTATTGATGTTTATGAGTATTGGCTATCAATTTCTAATTTTTTCTTCAACATTTTTTGTAATGATTTCAATATGGATCAAATATTTCTTGGTGTTTTGGTCTTGGATTGTGATATTGGTTTTTGAATGGTTGGAGAAAAGGGGTATTATACATATTTTTTTACGTTAGATTCTGGTTTTGGGATATATGGGGTTTGTTCTTATGCCTGGTATATATTTTTCCCTGCTAGGTCCCATTACAACTACGGGTCCTTTCCCTTTGGCACTTTGTGCGTATACTCATTACTCATTTCCCTAATCAAATTTTCCTCATAGGCCGCACCAGGTTTCGACATGCTGTGCCATAACAATCATTTAAATTTTTTCCACCAGATGTCAGGGCTTTATGGGGAATCACCATAGCAACATGTTTACTTTTGGCAATTCTACTAATACTCGTTGCTTTGTGGTTTGTTGTGATATGGAAGCGAACCAATGAACTGATACCCTCAAAACAAAATAGGCAGTTACCAGGACAACAACAGCTAAAACATCAACAAACAGAACAGAGGTAAAAACATAAGAGATTGACTGTTTTGTGATTAAATGGTTTATGATTGAAAAAGATAAAGTCACTTGCATCCGATATATTTTTTCCAATCACCAGGGAGATGTTTTAAAGATTCAAAGTTTACATATTCTATCAAATACAGGTCTCTTATTAAAGTACTAAAGTTAAATGTTATATATCAAACCGGATCAATTTTGGATTTAGAAAAATACCCGAATCTCACCATGTTCACGAAAGCACTAATTAATCAATTTTGCAATTAGCAGACTTCCACAGTGCGACCCTTTTCCTTTCTAAATCCAATTCCTGGGACAAATGGCGTCATTCTTTTGACCCTCGTTTGTTCAATTAAAGCGACTCCTCATCTATCCTCTTTCAGACCAATCACTCATATGTAAGAGTAATCTTCATCTACGTTTACAATATGCTAGATGCGAGTAGAAATAATCTTAATTTTCGTCATTAAAAATTCATAATTCAGTCAAACTGGTGTCATATTTGGAATCTACATATAAAATTACTTCTAAGAACGTGGTTTTGCAAAGAGTTTATCAACTTTGAAAATTTAATTTTCTTTGAAAATGTGGCTTTTAGGTCGGGAAGATTCCCCATAGACCCAATGTTGTAAAACTACAAAAAGTGAAATATCTTTTCTTGTGTTGGCCAGATAATATTTTCTTTTACTGGACATGTTTTAATTTGTATAACTATCACATACATAAGGGTAATTTGAAAAGTGAACCACTAAAACTGATGCATATTCAAGTTTAAGTGACTTTTGTAATACCCTGCCATGTTATTTCCCCCGAATCAGCCACCTGGTGGTGAAACGGGTAACTACCTACTCGCATCTGAGTAATTGAAAAATCTAGTTCCATAGCGTCGTGCCTTGTAATATCCTGATCAGCTTAAGTTTAGTCTGAGTTTTTAAGTTTGTCTCGCCAATTTGTGAGTGTAATTTTTCGAGATCATACACAGAGGCTTCTTACAGTATTGTACCAAAAACAAATACAAATACATGAAATACATCTCAAAGTCTGTACCTGTATCTAGGCACCGGAGTCCCTTAAACGATTGGTTAGGACAAGAGGGCCCGAATACAATGCCACCAGGAATGGTACACGAAAATGCTTATGCTGCACCGAACGAAATAGGCAGGCCGCAAAGGTAGGTACATGTAGCAAACTCGTGCACAGGCTTTCGTTATTTTGACGATGTCGGAGCCCTCGGGGAAGATATAGTTCGGCTATATATTTGAAATGTCACCTTTATCAATCAAACTATTGTAATCCAGTAGACACAAATATATTCCACAAGTGAATATGTCATATACCGCAGACGAATATGCCATATACCGCAGGTGAATATGCCAAACTCACTAACCAATGTTTTTTTGTGTTACACAGTTAAACACACACTGCAAGAAAAAATTAACATATACGAACCCACGTTCTTGTTCTTTTTCTTGTTAGGTTTCTTTAAAGTTTTAGTCCCCCTTCCCTTTAGCATTTGTGCTTATATATTCTTGGATATTATGGGCAAAATCGACAGTCGACAAGGTCCAGAAACAAAACCTATTATCTGGATTCATATACAAGTATTTGTGCTCGAAGTGCTTACAGTATTGGTAACCCAGCGTAGTTTTACATTTAGAGTACAATCTCCTGACCAATCGAATTAATCTGTTTCACGTTTTCACCTGCCGAATATGTCATATTCATCGGCGGTATATGGCAGTATAGCATATTCACCCATATCACAAATACCACGCGACTATATGTATATGGCATATTCTGCGTAACACGTATTCGTATGAGAAAGCACAAGTTGCCACAAGTGTGCATTTACCTCCTCTTCAGATTCTTCGCTTACCCTTATCTAAAATTCATATTTGATTCAGAGAGAATATATCGAATTGGGCATCTGCTGGCGCCCGAAGAGGTTCCCAAATGGAGTCTCCGGAACGACTACTGAAAGAAATGAAGGATTTGATCCTGTCGTTTGAAATGGCACGTCAAAGACACAACAGGGCATTTTAAGTCGACGTCTGCTCCTCCCCATACTGTTAAACCAGTGCATTCACTCTACTATACCGAACACCTAGAAATTCCTAAGATACTTTGTTTGTCTAATTGAATTGTTTAATATATTTTTGAAAGTGCCTTACTAACATCTAACTTTCAACCGATAAACCATTAATAAGGAACAGACAAATAAAAACAAATACATAATCATTACTAATAAGCCAAAAGGGTTGCTCATGAACACCAAATGCAAGGTATAGTAGAGTGGTATTCCTTCAGTCATATGAAATACCTTGATGGTGCAAGATGGCTCCCCCTGATCCATTATAACTAATAGGCATATGGTTATATACAATATATGAAAATTGCATTCAATGGGAGGAATGACTATGGTCACCAATATTTTTTTTATTCAAATCACTGCTATTTGAAGCATTCAAAAATGTTTTCCCTTCAACTAGACGAGCACGAGACAGACAACTACTGCCACCTATCTATCGCCCTGTTCAACCACGACATTGTCAAACACAGTATGTGAAAAAAGTACTTCTAACTTCTAATTCCAAAGATAGATGGCGAATCTGATGATACGCGTTATTTTTGTATAAAATACAGAGATGTTAAAATACTGTTATGTACGTACATGTACTGCCCGAGTGTTGTGTTTATGAAAATATTTTATAAAAAATGAAATAGTTATCTTTTTTCATGATTTGGCTATATGCCATTTTGTATTTTTGACTGGTGATGCGTTAGTGGATTGGCCTTTAAACTGATGTATATACGATTTTCTTGAATTCAAATGAGCGTATGTACTCAGAAAGAGTTTCAAGTCAACTGGTTGACGCTCGCCGTTTGTACATTTGTATGATATAAATTGCTGAAATGGAGTTTTAATACCAATAAAATAATGGTTGTTCGTACTTAATATGACTCATTCTATGTGACTTGTTATAAAGTGGAAATATATTTAGTGTTATGTTTTAATGTTGCGCATCGATTAAGTTGAATGGATGGGAAATAAAACTTTCTTTTCACAATGTTTTGAGCTTGAAATCGCTTTTTTGATTAACTATAACATGCTTTAGTAATCAAACAGTACTATAAGCCCACTTTAAGTTTCCAAAACTGTATGTGGTGTGAGCATTATAGCCATTAAGTCCATTCAGAGTTATATTCTCACGGGCATCCTTAATTACACGATTACATAAATATATAGTCCATTGTCAGGATATGTAAATTGATTGCCAATGTGTAAGTCTGATGAACCTCTGAGGATAATGGAACGCTTACTATTTGGCCCTTAATGGATTAAAGGAAAGGTCCTTATTATGCCCCTTTATATGAATATAAGGGGGGAGGGGGGTGGGGGTAACAAATTGATAAGACAGTACGAATATATAACCCAGGGGGGATTGCATATTCGATTTATTAAAATGAATAGCTTTTCCATATACAATGATAATTCATTAAAAAAAAAGTTCATAAATCACGAGAGGAAAATGTACGGGATGTACATACGGGGATATACGGGATGTATCATTTTCATCAACGTGCTATATACTATATTTATACACCCTATATCACAATGATCATGGTTTAATGTTAAAAGCGTAGTATAGAAGGCCATTTATGTTCATTTTATCCATTTTCACTTATTCATCCGTTTATTTATGTGTCAGGTGACCTTGCAGAGTTGCGTATTTTCTTTGAAAGATGCGTCAATTAAGAATTCCCAAGTTTGTAGACAAATACCTTCGTTTGCATATTACGGATATAACATATTTTAGGAAAAATATCAAAATGATCTACGAAATGAATATGATGTAATGTAACGTTAATTCGCCTGTTCTAATGTATAAGATATCTAAATAGCGGGCCATAATTAGATGGGCGGATCATCAGTTCTAGGGGGCGAAACATGAGGTATAACAGGTTGTACCACACACATAAACAGAATGATAATAGTTACAGATAATTTAGGGGAGGGGGGGGGGCTATGCATGGCAACTTTAAAGCAGCATCTTACCATGATAGGAAACAAAAGTGCATCCAATTCAAAGATCGATAATTGAGTTAGTCGTCCCAGAACCACTGAGTGGGTCGTTTTCAAAAAGTTCCCGATCCGAATTATTGTGAATAACCAAAAAACCCTCAGAGAGTCCAATTTTCAAGGTGTATTAAACATAGTGTGTAATTTATTCCAATAAATATATCAAAACAGATTGTAATCAAACGCATAAAATACAAGGCCGTGTAAACTTAATCGAAAGCTTAGTAGAGTAATTTGCAGAGAAAGTTTTACGTATCAATTTACAGCAATTTACCTGTAATATTATATACTTGTGGTATTAATTGGTTACGGGAAACATGGAGAACAACGTGACAGTTGTTATGTTATGGTAATTTCTTATGGATATTTTTTGCATGATAACAACCCCAGTTACCGACCCCATAGTTTCTTCTTTAGTATTACATTCACTGTCTCAGCTGATATAGCTGTATACTTATTTTACTAGAATTAGACACCGGTGCCTTTTAGAATTACCCTATAAAATAGGTAATTTCAACACTGGTATAGACGTATACTGTAGATACCGCACATTATTTCTCTATCAAAATTACCTACTACATAGATTATAACGCACGGTTTCACATTACTAAAATTACATATCATTAGGGTAACATACGCAATAGAATAGATATAACATCTATTAGATTAGATTTGATACTTTCTCACTAATACGTCGATGGGTGTTACCAACCAAACCATGGCAAATGCATTGAAATTACCGATGTTTTTCAATTTCGTGGTCGAAGTACGATAGTTTGAAGCAGTATCGGATATACAATGGGCAATTTCCTCGGGTGATTAAGTCCTGGGATTCCAGTCGAAATTTATAAGATAGAATGATCATACTCAGCGTCCAACAAATAAATATTAAATACTGAATTAACTAATGAATTCAACTCCAATACACAGTGCTTTAAGTGTAAACGCTTTAAGAGTCGTGTTCTGACAACAGAATTCGCAATAACATAACGACCTCAATGAAGACGTGAAACATATGATAGTCACATAGATAAGTAAATAGGATAATATCATCTCGGAAAGACTCTTCAACTTCACATTTCTCTGTGGTCAGACGATGGTATGCAATCGGCCAGATTAGGACCATGATACATCGAGTTTAATCACTGAAAATACAGAGGCACTGCAGAACGTAGGAGTAAGAGGATAGACATATTAAACATTTTATATAGCCTATAACATTATATGGAAATATAAGCAGACATTACACTGGATTAACATTACTGATACGAAAACTAAAAGCAACATGCCTAAAAAGGTAAGTAAATTGTTTTTAGCAAATCTTTTTTATTGAAGAAGATCGAGGATCGAATGGTTTACAGTTTGACTTCCGGTATATGGCATACATGATAAGGTCGTTATTGAAATATCATTCCCCGACCCCCCCATATATATACTTAGACTACAGCTATACGTCTTCAAATGTAAGGTTAGTAACATTTAAATTTGTTTAAGGTCAACTAATAACCCCGAAAAATATTTTTTGCAAGTATATTTCCTCAGAAGTCTGAATAGACACATTTTTAAGTTTAATCTCTAAAGGTATTTTAGAATGCATTTATTGAACGAGCTTTTGAAAATTCCGCTTTTAGAATTCTCTACTTTCATGATTAAAAGATTGGCTCATTCTAAAATATAGATCTAGTATATTATATGTATATATAAATGTGAAAAATCATGTAAATTAGAATCAGGTATTTAATTCTCATTTTAAGTATGTTGTATAGTATTCTTCTTAAAATCGAAATCTTTGATATTTTTCTTCCTTTAGAATCAAAGATCCAGGATAATCCCTGTCTTAAAATTAAAACTGTACTATTTAATACTTTTATCTTTCAAATATCATCAAGATATATCTTCAACATCCATCAAATGTTAGAAGTTGTACATTACTATACCCAATAGTGGATTGAGGCATGGTTATCATAGCTGTTTGCAGGGTACATGGCTAATTTTGGAAAAAATGTGGCTTTCAGATTCTATGCTAAAGGTAAAATGGGTACCTTTTATAGAGATATGTAGCAAGTTGTAAAAAATGTTAAGCTTAATCAAAGTTGATTCAATAAGTCCAGCATTGACCAGGCTTTCATATGATATATAACACATGGGGGTATGCTATTCAGGATTGGTGGTTGATGGGGGGACGGTCATTATGAAACACCCTGTACAATCACAACACAGAAAAGTTAACAAACGCAACTTTGATTCTGAGTGGAACTGTATTGAAAATACAAGTATTTATAATAATTTTTCGTTGCTTTTAATTTGCTATGACAACATTTATTTAAAAAAAGCAAATTTAGCTGATTTAATAATCTAACCTGAAGAAAATTAAGCTTTAACTGAAAATCCCGGGAAGAATTGATTCTAAAATTGTTACAATTTTACGTTTCTTTTTGCTTACTGTACTTTTAATTGTCAAACATATTTTCTATATAAGGTCGTGAGTTCTGTTTTTATTATCAGAAAATTCTTTTTTAGTGTTTTGGCAATATACACTCAAATAGTGAACCGTCCAAATTTAGAAATTCTTCATTCATTCACTTGATAAAAATAAATCATGAATGGCAATTCAGGTCACTATGTAAACATTGGGACAAAACTTTTTATGCATGTTTTCATGCAGTCTTTTCTTCGTAGTATTTTATTTGGTATTCTAGGTATGTCAGACTAGTTCTTAGCCACTTTTCAAGGTTACTAACCAGACGTTAACATAGTGTTCAGTATTCGAGGATCCACGTCAAGCTTAACATACGGCCGAGCTCGCTAATACATATAGCCCGTGCCTTAGCCATGGTAACGCCTAGCAGGCTCAATGTATCATGGGGTCTAGTACCATTGACTTTTGAAGGCATTTTAAGATTTTTGCAGTTTTTTGAATTTGAAGCTATGTTTAATTTAAGAGACATTATTACCACCTTGCCGGGCCAATTCTAGGGGTTTTAGTGCTAGTTTAGAAGGCGTTCATTGTACTATATCGACCTGAGAAATGTGTGACGTCATAGTGGTGGTCCATATGGACCGGTCTAGAATATATTCTGGACCGGTAATTTTTCCCCGGGAAATTAGATATCGTTCAGTGCGTAAGATTTTCTTGCTATTTCAGCCCTGGTCGTTAACGGTGGTAATAATACTAATAACGTCATTTCTGCGAGCAATATAGTGAAATATTGGAGCTTGGGCCTTCGGCCCTCGGTCCAATATTTCACTATATTGCCCTTAGAAATGACGTTATTGTACTATTGATACTAACCAATACAATTGTATTAGATCGATTCTTTACGTGCAAATATACTTCTATATATATGCTTTTATCTTCTTTATTTTAAAGTATATTCAAGCATAAAATTAACGATTTAAATTCAATAGTTTAAATCATTACAATTTAGATCATATGTTATTCAGATTATTCATATATATTATACAAATCAATAATAGCTTAATATAAGAAATGGTCTAAAAGTAGAATCGACTAGACATGGCACTACCGATGAAGAATGTCTTCAAACGTCCTTTAAAATACAAAATAGATACATAAAAAACTGATATCAGTAACACATTGGGCCATAAGACATCATGAACGCTTAAAAACGTCGAGCGGACCTGAACCAAGGGAAAGATCAATACCCGGTGATTTCAGCGGGAAGTGGCGTTTCGTTCAGTGGATGAGCTGCGCGCGTAGGCTATAAGAGCAGTGACCTACAGAGGGCGCTATCACAAACAAGTACTGCACGAACCGATAAATTCCCGGGTATTGTAACGCCCTTGCCTGAATTCGCTAAGCTAGGTGCTGTCACCCTAACCATGAGGTCACGGGCATGAGTTCGAAACACGAACGTGAGCTCAATTGCGTGTATTCATATAATTATGCATTTGCTCTTTTGGAGTTGTTCTATTATTATGTCATCGTGGAATACCATGGGCCTCTTTTCTTGCATCATAGATTAAAGACAGACAGGTTTTTAGATGCGATGTGTATCAGAAAGTAATTATGTTAAGATCAAAAGTCAATGTTGCAATGCCCTAATCGCACGTTTTCCTTTGCCACAGTAGTTATTTTTTACGTCCACGATGCATAGTTTTGCTGTGGTTGCATTTGATTTGCCTCATATAACTCGGTGAGTTCTTTCCATTCATTTATTTATTACACCGCTTCGTACAATTAATAGCCTACATTTAAAGTAGTTTTCTCATAGACTTTGTTTATAACAAGCTATATTGCTCTGATAAAATAAATTTCTGCCTAGTTTACTTATTAGAGTCACGATATTAAACAATCTAAAACCGGCTCAACTATGAATAACATTTTGTCAAACACCGATGTAATATATTGTATAAATTTTATGGACATTGGACAGGTACTGAGGTATGGTGCGATCAGTCAGCACAAGCGAGATTGCCTGCCTCGCATACCTTGCACGCGCTTGGATCACCCAATTCAAAAAATAGTCAATTAATAAAATCGACCATGAAACTAGTTTTTGACACTATTGTACTTACAAAATATTTTATAATCACAAACAGTTATATTATGCCTGGTGTTACATACAGTTGAACAAGAAAAACGAGAGAAGATGGTTTTCAAGTTAATATAGGCATGCGTGCCAAAATACGGGAAAATTGACAATAGAATGATTTGGATGGAAATATTGTCGGAACCCCATCGACCTTAAATTATAGATATTTTCAAGATGTTGTAGATTATGTGACGTCGAAAATGTCAAACTAGCTTTTAAAGGGGTGGGCCATTAGACAATGCTAAGAGAGATTTTCTAGTCGTGTGACGTGTTTAACCAAAATGTACACAAAAGGAAGAAAATATATTGTTTTTCTACTGACAAAATATAAATTGAAATTATATTTGATAAAATAAAATATGCCTCTGAGTTATTAATCAATAAAATTTAGTCTACCTGGTGTTTTTACACTGTCCTTAAAACATAATTTTGAGAGAGTTTATAGGGCTAAATATGCGTCATTGTTACAGAGGAGAAGGTGAGAAATGTAAAAAATGAAGCGTTTATTTCTAATGGGCTAAGATGTATCCGAGCGGAAGTACACTCCATTCCAAGATATTTTGACAACAACTTCTTTTTTCCTTTAGACTGCATGCTAGAAACTGTTTGGATGTTTTAAAACGAACAATTCGAAAATTCGATCTTATAATATGTCATATCTAATTGTAATTGAGGTGAAATTGATTTCAAACATAAGCAGGCTATCTCAGGTAAGATTTGCCAATGGGTAGTGCATCGTCAAACATTTGATGGGGAGTGTATACGTATTGCCAAACATTTAATGGGGAGTGTATTGCAAAACATTAGGTTGGGAGTATATTGTCATACATTTGATGGGGAGTGTATCGCCAGTTTGAGAACAATTGTCTTGTATTAAGGAGAAAACTTTTACTTGACAATAAAACTGGTTTGTTTTTCAGTACCGTTTGAGCCACAATTTCGACTATACGGACCCAAAAACGAAAGTCCAGACAACAAAGGAAGAACAATGCCTTGAGAAGGTAAGTGTCCTAAATAAGGTATAATCCCATGTCCTAAATAAGGTATAATCCCATGTCCTAAATAAGGTATAATCCCATGTCCTAGCTAAATAAGGTATAATCCCATGTCCTAAATAAGGTATAATCCCATGTCCTAAATAAGGTATAATCCCATGTCCTAAATAAGGTATAATCCCATGTCCTAAATAAGGTATAATCCCATGTCCTAGCTAAATAAGGTATAATCCCATGTCCTAAATAAGGTATAATCCCATGTCCTAGCTAAATAAGGTATAATCCCATGTCCTAAATAAGGTATAATCCCATGTCCTAAATAAGGTAAAATCCCATGTCCTAAATAAGGTATAATCTCACATGCTTACTGAATTAACTTTATTGAAATATTGAGTTTTTGAACATTTTGATTAAACATTGCGTAAAACTCTACAAGTGGATCACCTGTAAATGGAACGCTTTTCAAAATCCACGTACCAAATTCGTTAATTGTAAAATGACCCTGTATAAGTGGAACACCTGCCAAGTGGAATACTATTTTGAGGTACCAAAGATGTTCCACTTGCATAGGTTCTACTATACGTTTAAAGTTATCAGCCAATTTAGTCAAAATGAATTCGATATTTTCGGCAACAACTTAAGTAGAGAATGCTCCTTTAACCCAGCCTTCTTTGATGATCCTTTAAAACCTATTTTTGAAATTTGCAGTTCAAAATGCAAGTGGATGACATAGCAAGTCGTTTCGAAACAGATGAAGATCTGTTCAAATGGTTGAAAGGTGAGTGTCAGCCAAACGCACAGCTACACAAAAACATGGCCAAATGTGACAATAGAGCATCTGTTGATGGACTTCTCGTGGCTTCTCGTCAACCTGACATCTTTTAGTTTTGTAATTAAAGCAATGATCGGTTTTGAAGTTACATTCTCTTCGTATAAGTTATAACCCAAAATGGACGTGACATATATGAAAAGATATGGGATACACTACAAAAATATGCATGCTTTATTTGTTCGAGAATTTTGGAACTATGTTATCTTAATTTATATTTATTTCCAGCCCGGGACCTTGACGTGGACAAAGCTGAAGAAATGTACCGACAGGTAAGAAATTTACCGATTACACATACCAAGTCCCGGGTTCTTAAAGGATGTCTTAATTACGAAATTCAAAATTAAACAGTCGCCATTTTTGCACGACATTTTCATTGTTGGAAAATATCGAGATTGCATTCTGGGAGCCAATCCTCCTTGGGAATGGGTAGCGCCTTGAGAATCACGTGACATTTGTGTTGTGATCAAGGTCAGGGAATGTAAATAGTTCGAATTGTTTCGAAGTGGATGTGATTGTGAACCCTTCAAGGGTTATGCCTCATCAAAGACATATACAAAAACAGTTTTATGTCCCTGGCTTCATTCATATTTCACCATACGACAACAGCAGTAGCTTCCCAACATTGAAAGAATGTGCTTTATATAAAAAAAAAATTGATGAAAACATTGTACACTCTATGCTCCCAGGTTAAACGGCACCGGCTGGCACCTTGAGAGGAAAATAGTTACCGTGTTAATCAATTTCTTCTTCATGTCCTGATGTCTACAGGTAAAACCAAACAACATCGAAACCCTTCTATCTTAGAAGGATCGATTAGGAATTTATTTCTTATCCTCAATTGTCTGAAAGAATAGGATATTTGTAATTATGAAAAAAAAGATTTACGCCCCCTTTATACAAAAAACGTTCTTTGAAATTAACATGGTAGGTCATTGTAGGAAATTTCTTTTTCAGTCAACTCAATGACCTTATTTTCCGTGGTCATTGAATCATGGACAAAACTGTTGTAAGTGAAATGCCTGATTCGAATCAAGCAATTAATAAAGCATGTCGCGATTTTTTAATAGAATATGCTCTATTGTTTCAACCTGAAAATGCATTGTCTTTCTTTGGAATACCTCGATCGGGTCAATATTTGTATATTTTTATATTGCCACCCTGGGGCATCAGGGGAATTATTTATGAAAAAATAGAATTGATAGAGCGTGTCAGATTTTGTAAAAAATAATTCCAAAAATCATGTCAAAAACAACCCTATAATCCTAATTTCAAATTCTGAGCAGAGAGTTGAAATATCTTATCAAAAAAAGTTTATTCAAAATTATTTTAATTACAGAACTGTTTTAGAAGTTATACAGAAATGTGCAAATTCACTAAAATTGAAAAAGAGGACATCCTCTTTCTATTTTTGACAGATTTAAAATCAAAGGATTTCCAGAAATGCTCAGAACTAGTTGACTACCATGCCACGAATGATGGAATAAAAATATTTTGTCAAATTGTGAGTTTCTTTCCTCCAACTCGCCTCTACATCGTCTAATCACATCAATTGATTGTTTTGTATTTAAAAAGATGTCGCTAGAATAGGTATACATTAAAAGCTTTTTATGTAGAATAGAAACCTGAATTCTTGACAGTCATATTTTACATTGCAAATTGGGCTAGAAGAAAAAACAAAAACGTATAAATATATCGGGATGTGATATTCAATTATCCCTTTTATTGACGATGCGCCCATTCTTGCCAACGTCCACTCACTAAATGACCATTTATCCAACTCTTTTTACAATGGACATTTCTTATCAATTGCAAATGAAAACGTATACAGTCGTACCAACCTTATAAGTAGTATTCAGAAAACATGGCAAATAGGTACTGACGTGTCACAAAAAGGTCGAGCACGCATTGTTACACATTTTCGCGTTTTAACACCTCAGAATGTGACGTTTTTTTGAGAAAAATGTACACATATGGAAATCCTTTCGTCGACCACATTTGCTTCTATATCTCAAAATATTTAGGGCGAATAACTCTGATATCGTATATGTCTTAACAATGGGATAGGAGCATCATAAAACACGAATCAATTGATATTTTAGGTGAAATAAATACAAGTGTTGCTATGCTTGAAAATAGGCGAATGGCGTAAATTAGCCCTATTTTAATGAATTTTGAAAACCTTTCGTCATCCACTTTTCCACATACAACAGGAAACACATACTTTTGAGAACAAAATCAACTATTTATTAATAAACTAGAGTTTAAGGGCAAAATAATCATGTATGATTTATTAAAAATTGGTCTCGTATTGTTTGTTTAATGTACACCTGAAAAGTTGAAGGTAACAAAAAATTAGCAAAAAAGGTCGCTGTCAACAGATTCTATTTTTTAAACTCTATAATGTCACAATATGGGACGCTTACTAAAATTCATCCTTTGAAATAAAACTTCCATCTACCTTTATCAAGACGGAAAATAAGTATAATAGTCATATATTGTTTGAGTTATGAGCGTTTAAAGACGAAAAATAATTCAAAATGTAACGTGTCAACAGGGGATATTTGCCAGATGTTTTGGTAAAAAACTCTTTTTTAAAAACGAACGCGCAAGAAACGTGAACGGAGTGTAGTTGATCTAAAAAATAATCGAAACAGCTTTAAAATGATATACAACTTTAATTTGAATATTATCTTATAATCCGGGAAATCAAAGTTACATTCACGCGATACCCTTAAAAAACAAATGCGCCACCTTTTTGCGACACGTCACTGAATACAATGGACCTCATGCACACAGTCTAGCAGAATACAGTGAACATCATACAGATAGCATTGTCCATAGTTTAGCTGACCATCATGGACCTCATAGAACATCACGAACCTCATAAACTTGAAGTGACCCATAGAGTTTTACATGCTGGACCCCATATACTTGAAGTGACCCATAAAGCTTTACATGATGGACCCAATACACTTGAAGTGACCCATAGAGCTTTACATGCTGGACCCCATACACTTGAAGTGACCCATAGAGCTTTACACGATAGACTTCATACATGTGAACACACAGTTACCCGTAGAGCTGAACACGATAGAACTCAGACTCAAAAATAGCATTAGATATGAACACTAAGGACCTAATACACACCGAGTGACCCATAGATCTGAACACAGACATTTTAGTAATCAGTAATCTAGACAAACTATCGTTTTCAGATTTTTTGTTTGGATATATACAGAACTTGAACTTAAACAAAAAAAGTAGTTTGTGTAGACCCAATAAACATGCTTATATTTCAATGAGGGCATGCCATAAAATATAGACTATGCCTGATATCCCATCGCGATAAGAATGGCATGCATGTAATGATGTTTTCGTGAGTGAGACAATCGACTCAGATGGACGATTTCCGTTCATTTCTTTGGCCCAAATGCTCTAATACGTCACTTCCGCTGAATAGAAAAAAGTAGTTTTCAAAAATGAATGTAGTCCCAACACAATTGTGATCATGACGAGTCAGTAAGCTAGTTTGGCCTTTACAAGAACAATAAATATCTGAATCTGCGCATGCGCAATGTCATAGACTTTAAGAAGGGCCTCGGGCTTAATTGATTATATTGTACATGAACATTTCCAACTAATTGCAATTAGATGTTGAGATTGATTAAGTTTTTTGAGCACTATTTTATCGATATATTACGTAGGCCTAAAATATAAAATCCACTTCTGCCCTCAAGCAAGTATGGCGCAGTTTTGAAATTTCACCCTGTACATCTTGTTTTGCGGAATTCCTTCCCGAAATCTTCTAGAATTAACCACTTTCTCAGAGCTATATATATGTACCCGACAATAATACCTACAATTTCGCATCTTCTGTTTTTTCGATAATTCGACTTTTGTCCACCCTGCTTGAGCTTTAAATGTTAATAGACGTTATATTTTATGGTCGGTACAATACCATACTTTCCGGAGGATTTCTCTCGCAGAAAATACACTGTACTAATTTTGTTACCATTATAATGCTTCTTCCTGTACTGATCATTCTCTATAAAATATAACTCGAAACACTAGATTTATAAAAAGAATCTACTCTTGGGACCAGATTAAATTCAATTTCATTTTAGCCCCCCTCCCCCGGTATCCAAAATACAAGGGATAACTTGTTCTTTCGGAAATAATGCCTGGCTTTACATCTAAATTTATATTGGAATTGGCGCGTCTGAGGTTCTATTGGGAATGACAGTTAGCCTTGGATATTTTCTTAGCAGACTAAATGATGCAAAAATGGTATAAGGCCAAAGAATTCTTTTTGACTTGCGACGTTGCTTCGGCATGAACACGACATAAGACTGGCTGCACATTAAAACTAGACAATAATGATTTAAAAATTATAAATATATCGTATAATAGCTTGATATAATGAATCTATGAGGAAGGGAAGGCGTCGGGAAAAGTAAGGAACGTCATGCAACATTAGAAAGGTCGATGAAACAAAATCTTGGAACATTGTGAAAATTTTAAGTCTATAAGATATTCAAACATGGATGGATTAGACGAGATTACGAATAAGGTTAGTGCGTGCTTTAAATCAACATTTTCACAATTGAATTTCGTCAATTGGTCTTTTTTCAAATGTTGCTCATTGTCTTTGCGTTCTCTGGGCTTGGTTTAACTTGTCGTAATATGGTTAATTTACACTGGACGAAAACGTTCTTTTGAAGGTCACTAATTAGGATTTCAAATTTTGCAATAGATGCTTTTCAGAATAAAACTTTTTGGTAATCTTTTTAACATTAAATTATTGTAATAAAAACGGTACTTGTATTTCTTATTATTAGATTGAAATTTAAAATGGTATTTTTTCTCTGATAGGCGCCACCCTTGCTTGTTATTTCATGTTATATTGTCCTAAATCAAAGGCCAATAACTTATTTATAAAGGCAGCTCTCTTATGCCTTGGTCACCTTTGCTCCGATTTTCACTACGGATCCCGGGTGATTGAGTATTTTGTTCAAAATTGAATACAATATTGAACAAAACATTCAATCGGCCGGCCGATGGATCGGAGCAAATGTGACCCAGGCATTACAAGCTTAACAGTATTAGGATTTTTCTGGCTTAGATGCAGGACTCGTTGATTTTTTAATCTCTTGTAGTAAGGTTTGTCTTACAACGTTATTTTTGCAAACCATATGCAATCTGTCAGTTTAGTGTTTTTTCACCTGTACCCTCTCTGTTCAAAATCAGAATTCCTCCCATTTATCACTGATAGGCCTGGTAATGTATTACACTTCCCTCCAAAAGTTTAGCATCTCTAACTTACCATGTTACTGGACCATGTACCAATTAATTAATTTGAATGATTGATGTTTTGGGATTCTAGTCCTCGATTTGGATATTATTTTATGTATCAAATTCATGTTTATTATGTATGTCTATCTTTTGCATTTGAGGAAATATTCAAATTCATGACAAAAACAGACGTGAACAACGTTTTTAATGCCCACTAATTGAAATATTTCTAATGCCCCGCTTATCGAAGTCTTTCTAATGTCCGCTTAATTAGGTATTTCTAATGGCCGTTAATTTAAGTTTTTCTAATTCCAACTTTAAGTATTCCTAATGGCCGCTAATTGGATTCTTTCTAATGCCCGCTTATTGATGTGATTTTAATGCCCACTCAAGTCCTTATTATACCCAAATGCCCATTAATTTATCCAGATGTTCTCGTTTTCAAGAAATTAAAGAGGTCAGTATTTTTCAGAATTCTTATAAAATCCCATAATACATTTAAACATTTTCTAGATCCATGTATTCGAACTGATTGGATCAGATACAGTCACGTGACACGGACTGTCATAATAATGGGAAGTGCATTAATTCTCGTTAGTGAAACATATACGTCAGACTGTACAAAGAATTCCAGAATTCGAAATCTCTTGTTGATTACAGCAGTTGTGTTTTGAAAATATATGGGATGAGCCAAATGGTATGAAAATTCGGAACATGGTTTATATAGGCTAATTGAAAAGGTATATGATAAAGGGGTGGATCATGGGATTTACATATGCAGAAACACTGAATTGGGAAGACCAATTCTCTTCCTTTGAAGTGGATTGGGAGAGCTTTGACTCATTTTTTAAACTTTAACTCATTTCCTAATATTTCTAAAGAAAACAATAGATTATCCAGAAAAAACAATGATGCTCGGGTAATACTCATTCGATATATCAATATTTTTTAGCAATCAGCGTACATAGCTACATGTATCAGCCATGGTTTTAATGCTAGCCAAATTAACCAGGTGTTTTTATATTTTATCCTGAAAAATCCGTCCGATGGTGAATCCCGGTTGTAGAAATAAACACAGACTAGCACTAAAACTTGGTTTGGTGGTTAGGTGGTTTGAGGTTTCTTGCTCCAGCATCGTAAATGATTACAATTCATAAGTTAGTTAGGATATGAGAGAAAATGTGTATAGACAACTGTTAAAGACTTCATATAGTCCATTTTCTTTTACGCTTCAACACGATAGTAAGATATTCGCACATATATTATATTCAGAACGGAATAACGATATCGGATAGGTTTAATAGGTTAATCCGAGTTTCATATGATGCAGTCGTAGTTTAATCGCAAATCTCACGTTTGGATTCTATTAATTAAGTTTAAATTAGTCAAAAATCTTGTTGTCAAGGCAACCGGTTTAAACAGAGCATCGTTATATTGACGTCGTTCTCTTTTTTCAGAGTAAGGCGTACAAAGCGAAAATGGACGTGAAGAATTTAGTAAAAGACTATGAACCTCCTGAGGTAAGGACATTTGCATCTTTGTTTTCTGAAATCAATGGTTAGCCAATCAAATGTCATTGTGCATTTGCACCCGATGATCGAAGTAATATCATACAGATGTATACAGGTGTATGGAAACAATAGGGAGCTACACATTTTAACCATTATTTCCGCAGGGGGGTGTGGTGGGGGGGGGGGGGGGTGGGGGTGGGGTGTATGTGCTTCTATTATTTTTCTACCTTATGCCACATGTATAAGATACTTTTTGGCGTAAACACCAAGGTGATTGGGGTAAAGGGGCAAAGTTATGATAATTGGAACTTGATGCGCATAAAGATGAAATTCATAGCTTATTGGGGGTATAGTGGCTGAGTTAAGGTTGAGAGAACTCGTATCAGAACATGTAAAACCGACTAGTTATTAAATACATGGACCTATGTTTACCCAGTGAATGAAATATGTACATGTCGACATGCCCCCCCCCATTCGTTCTGCTTTCGAAAAGCTCCACAACATATTTGCATTAGGCTACGTTAATCATAGTGAACGCGTTGCCTCAATCTTCGGGCTGTTAGTAAGGCTGTTTTATTCTTAGGATAGACTAAACTCAAAACAGTATAATACTGGTTAAAATGTTGAACTACATCCTCTGATATATCTTATTTCAGGTATTGAAGAAATATCTGGCGGGTGGTCCCATAGTAGGACATGACAAAGACGGTCGACCGATAGCAGTTGAATTGTTTGGACATTTGGATATGAAAGGGTTAATGTACAGTTGTAAAAAAGTAGATTTTGAAAAGACCAAATTATTGATATCTGAGAGACAGATGCAGGACATGGCAGAGCAGGAAGTAAAGGTAACTTTCATTTCCATATTATAGATATTGTCTCATTACAATTAGATGTAAACTTGCTTGAAAATTCCAAATCCTCCATCATGGCCATGAGCACAAATCCCAAGAACAGAAAACCAATATTGGCGACGCAAACAGATGCCTTATTATTCCACACCAGTTACGAATTCACCAGTTCGGAAATCAATCGTTCAATGCTTTTAACAGATCGGATCTTTAATTTAAACTGGTGTACCTCAAGGTTAATCTTAAGTCCCCGGATGTTTTTTGATAAAGTAAAGTTAAACATAATCATCGCAATGCAGAAACTATAATCATAACATCAATAAAACCAGTTGGTTCGAATTCTCGAGGATCGATTATAGATCCCCCATTTACACTATAATTTAAAAGTGATGGGGATTTTAGTAGTATTGGGGTCTTAATCTAACAAAACGGCATGTTAAATATTTATTTATGACATGCTCAAGAAATAAAGCAAAATGCATAAGATTTATAAATGACAGGCTTAAGAAATATGAATAAAATTGGCTTGGCAAAAAACTTATTTCTCTGACATGCTAAAGAAAAATAACATCCCTGCTGGATGTTAAAGATGTTTATACGTGGTCATATCAAAATTATTTCCGAGATATGGCACAGAAATATAACCAAAATAGCATGCTTAAATTAAACGCACTGGTAACTGTAACAATAACATATTCTTGTAAAAATAAAACTCTTTTTTTATATTTTGTTTAAATTAAAGAATTATGTCTACTCAACGTTCAAAAATAAAACCAACAATTGTATGCTTTGCCTGATTTATTAAAATGTGAAATAAGGACAAAATATATAAATGCACTACATATAGATTGAAATATTATTCAAAATATCTAAGAAGCATTACTCATGGATATTGATATCTGCATATCTCCTGCTACACTCGCTCGTGCAGATATCATATCCATTCGTGGATAAAAATCATATATATATTTTTTTTAATTCTGTCAATTAAAATATGTTAGGATGTACATGATTTATTGTGTAAATTATTTAAGCATTCAATAGTTGGACTCGGAGCAATGGGGAATGACCCTTCATTAAAGGTGTTGCTTTTCAAACTTTGCACGAGATGTACAGAATCGAATGTTAATTTTAGGAAAGAACGCCCGAAAGAAATGTTCATTCGACAATGCATTGAGTCCTGGGCTTAAATTCTTTTCACACATTGCAAAATATTTTTAACAAAAACACCTATACGCTACTGCTGCTGCCGCTGCTACTACTGCCGCTGCTACTACTGCTACTGCAGCTGCTACTACTGCCGCTGCTACTAATGGTATTTTGTTATATTTTTTTCCTTCATAACCTTTTATAACCTTTTATGTTAAACTATATGTGTATGATCAGAATTGGTCGAAATACAGAAATATATATACCTAAAAGATAGGTAATTACTAAAATAATATATCTTCAACGAAACCTATTGCAAGGGTCGAGTTTGCAAAGTATCAATCTCAACCTGTACTATCCAGTTGTCACATTGACAACCGTTTAACTAGTGACCTTGAATTGCTTATTGGTTATATAATGGAATGCAGTGATATAAAATAGCGTGTTCGGATTGGCTGGAATCGAACATACCTTGCCCTGCTGTGTGTGAATGTTTAACGATGTATGTGCATGACGACTAAAATTTTATTTTCACAATATTTCGAACAAAAATCCTTCAAAATCAACTTTTCAATTCAAAAAGTAAAAGTAAAATATGTTCGAATAAACATGTTTGATAAGAATGTTTGAATTCATATTCGCTCTAAATGTGTTTAATGTCTTGTTTAATTAGTTCGTAGCACTTACTTTTTGATCAAATTAGATCACACGAGGTTGTACACAAGAAAAGAGTCTAATAACTAAACATGGAATCTTCAACGTGAAGTGAAATGTCACTTTAAATTGATAAATACATGTTCTACTTATGACGAAAATGTTTATCTTAATTCCGTAGACTCAAATTGCATTATGTGACTTTTGCAAAGATTATGTTTATAACGAATCATTTTTATCGAATATGCTCAAGCTTAATAAGTTTTTATGGTTCACAACCAAGCTTTATTTAAAGTGACTCAATGCGTTCTTTTCAGTGTTTTTAGTACCCGTTTATTTAAAGGAGACCAAAGACAGACCAAAATGGACACATTGGAGCTCAGGATAAATGATAAAAGGAGCATGTAGGTTATCGCAAACAATTTCAAACGATTCTAACTTCAATTATGAATATGTTTTGATCATGAACATGGGTGTATCTTTTAGATCCATTCATTATCTTCAAGAAAAGTATATATAATGATAATTAGTTAATCAGACCTAAGTGATATTGAAGTGGCAATGGACCAATCAACATATATTTTCAAAAATGTTGACCTAATTTTCACCAAAAATGCAACCTACTATTATATTGTTGAATGCATAATTATAATGTGCTTTGAGACATGTTCGATTTCCTAAAAGGAAAATTTGATTGCTCCAGGGACTTTAAAGATATTCAATTTGGATGACCAAAATGAACTGAAACCAATGGATAGCATGAGATTTTTCAATGGAGAAATAACATGGGGAACACTGATCTTAAAGCAATTAAGTTTTTCTTTCAAGAACTACTTGATACATCAAAATAAAGAATAGTAATACATTAAACATTGTAAAAAATGATTGGATTTTTGGTGAAAATGGAGTCAACATCTTCAAAATGGGGTCAAAAAGTGTGTTGATGGGTTAATTGCTAGTTAAATATCTCAGAGTTTGTTTGAATTTATTATTACTGTGCATTACCATGCATTTTCTTTGAGATAATGAATTGATGTAAAAGATAAACTTGTCTTCATTGTCAGAAAATAGTCATAATCCAAGATATAGCCTTCTGAAATTGTTTGCGATAACCCACATGCTCCTTCGTCAACATTTTATGTCAAGTTTTTTTGCATTGTCTGATGAAAGATGGCGATGATATTCATAATACGTAAAAGATATTCATTTTTTGGTCTATATTTCAACCAAATACGCCATCTATTCATTCAAAAGAAATTTGAAAACACCCTAGTGTATACGGTGCACACGCCAAAAACGACCCCTTCGTGCTGTTTTTTCTTCTTCTTGGGTACGCAGTGAGTCTCTTCACAGTTATATCAAAGTCAATAACCTGAATGTACAAGTATATAGCATGATATTTTAAAAAATTACAAACTGAAATCTGCTCTTTGAGAATGTCATTTTAGCCAGGAAAATTTATTTGGACGAAGCAATGTGTATTATAAGCTACAGGGTGTCCCAAAAATGTACCGAGATAAACATTGACTAATTGTTACTCTGGGATAAGGGAATAATTCTTGAAACTTCTTCACCCGAGAGAAAATGTAATCATCTTAATCATCTAAAAGTTTAAACGGGTAAATCTGTTTAGTCTAGAAAATTAGTTAAGAAAAATGGTTTTATTAACATGGCCCATATTCCAATGTTGTACCGAGGTAACATAGAATAACTCTGTAAATGATTAAGAAATATGGCATATGGCAAACAACCAAATAATCATGAAATCATATCTGAATGTTTCATGGGGTAACTCATTTTAGTTTTAGAAAAAAGGTTGTTATCCATTTTTAATGCCAAAAATTGCATTAATATCTGCATCGATCATCGATATCGAAGGAGGTTACTTGTATATAGACCATGTGTGCTAAATGCTAAAAACTAAGCTAACTGGAAAAAACATTGTCCTTATATTGTGAAAGGATCTACCTTTTTAAACACGGAAAGAAGGCTTGTCTCATATATGAGTAAAACAATTTTAGGACATCCTGTATATAGTACCTCGGACAGGTTGAATGATGCAGTCATGTTTTTACTCTATATTTGCAATGGAACCACCTTTCTTATTTAAATTTTCAAAATTTATTCTAGAGACAATTTCCAGCATGAAAAATAAATATTTTTACCAAAACACTTCACTGTCAATCAAATACAGGCTTTTGCCTGAACAATTGAACTTTTAACGTAATTTCAAATATTGTCTGGCTATTGAATTTTCGGCCGCCTAAAGTCTTTCCAGATATATTTGTTGGTATATTAACAATTATGGCTGATTATTGTTATTCACTTTAGTCATATTCAATATTATTACAGTGCATTAGGCCATTAAAAACGTGTTGCTCTGGGTCTTGTTTCGTGAAGTGTTCCCTAGGAAGTCAATCTTCTTGTCAACGGATACGAGTTCAACCCGATCGAACTGTTCAATACTGTCCAAAATGAAGTAAACATTACGAATATCCAACTTAAAGTATTCCCGGCATTAGATCCTTCAGTGATGTTCATATAGCTGTGTCAAATTCTATCATGAAATTGTCAGGGAAACCTGACATATTCGAACCATTGTACAATTTACGTTCCATTGGGTTGCATACATACTGAGTGACGGTGGCGGAAAAGCCCAGTAGCAAAAAAGGTGCGTTATCAGCTGAGGAAACATGACCCAGAGTGATAAGTTTTTTATTGGCCTAATGCACTGTTATATAATTGAATATGACAAAGAGTAACAACAATAATCAGCCATAATTTATATGGCATCAAATACATCTGGAAAGACCTTAGGCGGCCTTTGAAATGATGTAAAAAGTTCAATTGTTCAAGCAAAAACCTGTATTTTATTGACAGTGGATTGTTTTTGAAAAAAGCCTATCAAAATCATAAAATTTGGAATTTCGTTAAAATATTTTTTCTCCATGTTAGAAATCGTCACCAGAATAAAACATGAAAATTTCAATAAGAATGGTCGTTCTATTGCAAATATAGAGTAAAAACACGACTGCATCATTCAAGTGATTCAACCTGTCCGGAGTACTATTATAGTTTATTACTACTGAACCAGTAGTGCATAGACCTTTATTTGCTATGACTGGTGTGACTTGTGTGGCTAGCTAGTCACTTGAGTCGCTTGAACTATCGTATTTACCGCGAGAACAGTGACAGCCTGAAGAATAGCAGCATGGAGCTGACCCACAGCCGGGGTTGCAGCACCCAATGCAGCAGTAAGACCCTTCTAAGTAGCAGCGACATTCGGTTTTACGACTGTAGCATCTATCCGTGCGTTCCCTGCTGCTACCACCGCTACTGCTGCTGCCGCTGCTACTACTGCCGCTGCTACTACTGCTACTGCAGCTGCTACTACTGCCGCTGCTACTAGTGCAGTCGCACTTGTATATGCTGTAGGACTTGCCGTGCCTTTTCTCTCTCACTAATGTTACATTGTGAGAATTTCCTGAAGTAAACATATTTCAGTATCAAGATTACATATGTTTACTTTGTCTAGTTGAAGGCCCATGATCAAACATTACTATACATGTACATTGACTAATCGTGGTTCAATGGAAGTTGGAGGCTATGTCAAATTAAGACGGAATTTAATAAAAAACAACGGTTAATTTGACCTGCGCAAATATATGTCACATTTTAGCACATTTATGAGATATGGAGCATTGGTGTCAAACTATGTCATTAACTTTTAACGATGACCTTACACACTTATCTCAAGGATTTGTTTTTATATTTAGAGTATTGTGTTGATGTGTCACACGCGGCCCTTTGTTTTGAGAAAGAGAAAATTTCATTTGTTTTTTCGCGGCTATAATGGTTTTGTTATCTTCATTTGGTTATTCAACGATATACATTGTAATGTCAGCTTACCAGTCATCTCATCATCTTCATCAGGCTCACTAGCCTCGTCCTCATCATCTGGATCTTCCTCACCTGCAGGGACAAGCCAGTGTATTGGAGAACCAGCGCATGTATCTCGTACTTGTTGTCCTAGGAATCCACGGTTACGTATTTCCTCTTTGGCTGGCATAACATGTAGCCAATCAACGTCCTTGCGGTGTGATGTTATCTCTTCCCCATCCTAACGTAATATTCATATAAGATTTATTAGGAATAGTATTGCTATTCTTTTCTATTCATACAAAAGTGATCTGTTTACCCTTGGGAAAATGAATTATTTAATCATTTGGAAAAATGACGTTGCTTGCAGATTTAAAAAAGAACCTGATGGTAATTAAAGAAACATCGGAAAATTGAGAATTCTTGAATCAATTAACCAAGCCCTTAAGGAAATAATAGACTTGGAATTCTGAACGTAAATGAAGTTTCTACTGACGATCCCCTTTTACCAGAAACAGTCATATTTTTGCAAATTGATTAGCTTACAGGATGGTGCTCCAAATAACTCTGCATTGCTGCTGGAGAAAGGACACCCTTTCTGAGCCTGCTTAAGTAGCAGATGAAGGTCTTGTTATAACCGAGCTTCAGCACAGAGAAAGCCTAAAATACAATCATTGATAGTCAGATCTCAATTGGTGAGCTTGCTTAGGTAGTATATAAAGGTTTTATTATGACCAAGCGTCAACACAGAGAAACCCTAAAATACAATCATTGATAGTCAGATCTCAATTGGTGAGCTTGCTTAGGTAACATATTATTTACCAATTGAGTTAGGTCGGACACTGTTATAGTTTGAAAACAATCGTAAATACCAACGTGAACTATACTTAGATATGACATTGGCGCTCGCCTTTGTTCAGGATTGATGCAATCTTATTTAATAAGTGTTTTTAGATAATGTATTGCAATAAACTTAGCAAAATACTTCAGCTATTTACCAAATAATATAAAATTATACAATAAAATAGGAAATGAAACCGGGTAAAAAGTGCAACTACAGCTTAATGCGTATCTAAAGAACCGCATTCACTGTAGTTGTTGGTACTTTGAATACGCTGTTTCTATATATAATTGTTTAAACAAACGTTTTACATTCTAAAAGGGACGGTGAGAGATCTTACCATGTTAAAGTCGTTGTGTACGGAGTAGCCCTTTTCCGGATGATCAACTACTGTTATGTCATTCTCGATGTCAACTTTCACAATGATGTTCCTTTGAAGTTTGTACTCCTAAAAATATTTGACATTTATCTTGTATTTTGTATGTTAAGCCTTTGTAATAACATGATAAAGTATATGGTTTACATGTTGCTATTTACATATTTATTTACATTTTTAATATATTCAATGATTTAATTCGAAAATAAGTTTCTTCCAAGTATCGATACAAAATCAGACCCACCCCCCTAACTTCTTTATCACATCTCAATATCTATCCCAATTCCATCATAGGGTGTATAGGGTGCTGGGATTAAACAGTTTTTAAACAAACTTTATCACATCTAGTTTATTTTCTGTTCAATTCGAACGCAATACTTTTAAGACTACTTGGTAACTTCATTGTCGTATGTATATCATATTTCTGCTGATTTTAGTTACCTTGATACCGTTGCTTGGAAATCCAAGGGTGAATTTCAGTGTCACAAGAACTGCCCCCAATGTGATGACCAGAATCAACACGACTGTCACTGCAGCTATGAAATACTTCTTGTTAGACTTAGCTATAGGCTTCTCCGGTCCCTAAAACATGATTTGGGCAAAGCTGTATACACGTTACAATAACTGCCCAGATGTGACGGCAAGAATCAGCGCAACTGTCTCTACAGCTAGGAAATACTTCTTGTTAGACTTAGCTACAGGTTTCTCTGGTTCCTAAAACATGATTTGGGCAAAGTTGTATACACATTACACTAACTGTTCACAATGTGATGACCAGAATCAACACTACTGTCACTGCAGCTATGAAATACTTCTCCGGTTCCTAAAAAATGATTTGGGCAAAGTTGTATACACGTTACAATAATTGCCCCCAATGTTACGACCAGAATCGACATAGCTGTCAGTGCAGAAATACTTCTTGTTAGACTTAGCTACAGGTTTCTCTGGTTCCAAAACATGATTTTGGCAAAGTTGTATACAAGATACAATAATTGTCCCCAATGTTACGACCAGAATCGACACAACTGTCAGTGCAGCAGTGAGGATGTACTTCATAAATGAACATAGTGTCCGTTAAATTATCAATGGACGAATCGGCTGCAAACTAATAATTTTAAACCATTTATGTTATTTTAAAAATTTAGTTGTTGGTGATGATGTAGTGGGATTTCGGAAAACGTCAATCAGATCATGATATCCTTTTCGTATCTTGACAGAATTACATTATCTAAACATGACAAAAAGACAATGGGTTTATTCCGAAATGTAAACGGATAATGGGGATACATATTCTCATATACGCTTAATTCTATATGTTGATAAACTGATTGATATTTTTTGTTTCATTTAGATACTATATTGGTCAAGATTTGAGAAATAATGAGAACATGTAAAATTTTTTCACTGGGCACCTTTTGAGGTGTATACCGGCTATGGCATTAATGGTTGACAGATAGGGATTGAAACCAGCCATCGTTTTTTCCTGATGATCAATGTTGTGAATCATTGTTTTATAAATTATGCCGACGGCTTTGCGAATGAATATTGACCCTTTAAAATGCTTATGGACTTTCCCGTTGGCACTCGTGCTTAGATATTTATCTTTTCGAAGTTTAGCCTAAGACAATACGGAACCCGTATTAAGTCTATCACTGCTAGTGACCTCGTCCGGTCACTTACACGAATATTTTACATCATGGTATACTCATTGAATTCAGATGGTACATATCTTTTCATAAAAATGACGCTAGCCGACAACAATATGCTGAAATGAGCAAATAATATAAATCATAGTTTGGGTTACCAGATTCACACTTTACTGTATGCATGTCAAATATCATGGGTATGGATTTTATTTTCTATTTTCTCCGTAAAAGTAATGCACGTGTATGTACACAGTAACGTGGTCTGACTGCAAAGCTTTACATTAATCAAAAATGTAAGTGAGCCTAATTATTTCAAATAACTTCATAGTAGGACCTATTAAAGCAATAGTACAACGTAGATTACCTGGAATGCAATTGGCGGTAGTGTTTTCTTATCAGAGTCCATGACTGTAATGTGTTAATCTTCTGAGTCGTTCTGACGTCCTTGTGTTATCTCGCAATCTTGCGTTCTGCTAAATGACAGTGAGATGATCTGAAATCTTCGGCTTGATTACTGCTTTTATATCACTCCGCTGGGTAGAAGTACTAAGTACCCGTATTCAGAATGTTGAATGTTGAGCGAGGGTTTTAACAGGGGGGTAAAGCTATGCGTTTTAAAAGAGCTTGTATGTGAACGTGTGATACATGTAAATATGATTCTCTTAGGACTACTTTTCCCATATAAGTGCTTATTTCACCAATTGAGTATAAAGGTGTATAGTTGTGATTGGGTCACTGAAAAACTGCGGGTCATAAATTTAGCTTTATACGTTCAGGTATTTATAGGTTCGCTTAAAAACGTGATAGACAATGTCACCTAGGTCTCTCCCCTAGACAATCATTGAAGTCCCATTATAATTGCTCATATAATATCTTACATACCTAAAATCTCGAGAACATATTGAGGGCGCAGTATCACCGATATATTGAGAAAATCAACAGAACAACCAAATGTCTGATAAAACACAATTAGTCAAAATCCACATACAACCGTTGAAACCCTTGAAAGTAATAAATATAACTACAAAGATGACCAGAAATGTGTTATGGTTCAGAAATAGATAAAAAAAATTTCAATTTCATATAGACTTTATCACGAACCAGTAGAAAGGTAATATATGTGAACAATCCTCAAATTGATCGCGTTGCGAATTAGTTGATGCCTCAACGTTTGGTAAATAGACCAACTCAGTATACATATTTTAGAGCCAAAACATCAGGGGGTTACTCTAATTGTGCTTTTATCAGACATTGCACCTTTAAGCTTCCCGTAGTCAGCTCTACATCGATCATGATGTAGTCAAATGATCTAGTCATGATGAAGTCATGATGTAGATGGTGATGTAGTCATGTAGTGATGTAGTAATGCAGTCAAATGATGTAGTCATGGTGTTGATGTAATCATTAAGTGCATGTTATCTCAAGAGTCATATTTCTCAGTATACAGAATTCTTTGAATCGTTAACTGCCAAATAGAAATTGAACTAGATGATGGCAACTCCGCGGAGTAGCAAATCCCAACGAACAAAATATCAATTACCGAATTCCAATCAATTATACTCATTACTTTGGTTAAAATTGAAAAATTTAGATTTTAGAATTGCGAATTCCTGCAAAGCAGCCATTTTGAATTTTCTGAGGTACAAATCTGAAAAATAATACCATAATTGTGATCTACTCCAAAATTCCTTCAATTTGAGTATTATATAGCCATACGTTGAAGGGAATCGAAAAAGTATTGCGAAATCGTACTTAGACGGCCATTTTGAATTTTACGAGGCTCGAATCAGAAAAAAAGATACAATATTTGCAATCTACTCTTAATTGCCTTTCATTTGAGTATAATAAAGCTATACTTCAGAAAGATCTAAAAATTAGCGAAAATTTCTGTTTTCCTGACCCCCCATACACGGCCCCTGGGGGTCAGGATGAAAAACACTGAATATATGTGAAATAGATAGATGTTGCGAATATACTACCAAAATTTCAAACAATAATATGAATTACTTTGGTTTAGAATGAAAAATTTATGATTTTTGCGAAAAAGTCCCGTCATTTTTAAAGCAGTGGCCATCTTGAAAAAATCCATTTTGAATTTTCTGAGGTACAAATCTGAAAAATTTTACCATAATTGTGATCTACTCTTTGGTTTAGAATGAAAAATTTATGATTTTTGCGAAAAAGTCCCGTCATTTTTAATTAAAGCGGCGGCCATCTTGAAAAAATTTTTTTTGCGTAAAACTATTTATCAATATACATCTTTCTACCAAATATGAAGAAAATCCGTCAACTAATATTTGAGTTATCTTCCGGACGGACAGACGGACGGACGGACTGACGGACTGACGGACGGACGGACGGACGGAGGGCTTCACTATATCCCTACCGAACTTCGTTCGTTGGGATAATTATCCCATGAAAATTCTTTTCGATGAAGGAAAATGAGTTGTTCCTGTTTCATTTGGGTACACTTTTTCGGGACACCCGGTATACACAAGGCGTCCACAATACGTTTGATCATATGTTTAGCATCAGGAAATATAATTATTGCAATGAAGGTTATAGCTTAAAATATATAATATTTCAAACTTTTGAGGTAGTTTACCAAATATAAAAGTAAACATTGTTAATTCATTAATTTCTATCAACCTTGAAGGAAATAAAATAAAATGAATGTCTCAAGTTTTGTCTTTTGAAAGTTAATTCGAGCTCGATGACTTTTAAAGTTTCGTATGATTCATAAATATGTCACGTAATCATAAACATTATGAAAAATAAGTTTGCAGTGACAGGAGGACCATATGGAATTCTTCTAACGATCATGAGAAAAACCATTGCATTTGCAGACAACGTATTTTATGACATTTCGGGTACATGTTAATTGTATAAGTACAGAGCAAGTACAAGGGAGGGGTGGGGTTATATTGCCCCTGCCCTCTTGTAATTGAAATAAAGTTAAGTCACAGGGACTAAGAGGGTGATATGTTTTGAAATTTTCTTGAACAACGTGAGAAATGTCGCGATTAACGTCGTTCATTTCGATAGTATCCATGTGCCCCTTTATCGTCATTGATGTGATTACTAATGTTAAATGGTAAGAAATAAAAAAACTATTTGATAAAAAAGCCTTAAGTGAAACGAGGGAACTTTTTGCTTTTTCGTTGTTTAATGCGGAACTAGAAAAATATGTTTTTCATTCGACCACCAAAAAGTGGTGACATATTCTTATGGTCTCCGTTTTTGTGACGGCGGTTGGCGATCGGCGGGTGGCGGTTGGCGTCTATAACAAATTCTTAAAACTTCCAATTACTGAAAAAATACTGTTTAAACTGAATTCAGTTTTTCAAAATCATCTACAAGTTTTCAAAAGTTCAAATCTGACTTTATATTTCAGATTTGACCTTCAATGACCTTTTGGAGGTAAAAAAGGCCAAACAGGTATTTTTTTCAACTTGCTTTAAATTGACCAATTTTTCCGAAATCATCTATAACTTATCAGAGGTTCATACCTGACTTCAGATTTGAGATTTGACCTTCATTGACCTTCTCAAGGTCAACAAGGTATTTTTTCAACTTGCATCAAATTGACCATTTTTTCAAAATCATCTAGACGTTCTCAAAAGTTCAAATCTGAATGACTTCAATGACATTCTCAAGGTCAAAAAAGGTATTTTTCAACTTGGTTCAAATTGACCAATTTTCCTTTTCAAAATCATCAAAATTTCATCTGACCATAGTCATAATTACGACATTGTCTCATTTCTTTAGTTTACGACATAATGTCGTAAATCATCACTTGTTTGAGTGCATGTTCTCAAGGTCAAAAAAGATTCATAATATTGTGAGCACCTAGCTAGGTGGTGAAGTTTTGTCCTGTTAATGGCTTGTTTGTAAGATGATACCTTGTTTGATAATGCAATTACAATCAGAAACTCGTGTACTTGTTCCTTTTCCCTTGCTCGAAATATTCTCATATGTCTATTACCCTACTATCACACCAAACTAGTTCTCACTACGTTCTCGAAAACGGGCTTCAACTGTGTACGAACGGACTGGACGTACTAAGAACCGTTTGGGATCTATTTACAAACTTCATCGAACGTACTTGAACGGGTAGGTCCTCTAGAACTTAGACAATGCTCAAAATGTTTTCGTGGTCGTCACGTTCTACAATTAGAACGAGTGACAACGTACTAACGACGAGCTGGACGTACTACGAACGGAACCGTCGTACTTGAATCCTACTAGGGACGTTTTAACAACGAGTGGAACTGTCTGAGGACGTGTTGAGAACGAGGTAGAACTCATTGCAAACGGGTTTAAACTGATTAAGAACGTATCTAACACTGCTTATGAACGAGTTAGCAAAAATATAGCTATCACACCAAACAGGTTGCCACTTCGTTCTTCAAAACTGGTTCTAAACTGTGTGCGAACGGAATGAACGTAGCTGCAACTTTCTAAGGTCTATTTACGAACTTTATGAACGTTCTCAGACGGGAATGTGATTTTAGAATTTTGAATCGATTCAAAATTCGATTGCGACCATACCGTTCTGTTAACAGGTCATGATGACCTTCTAGACTAAGGGACGCGTTCTACGGCGTTGCACACCGACGTGGTGCGACCTGAACGAACTGCGAACGAGATGGACGTATTGAAGACTGTTTAAGAACGAAGAAGCTAATTATTTCAGACATATTTCCCGACCACAGCCAGTTTGAGCCCGTTTTACGACGTTTTCGTAGGACTGGCAAGAACGGGTAAGAACGAGTTTGGTGTGATAGGGGGGTTAGATTTTAACATGGACAAGGTATGGACATGCTGATGTAGTTAAACCTCACTAACGTGATTTTTAATATAATCTTTGTATGACTAGATACATGTACATGTAAAAAAGTAGTTGCTTTAAATGACCAATGAGTAAATTAACCAAAACAACACTAGCTGATGTTTTTCTATTCATCGCCACAAATAAAGTTGAATTTCTACTAATGCATGAATGTGCCTAAATAAATAATCCATAGCTGAAAGACTACATGCACTTGAAGACAGGTTATCATTCTGCTATACCCTTGAAGACGGAAACAAGGAGAATAACACGTCAATCATTTTCATAACTCCCTTTATTTAGCCAAGACAAGGTCGAAATGGTGGATAAAATGCCAGACTATCATTTTTCAAACTAAAGACAATATGTGCAGAATTGTCAATTTCATTATCAAATTGACGCTTGAATGTTATTCAAGTGACAATGATTTATCAAGATGATTCGCTCGATGAATTACCTAAATGCCGATTTGCGTCATAACAACTTCTGTCAAACAATGCAGAGTAGTTTAACATATTTAAAGGCCCACTATACTTCCTTATGATACCTATTGAAAATACGCAAAGTGGGCCTTTAATATGAAAGGATAAGACAGTGAATGGGTCAGGATATCAACGAAAATAGTAATGTCTTAAAAATTTTAAAAAATCAACTCAATCACACATAATATTAAACCTTATATCTTATCCTTCTTCCGAAGAGCACAAAACAGGTTGTATCACGATTGGTAAAGAATGTTTGAACTAAAGACAATGCTGTAAGAATCGTAGTCAAATTTTAAAATTGGGAATATACTTTATTGCAGAATTAAGTTTTAGCAAGCTGTTTATGATGGCAAATCCGTAGAATGTGATATATCAATCTTAAGCACTCGGGGATGTTATATTTAAGGATTTAAGCCTTGGACCCAGTGCATTGTGTGCTGAACCATTCCACGAAGATGTTATTTTCAAATCTTTGCATGACCCCGCAAGGAAAATGCAAAGTTTAGGAAACAACATCTGAGTGGAATGAAGCAGCCACAATGCATTGAGTCTTGGGCTTAAATTCTTTTCACACATTTCACACTTTTCGTTTAGCAACTGTACACAACAAATGCGTTATTGATTTTTCGAATGCCGTGAAAATTTCTTTATCATGTCAAAGGATGCTATTTCTTTAGCATGACATAGGATGCTGTTTCTTTAGCTTGACATGGAATGCTATTTCTTTAGCATGACATACGATGCTATTTCTTTAGCATGAAACAGGATGTTATTTCTTAAGCATGTCATAGGATGCTATTTCTTTAGCATGACATAGGATGCTATTTCCTTATCATGACATAGGATGCTATTTCTTGAGCATGACATAAGATGCTATTTCTTTAGCATGACATATTATGCTATTTCTTTAGCATGAAATAGGATGCTACTTCTTGAGCATGTCATAGAATGCTTTTTCTTTAGCGTGACATAGTATGCTATTTCTTGAGCGTGACATAAGATGCTATTTCTTGAGCGTGACATAAGATGCTATTTCTTTAGCATGACATAAGATGCTATTTCTTGAACATGCAATATATATTTAGAAGAAGAATGCCCTTTGGTTACCCTTGAATCGTAACATTGTTGATGAAAATAGACCATCTACCTGAATCAATATATATCAAATATGATATAATGAATACTTTAATATCGAGAATACTTGGTTAAATCCTCGTCATTTTTCTTTATTTTTCAGTTAGGTAAAAAAGTAGATCAAATGGTTGTTGTATTTGACATGAGTAACGCAGGCACGAAACAACTATGGCGGCCTGGCATGACAATGTACACACATCTTGTACAAATTCTAGAAGATAACTATCCAGAATCTGTCTACAAATTATTTGTAGTCAATGGTAAGTCGTAAACCACATTGGCTACTTAGATGACAAGAATTGAGAAAACAAGTTGCAGAATTTTTCAAAACAAAAATATCTTAATTTGTTCACTTATTCGCTCTCATTTTTATAACTTATCATTTGAAATAAAATAAAATGTTTTGTCATGTGTGTAATGGGTCTAGCTTCATTATGTTTTATTACATAATATTAATGCAAAATATGAAAACCTTTAAATGCTCTGAACCCAAAGTGTAATTGTATTTTAATCTATTATTATCCAAGGGGGTAGCCCGGCATGAAGCAGGCGACGTAACTGCTTCAGCAAAACTTTACAGAAAAATATTATTTCGAATTCAAACTGTGCAAATGAAGTCCGAAAATAGAAATATACCATATTTCCCCTCAATTTGCTTCACCTTTTACATTTGCCTCGCCACATTTTGATCCTGAATACATCATTGAATCAAAATATGGTGTCTTGCCATGCTCACTTAGGGCAAAATGTAACCTCTTTGATAAGCCTATTTGCATAACGAGTGTATGAAACCTTGACAGTGTAAGGAAACAAGATAGGGACACATCATTACCAATTTTGAACAAACTTTGTGTATTATTTTCATAATTAGATATATTTGTGCAAAACTTTTTGAACAACCCTTAGCCCTTATTTATATATTCATCTAAATTTCAGCTCCAAGTATTTTCCCAATCATCTGGCGACTAGGGAGGCCTCTCATAAGCGACCACATGAAGAACAAAATCCACGTTTTAGGAGGTTCGTGTGTTTTTTCGTCACTGATATTGGTTTATTCCAATAGTTCCGCATCTCGGCGTTTTTAATAGGGAGATTTAGCTTGCATATAAAATCGAAACGCTAACCTATACGTATGCCCAATCGCCCATATAAATGCATCGCTTATATCTATTCCGTTCACGTTTAGGTTGTGAGAAACATTGCAAGCTTAAACTCCCTCTTGTTTTTTTATCCACGTGCGCTAATAGTTGACCATTTGGAACACTGGAAAGTTACATTTGATTATTCAATATCTGCTTTCATTGTTTATATCGTTTATGACTATGCAAATGTCATTCAAAATTTTAATACATTTCGATTTTGGAAGAAAATATATGCAGAATCAAAAATGTAGAAAGCGGTCTAAGATATGTCTATTCAAAACTAGAACAAAATTCTGATCAAGTGGCTCTCAATCAACAAAAAACGAATGTGAAATTTCAATTTTCTCTCATTATAGCTGCTGATATTTTGTTTCAGGTAATTTCAAAGAAGAATTACTCAAATATATAGACACAGAAGAGTTACCTGCTTTTCTTGGAGGTTCCCAGACAGATCCGGATGGTGACCCAAAATGCCCTTCTAAGGTACATTATGGCGGTAATCTTGCCCAATCCCTTGTGTACCCGATGCGGTCTTGTACCACTTAGGTGCACTCCTTCTTCGAGGGGTACGGTTATAGATATTGTTGGTGAGGGGGCACTGGCAGAGAAGATGGACTTTAAATGGAAATGGAAGATGAAATTTATTTCAAACATACAGTTTCAGAAAAAGTTTCGTTTTTAATCTTCGTTTTCGTTGCTTTCATGATACAGACATTGACCAAGTTGATATATCATGTTCAAATTCGTACCAACATTCGTAGCCATATTCCTATAATTTCAAGGTAAAAAACAAGGCAATATTCCTTACCTAAAAGCGCGGTACGACAATCTTAAAGAATTTCCACTGTTTGTACTATTTATACATATATGCTATTATTCTCGCTAATATATAAACAGGTGAACTACACTGTCATCTTTTAATAAACATTTTTTCTATTACCCAAAGCCTATGAAATGTTCGATACCACAACAACAGGAATAAACAAATAATACCTTTATAGTATAGGTAGTTTTACCTTGCAATTGTTAACGCATCAGCTAGATGTACACAATGCCTTTTATAGATGGCCATTACGGGCTGCCACTAACGAAATAAATTAATTCTTTGCAGATATGCTGGGGAGGGGACGTTCCTGAAGAGTTTTTCCTAAAAGACATATCAGTCACTGAGAATATGGTGACATCTAGTGTCGACCCAGGAAAAACTAAAGATCTGAAATTTCAAATCGAGAAACCTGGAACGATGTTAAGGTAAGTTGATAACAGCGGACACTGTGAATGCCATTGAGTGAAGAGTGCAGAATATTTTCACCAATGGAGTATCCTCTTAATTGACATGTTAACAAACGTAAATTAGAATACACAATGTAAGTGCAATTAAGTGAAGGGTGCAACATATTTTCACCAATGGAGTATCCTCTTAATTGACATGTTAACAAACGGAAATTAGAATACACAATGTAAGTGCAATTAAGTGAAGGGTGCAACATATTTTCACTAATGGAGTATCCTCTTAATTGACATGTTAACAAACGGAAATTAGAATACACAGTGTGAGTGCGATTAAGTGAAGGGTGCAACATATTTTCACCGAGGGAGTATCTTTTCCAATGACATTTTTAACAGACGGATATTCGTTTTGCACATTTCAAAAGATGTGCAATGGCTAATATAGCATATCTTAATCTCTGAGTCGTTGGCGCTACGTAGACTCGAGCTCTTTCTTCACAAAAAATGAAGATTCTTTTCTGATTGAGAAAAGTTATTCCAAACATTGAAGTCAACATTATTCTCTTCTATTTTCCAGGTGGGAATTTAAAACAGAAAATTACGATATTGGGTTTGGACTCAAATTTACGTCACCAAATGGCGAAACTCATGACGTCATGCCTGTAGAACGTGTAAATAGTCACATGGTTCCGGAAGATGGCGACCACATTTGCACCGAAGCTGGAGAATGTGAGTCTGTAACTTTTACAATTTTATTCACAGACGACAAAAGAAAACTACATGTACACCCAGTGTAGGAAAAACTTCAGGAAAAACTCTCACAAATCTCATTTTGACAGATATTCTGCTAAAAATATTAGTTAAAAGATTTATCCGATCCTTGACATTTTTTCAGCACAACCTGAAAATTAATATTACTTTTGTGGAACCATACTTCTATCACAAACATGTACTTGAGAATGTCAATGATAATATCGATACGTTAACATTTGCATCGATCAGCGCAAACGTATCGAAAGGGCAAAGTGATAATTAACTCAATGTCTGATCCCTTTTGTTCAAAGGACACTTTTTTACAGAATGTCGAAAATTAGTATAGTAATTTATACAGTAATGGTCGTTTTGACCAGTGCTGTTAAAAACGCGATTTTCTGCCATCTTTATTTTGATAAAAGAGAGTGTATTATTTCGCAATTACGCTATTTTATATTAATGAAAAATGATCAGTCCAAGGTAAATGCTTTTTTCCAAAAGGGGAGTACATAACTCAACGAAAAAGGTTTATACATTTTTTTAATTTTGTTTTGACAAGTGTTTGACCTTTAAAACATTGCGGAGGTATTGCCAGAATGTAAAATAAGGCATTGAGGCTAAAGAAGATACATCACATTATAAAACTTGCCTTTTCAGTGAAAATTAGGTCAACATTAAAAATGTTTGTTCCCTTTAATATCCTGGATTTCACTTACAAAATATATTCCTGTAACTGTCCCGCCTTTATATCATTTGGTTAACTACATGACCTGGAACATAAAACAATAACAAATCTGCATATCAATATTTCATGCTGCATTCTCATACAGGGTGATCACTGACCTATTCAATGCAATGATTAGGCTAGAATACGTCCCGCAAAACCAAAAAATTGGCGTGATTATTTCATTGTACAAGGGCAAGAAAAAAGATAAATTAATCAAGACAAACTATAGAGGACTTACACTCACCTCTGTTATTAACAAACTTTGGGATACTATTCTCTTGGAAAGGAATATGCATATCTTGAAATGTGCAAATGTTCCGCACAAATTGCAATTTGCCCATAATGGCGGGAGTCAAATGGCCACATTCGTTTTTAAAGAAATAGTAGCTCATTTCCAAGAGAGAAACTCTCCCATTTTCACAGCCATGCTTGATAATCTCCAAGCTTTTGATTTATTGTACAGAAATGGACTTTTTGTAAAATTATATAAACTTGGAATTAACTCAAAAGCTTGGAGACTCTTTGTCAAATCGTATAGCGACACGAAAGCTAGAATTCTATATGATGGGTCATACTCCCGTGAAATTACTATTAATCAGGGATGTGGTCAAGGTAGAATTTGCTCATCGCTCTGGTTCATGTTATATATTGATGACCTTATAAAAGAATTATGTGATTCTGGCCTTGGAGTCGCACTTAGCGATGACTTAATAATACCATGTATCCTAGTAGCGGATGATACTACCGTGTTAGGAACTACGCCTAATGAACTACAAAAATTATTAGATATTGTATATAATTACAGCTGTCGCTGGCGTCTAGTATACCATGCAGGTTTTCCCTTAGATAAATGTAAAAGTGCCATATTAATATATGATTTGCATTTAAAACGATATGATGAAACACGTTGGCACCTTGGACGTGAATCCCTTCCAACTAGACACCAACAAATATACGTAGGCAATATCATTGACTCTAATACTCATGTAAGCTCTAAGGCAGCTATAACGGAAGCTTGTCTTAAAGCAACACGTACTTTTAACTCTTTGTGTTTTATTGGTATGTACCGTAATGGTCTCAACCCTCTAACTAGTGCCAAAATATGGAAAAATATTATAATGCCTTCTGCATTTTATGGGTGTGAACTTTGGTTCAATATTAAACGAAATGAAATGGAAAAGCTCGAGCGTGCTCAACGACAGGTTGCCAAAAGAATCCAAGGTTTCCCTATAAGAACACCTAGTGCTATAGTCTTGAGCACGCTTGGTCTATTGTCCGTTGAGAGTTACATCAATAAAATGAAATTCCTGTTTCTTGGCAGACTACTGAGAACTGATAATCTATATGTTCAAAAACAGATTTTACTAATTAGAATATCTAGCTTGCTGGTTAGAGACGTTTTACACCTCAAACAAATGGGCTTTTTGGCTGATATTCTGCAACTTAAAGATTCTTATCCTATTTTATATACTGAGTTTGAACGTTATATTAAAACTACTGTTGTAATGCATAAATCCAAATGGAAAATGATAGTAAACGCACAAATCTTTTCAAAACAACAGCAATTATGGCACCACATGCTGAATCAGGATGCCTCTCTATATCGCTTTAGAAATAGTCATACAGTGTACGAACCAATAATACATTGGAAATTGGGAATTATTTATCCATCTCACACTTGGAAATTGGGACAGCTTTTATCCTTATTAATACTGAACTCAGAAACTGATAGATGCTGTCCTCTTTGCAATAGTGTGACGAATGACATCACAAAACATATATTATTACAATGTCAAGTACTATTTCAAGAAAGAGATAATCTATTTAATGCTGTTGTTGATACATTAGGAGTTGTTGACTCTGTGGCGTTATTTAATACTGATGATGAGATATTTCTTGAAACTATTTCAGGTAGCAGAACAGATATGTTATTTGATTGTAATGATTGCATTTGGCAACAATTTTTAATAGTATCTGCGGTGAAAATAGATTATTTGCTAAACCATGCTGTACTACATTTAAATATGTAAATACCTGGAATATTTGTAAATAATGTACATTTTATTATTATTATTTTATTTTTCCTTAATTTTGAGTTAAGTTAAAATGTTAAATTGTAATCTTCATTTAATGGAGGAAATAAAGAATATACAATACAATACAATACAATACATGGCCAGCTGATAAAAGGCACTTTAATTATTCTTGAAGATTTTTAAATTTTCCTAGTCTCTATGCCTCAAAACTACATTTGTTTCCTGTGCAACAATTTTAAAGAGAAACTATAACTAAGTATTAACCTCTAAGTATTAACCTCTAAGTATGTACTAACCTCTTGGATGTACTAAGTATTAACCTCGGTCACATTTGTTCTACGGCAGCCGTTCGGGGGCTGTCGTACGATTGTCGTAAATTAAATGCGACTGAGACATATGCATTAGACACACAATCCTTGATTTTAAAATAGCTGTTACTTTCAATTCACATAATATTTTCTTTTATGTAAAATTTCCAGATACGATTGTATTCGACAACAGTTTTAGCTGGACACGTGACAAGAAGTTATTCTACGTCATAGAGACTATAGAGCCTACTGATTCCGGCGTCAATAAAGACCTAAACGATATTGTACAACATGGTAGCTGGAACGAACTTAATTCAAAGATGAAGGACGCCAGTATATGATGTTGTCCTGCGTCTAAAAGTATTATATCAACTCTCCAAACAACAGATAGTATATTTATGACGTATATAAAGTCTCAGTCACATTTGCTCTACGGCGGCTGCAGTTTCACAAAATCGATTTAGAAAATTGACATCATTACTGCCTAATTATGCTGCATATTTCTTTCGATTTTTTAATCTACGACCGCCTTGCAGTTGCAGTATGTCACAGAGGGATTAGAAACATCTTCTTACAATTTGATGGTGTATTCAATATTCAACTAATATTTAACGTATTTTTTATTATTTAGCACAATATTTGTGATTATTCAGTAATGTAGGCTATATCGATGACGTGATATACAATTGTATCATATCGAAGACAATTGTTACATCTATCCCTCCTATCAACACGTTTGTAGACCACAAAGGGGTTGTTTACTAAAATGAATAATGTGTGAATATCATGATAACACCAATATTCGTGTTTGTAATGTAAAAATGGTAATAGATCATATTGATAACCTATTGGTATATGTTCTGTTCTGTTTTATTGTTTTATATATCATCAATTACATTCTCTGGTTTGCCAACTGAATATGTTGAAACTGTACTCAGGGCATATACAAGGGCCGATCAAAAAGTTTCTTACCGTAGGCTCTAGATTTTTTAATAAGAGGAATTGGATACTCAAACTTTTACATGAGATAGGGTAGTAAGTTTGCTTGAGACTGTCTGAGTTTCATTTAAATTAGTTCATTGGTAGTGACACAGAGTCAATACATATTTTCAATGATTGAATTAGGTGGAGCAGCGTTTTTTATAAAAAAAATTATGCTAAGATGCAGTTTTGGAAATTTCTAACACTAAGTAGTGTCATCTCTCAACAGACTGTAGTTTAATCATGTTTAAATAGTTTTTCTGCTAATATTCATTCTCCTTCAAAATATTCAACCCCAGTTGCAATGCACTTCCTTAATCTGTCCACTCGATCCAAAAAACACACGTTTAAGGCCTTCGCATGAGAGGTTTTAAACAATGTCGGTAAATTTCCAGAACCACAACTCAGCAGATATTTTTTTAGATATAACGCTGCTCCACCTAGCTAAGTCATTGAAAATATGTATTGACTCTGTGTCACTACCAATAAACCAATTTATATGAAACTCGTTCAGTTTCAAGGAAACTAACTATCCTGTCTCATGTCAAAGTTTGAGCTTCCAACTCCTCTTACTATAAAATTGAGAGCCAACGGTAAGAAACTTTAAAACACAGAAACATAATTACCCATAACCCATAGGTTAGTTCTAAATTTAATTATAGATGGAATTACTCTGAACCAAAATATGCATTTGAAATAATTACCTCTATTCAACTTCCAATGGCTACTGTTGCACATGGCTTACATCAATGACAAATCGGGTCCCTTTTATCAATGACAAACAGCAAATATTTATAATTCATATGTTATATATGCAATTTAAAATTAGATAAAACCTGCAGTGTTAATGTATAGTAAGAAGACGAAGCTATCATTTATTATGAAGCTAAATCAGACTAATGCGAAGTGTAAACAAAATAAAGCCTAAGAAAACATTAACAAATGCCACCCGAATTTGCCAATTATTGGGTAAAAAGAAGGGAGAGGAACACAGAGTTCTGAATATCACAACTACTATTCGTTTCTTAAGAATCAATTCATCCCATGCATTTCTTGGTAACACATTTCGGAACTTCCTCAAAAGATATCCTGAGTTTTCAAAATCACATTCCTCGTTTTGAATTAGAACAATTTCACCATGAAAACCCCGAACACGTGATCTCTCAAATGACTCATAATGTATTGCTAAGAATTTTGGACAGCTTTAGTTTTGACAAAGATTATTATTGGACCTCACATTTTCCGTTTTGAATTAGAACAACATGTTACCATAAAAGTCCCGAGCACGTAATCTATTAAAGGACCCATAATGTATTGCAAAGAATTTTGGACAGCTTTATTTTTGACAAGGACTATTATTGGACCTCATATTTCTTGTTTACCAGAACATTTCTCGTTTTCAGCAGTTTAGAACAATGTGTTACCATAAAAAGAATGATGAAAATGTCAATAGATCATACCGATAGATCATGGATTAGTAGCCTCGTCAGTTTCAAAAAACGTGTTCCTCATTTAAAATAAGTGTTTGTTTTTCTTCGGAATAACAAACTGAGGAAATACATGTACTGATCCATGACCTATCGATATAATCCCATTAACATTCTTTCATTTTTTGTGCTGCACAAACATGTGTGGTCAGGCAATACCCCCAGTCAAAAATACAGAATTGTATGCAATACATTACTGTTCCTTCAGTGCACTGGCAAACTAATGAAATAGTAAGAAGATTCAATATTAGATTATAGTATTGCGTAGCTATCCAGGGAGGGGGCAAGACGCCGGCCAGGATAAAACAGCAATAGCCAAAAATACCCCGGAGAAAAGAGAGTTATTTGATGACGAAATGGGGCACATAAACATTGACTAAAACAAATGATATCTGATGACATCAAAAAATCAAAATTAACTTTACAGCGCTATTACACAATTTATAGTTCACACATAAACCAACTGAAACGTGTGTCATAAATTGATAATGGATGTATATGCCGATTAAAACAAACCCCATGACATTTAGCATCACACGCCTGATGTCAATAAGCATTGTATATGGTGTAAAAACTCACTAATTACATATTCCTATTAAAAACGTTTTTGACACATAGTCAATTGTTTAAATCATAAAATGCCAATTGCTTCACCTTTTTATCAGAGAGCTCACTCCTGAGTCCAGAACTGTTGAACAAACATGTAAATATTAATTCTGGCGTGATCTCCGAACGTACGAGCCCTTAAAGGTCTCGGGGACCACGTGACCCGACGGAAGCAACAATGACGCCTTTTACGAGAGCAGTCTTTTTGACTGTAACTTTGGCGATTTTGTGTGAAGGTAAGATTCTCTTTATGATTATTTTGTTCTCAATAAATGTGTGGCGAAATTTAGAGCAAATGGATGCAAAAAAGTGTATAACGATTGTGTGAAAATCATAAATAGTAGAAAGCGCACTATAATAGCAGTTTTGAACTAACCATGGCATAAAAGAGAAACCTAAAGACTCTCTTAAAAAGTTATCAACATTATGTAATGCGAGGACCAATCTACCAAATGCAACAGAAAGCAGCTTTGTAAATATATTTCCAAAATTATGATGCATTGAAAATGTCTTTTTAGTTAGTGGAAGTAAAGAAGTGTCGAAGAGACAATCCGAAAATGGGGTAGAATTTGATCCATCATCCCCGGAGTTTTTAGCAGAAGTCAAGAAATGTAAAAAGGTGATCAACGAGTTCCTGAAAGAGAGATGTTTAAATTTAACATTCTCTGTGGCATATGGTAAGATATTTAACATAAATGTTTTTTTGACTGATTATTTGTTGGTTATGCATTATACAATACAATTGTGATTTTGTGTCAAATATATTCTAATTTTCCAAACGAATTCCGGATATCATTTGATGAGCAAATGCAACTAACTTTTGATGTTTCCAAGTAAATATATATTTTTCATACGCCATTCCAAAATAACCTTTATCATAAAATATAGATGACGTTCCATTAATCTGAAGTGACGTCTTCAGGATTCACCCAGGATTCAATTCTGTGTTTACGTGTAACTTTAAATAGGTCAGGCAACAAGGGATACTCTTGCTAAAGTATTCGATGACACAAAGAGGTTCATCGATAGCAAAATAGAGACAGTGGGTGATCAAAGAATTCAAAGCGCTGCTGGAGTTGAGCTTTGTGACGAGGTACGTTTTAATTTCAACATTATGTACGTTATTTTTATTGAAATGTAAACTAAATACAACTATAAGAAAGGACTCATAATCCACATTCACCCAAAAGCACTGGTTTGAGATTATAGCTAGCCTAGTTGTATTTTGTGTATAGTAGATCATTCTGATTTGAACTATACATTATTGAATGATTGGAAGTGAAATACAGGATATATTCTGCTCGAGAAATTTTGTATTGGAACGAGACGAAGTCGAGTGCCAATACAGAATATCGAGAGCAGAATATATCCTGTATTGCACTTCATATAACGTTTTTATCGTGTGATCCTCTGTATTGCTACTGAGATTGTCCCCTCCGTACCAATATGATTTTCTGTATTGCGAAGGAGATGATCAACGGGGATAATCTCAGTAGCAATACAGATTGGTACAGCACAAGAACTGACCAATCAGAGTGCTTCATTTTACAGATCATACGATAATATCTATTGTTTTTAAATTCAGTGGCTAGCCGACCCTAAGAACGACAAGCCTGTAAGGCCTACAGGGTTGGAACCCTGCCCATGTACGATAGTGCAAGCGAAGAAAGATCCTAGATTTCGCAGGGACCCCTTCTGTTGGAATAATGAGACGTTTGTTGCACCCAGATGCAAGAACATCCAGCCCGGCGCGGTTCATTGTGTGTTGCAACGCAGACCCAGGTAGACTTCATGCATATGAATGAATTTACAAAAATAGTAATAGAGACCTTCCCTCAATTGAATCTGTGAAAACGTGGTCAAATGCTAGTATAATATTTTTAACCCATTTTTGAAACCATTTTTTTGTCTAATATTTTCAATTTTATCACGCTTGATTTTAGTTTAGATCCCGACTAATGTCTTGACGTTAAAGATACTGATGATAGTCTTACTCGATCATTTTTGGCGGATTCAATGTTCATGCTTATATCATCTTTGGTTAAATTCAACCTTGGGAAAAATTCAGCCTTAGTTAGAGGGAGGATGTCGAGTGATTTCGGATGCCAAAACATTTTTCACGTGATCATATCCATCACATTTATTTGTTTTGAGTATAATTCTTGCTATGATATAGCTGAAAATATGGATATACTCAATTTGAAAATATCTTTATATTCCTTGTTAGTTTTGCAACTGGGGCTGGTCAGAAATGTTGTTATGACAAAGATGGGGAGCTGTACCAGGGGCCAATAGGAGGAGGGCATAGGGTAAAAGCTCATTTAGACGGATACGGCAATTTGCCTTACTATGCCGTTTTAGTAAGCTACTATAAGCTTGATGTTCTCCCGTGGTTGTATTGCTGTAAATGGGCCCAACATAACGACCCGTCTAAGTGTGAAGCATATTACGAACGACGCCCGTCAGATGACTGTACTGGGTATAATGGTACAATTCCCGAACCACGTACGTATACTCGTATAATACTGTATCCGACTTATTCAAAAGATTGTTTTGGTACTTCTTCAGTGCATCTTAATTTCTGTACTGGTTCAACGTCATGTGTCCTTAAGGAAGATCTCTTTACCAGCGCGGTCACACGAAATGATAATGTTATGGCCCTTAAAGGGGACTATATTCTTAAGTAACATCAATATTTCGATGTCTACCTGTAAGCTTAAGGTTGCGCGGCTATAACTTTGAAAAAATACAGAAACCTCCATTTTTATATGAAGACTATTCAAATGAATTTTGATAACACGCTAAGCTAGGCAATGTTCCCGTAACCATGAGGTCATGATTTCGACACCCGTGATCTCCTTACGTTTATTCATGTAAATCTTCTTCAATCATTTTAGTGAGATGGTATAACTTTTGAAAAAATGTTGCATTCTCCATTCTTTACTGACACTTTGATTGTTTCGTGAATTAAAACATAATATGGCAACTTTGAATAATCAATCAAAATTACTTATGATTTCAGCCGAAGGAGGTTGGCAACCAGGTTCCTACTGGGCAGGGGGTGAGTATTAATAACTATTTTTGTCCCTAGCTTTTTTTCTTTCAGTTTTGCAACACATTTGTGAGATTGCTTCCTTGTACAAATAAGTATTCCTCGAACCTGATTTTTATTGGCCAATACCATTGTTTTTATTGACACATTCATTGTTTTATGCTTTCTTTGATCGCCCTCAATAATCTTTCATTTTAGTTTGGGGTGATCCACATCTGCTTTTTGATGTTGGACCAAAGGACAATAAATTCAGCATTTGCTTTGAATGGTTCGGGGATGCTGGTGAGATATATCAATACTACACCGAAACGAGCACCGGAACCCAAGTGAACGCTAAGTTCGCCGGAGCCCCGTGGATGGAACAGAAACATTCGGGAAATGCCGAACTTTTCGTTTCGGGAGGTTCCGGAAAAATTGTTGGAGAGTTGGCTATTGTGACAAAGGAAGTTACTTTTCATATTTTCCCCACGTACATCGTTATTGACGGGATGAGACGGATTTCTCCTTGGCAGACATTATATCATCAATGGGGTTCGCCTGAAGACACACAAGTAAGAAATGCTATATCAAACCTCGGACCGTAATGACCAGGACGTGCGTGTGTACATACCTATACAACGAAACCCTATATGTTCTTGAGATTCAAAACTTTACTAGGCTCACCAAGGATCAACCCCTTTATTTCTGACTTTATTTTTAATTTATTGAAGTTATTTTGTGGAGGGGATGCTTTTTCAATTCTTATGCCAAAGTCTAAGCATAAGTGCCAAAAGAAAATGTCAAAAGGTTGGAGTGGACCTAGCAAGAAAAAGTGTATTCTAGTCATAAGAAAAAAACACCATATATCCCAAATCATGATCTAACGTGGAAAAGAAACGATGTCCAGTGCCCCATTAACTCTCCATTCAACAATCCATTATCACAATCCAAGACCAGAACATCAATGGACATTTATACAATTTAGACGCGTCTGCATGTAAATCGTCAATGACTTCCATATTTAATCAGATTTCTCCATTCTTTTTCTCAAAAATTGAATTACTGCAATTTAAATGTTGAGTATACATGGATACTTTCGGCATTCCATTTTTGAATCAAGGGCGAGCTTTTCGAAATATCTAAAATATTGCAACCAGCATTTAGACCACTCTCTACTCTTATATAATGTATACATTTATTTTGATAATGCAAGCCATGTATCACCACACGTTGTTGTCGTAGCTCTGCACATTTGCATTACACTCCACAATCTTTACTACCGCTTTAATTTCGATTAATTTAATATCGATTGCCATTTTAGGTCACGTTGAATATGGTAGACAGAACCAGGATGGAAGTTGAAATTCAAAAGGGTTCCGCTATTATTAGAATCATGGTAGTGAGATCCGGTAAACATATCGATTTCTCGTGTGAGAATGAAAATGAGATGCCTGGTACAGAGGGGGGACTTATGGGTAGGTACATCCTTCTGATAGCTCCAGGCTAGGTCGATACTATACAATGCAAAATTTCATTTTTTTTGTCTTTTGCTGGCTCTATAGAATCACGGGGTACCATCGAATAATTTTGGGAACGTACCGGAGAACGACATTTTACTAAGAAATGGCAATAATTTAGCACAATATATTCTTTAACTAGAGTTCTACTTTGATTTTGACAAAAGTAACTATTCCATGCAATGGCTATTTCACTCATGAGTTTGTAGGAATTTTGTTGGAACCCAGTTCTGATCAAGTACGAAGTTATTGAAATCGGCGCAGTCGGACTTTACTCCGAAAGATGGTTTTTCGATTATAACTTTTTACAACATTTAAGTATAGACTTTTGAAAAAAGTACAGAATAGTCCTTATACTATTGAATAATTCTGTTATTTCTGATTCACACGACTCTGATTTGTTTAATTAAAAAAAAGTTTTAAAAATATTACTTAGGAACGTAACCGGAGCTGGGAACGTAACCGGAGCAGATCAGTTGAATTATATAATTAAAAAAAACAAAATATATGATTTAAAGCATATATATTATTTACAAACACATATGAATGTTAAAATGAGCATTTATTACCCTTCACTTACAGGAAAATCAATGCATGGCAAAACATATAAATTTTCCAAAGATATATTTTTTTGCACTTATATCTTAGAGTATCAAAAAATTCACTGATAGTTATTGCTTCAGTGGGAAGCTGGGAAGTAACACAAGGAGATACATGTATAGTACAAAGTTCTGTCAAACAAAGAAGAGGCGGTCATCAGTCGCATCGCTAATTAAAAACACACTGAAATGCTCTAAGCTGATTGGCTGGCACACACTTAGCATACTATCAGCTTACTTGGTGTGATAGAATTATAGAACACTGTCTATTAACGACTGAAAAGCAATGTTCTGTAGTTTAACTAGAAAAAATCATTCACTTTCTTACTTGCTTAATGACCCACGCCTAGGTTTATCGAAACAAAGATGGATAACAACTGGTTTTGCATAAAACAATAAACGGGCACTCACTCAAACATCTTACGTTTATATGGAGGGGGGGGGGGAGGTTAGGTGAAGAATTTCAGAAAGCATATGCATATGCATATATGTTGATTCGATTTGGTCGAGCACATGACAAGTACTTAACACACCTACGCTATATACAGTTCGTTGTATCCTAACTTTTTTAATAATCTAGCATTTAAATGCTTTTATTTCCCCTGAAAAAGAGAAGTTGTCTTAGAAGTATAATACATGTATGTATAAACAGTGTATATATACGAAATTAGTATAACAGAGTGGGTTCTAATAGTTCGCTGAACAAATACAATGGGTGAAATCATTTGGAATTATTTGCTTACTACATTTAATCACTTCATTCTCCATACAATGATTGTTCTATGTTTTATAGCCTTTCTAAGGTAAGTGCACTTATGCATGGTAAATACCAAATTTAATTTTTCACAATGGATAAATTTTTTTTATTTAAATAAAATGTAATAAATACGCATTCGAACAATCCCGTATGTTTTTAAATTAGTATGTGCTTTAAATCATATATTTTAATTTTTTGATTAAATAATTCAACTGATCTGCTCCGGTTACGTTCCCAGCTCCGGTTACGTTCCTAAGTAATATTTTTAAAACTTTTTTTTTAATTAAACAAATCAGAGTCGTGTGAATCAGAAATAACAGAATTATTCAAAAGTATAAGGACTATTTTGTACTTTTTTCAAAAGTCTATACTTAAATGTTGTGAAACGTTATATTCGAAAAACCATCTTTCGGAGTAAAGTCCGTCTGCGCCGATTTCAATAACTTCGTACTTGATCAGAACTGGGTTCCAACAGAATTCCTACAAACTCATGAATGAAATAGTTATTGCATGGAATACTTACTTTTGTCAAAATCAAAATAGAACTATTGTTAAAAAATATATTGTGCTAAATTATTGCCATTTCTTAGTAAAATGTCGTTCTCCGGTACGTTCCCAAAATTATTCGATGGTACCCCGTGAGAATATCGAAATACAGATGCCATTTACATTAAGAAAGTTCAGTTCAAAGCTAAATTCAGCGACTCCTGTCTTTCTTGTGGCGTCCTCTAGCGAAGAAAATAGTCGGAAAAGACGATGGTTCCTGAAGCTTCTTCGGCCATCTTCTTGATAAACACATTCAGTTGCAATTGCGGTACATCGGTGTTCTCCCTCTTCATTTCAGGCTCCATTGTTAAATCCGTTGAGGGCGTCATTCCGCAACCAAGCAACCCAGAGTACGGTAACCTAGTCGTAGGAGAAGAGAAGACGCACGTACGCGCTCGATTGATCGAGGAGCATGGCAGACAATGCTGGCACGTACCCTATGGTGGCCGAGATCTCTTGGCCGCTGAGCACGTCAAACGATTCCTCCTGAGCTGTATTTTCTGTGATAAATAACAAGACAAAACTTTACAATGATTTAGTTCTCTCACAATGACTGCCTTGATAAGTACTCAACATCTTACAACGAAAAATGCGACTCTTCAATATAAACAATGATTTAGGATATTCAATTTTTTATTTGATTAATGACATTAATTTTAGGGAGCTGGTGGAAGCGAGCTTAGTTTGCAATGAATTTATGCACCCAAATTCGTTGTCGATTTTGCTTGCTTTTCAAATCCTTCGAGTAGAATGACGATAGAAAGACACAATTATTATAATTTATGTATCTGACCTTTAGGTCCACTTACAAGCAATAAATTAACGTATCAATAAAACTCAGTGTGACCTTTGTTAATTTATAGAGTATAGATTTTTAGTTGTTTAAATCGAATTTTGACTTTTAGTTAAGGCTAACACAAGCTCATCATGTTGAAGGGTTGTGATGTTAAGTCCCTTCATCATGTTAATCCAATACTAGCCCCTTTATCATGTAAGCAAATTAATGCTAGTCGCGTAATGATATTAAATCAGTGTTAGTCCCTTTATCATGCTAAATTAATGCTAGTTCCTTTATCACGTTAAATTAATATTGGCCTTTTATTATGTTTAATTAATGCTGGATAGTCACTTTATCACGTTGAATTAATATTGGTTCCTTTATCATGTTAAATCAATGCTAGTTCCTTTATCACGTTAAATTAATATTGGCCTTTTATTATGTTAAATTAATGCTGGATAGTCACTTTATCACGTTGAATTAATATTGGTTCCTTTATTTTGTTAAATCAATGCTAGTTCCTTTATCACGTTGAATTAATATTGGTTCCTTTATCATGTTGAATTAATGTTATCCCCAAAATAATGTTAGTCTCTTTATCATGTAAAATGCTCAATACTCAACTTGTAGTAAAGATCAGGCCTCAATGACCCATAATACCCCAAAACTAACATCCCTGGGGGATCCTGGTACAGTCATTGCCTCCATGAATTACAAATAGTGTTGACATTAGCGTTCTAAAAAATCTTTACAACATAAATGTAATGTATGTGAATTATGGCTTTGCTTGGATCAAAAAATCAAAAAAAACTTACCAACATTTTGGGTGATAGAAAAAGAGTGGGTGATAATGCAGGTTGAGTCAAAAAATGCCACCCAATTTTGAAATAACTTCCTCAACAATGAAGGAATCTTCATTGTTTTTCTTATGTCCAGTGTAGAGTGTTCATTAAAAGAAAGATTGGTATGCTTGCAAAGCATTAACAACTTTGAAGTTAAAATATATCTCATTTTCTGCGGAGGATGCTCTTACACAATATCATTCAAAAATGTAAATTAGTTAATCTGTCTTTTTAAATGTTACCCAATGAACAAGTCAGTCTTTCAAATTTGACAACATTATTTAACAAATATGGCATATTAAATGAAAATATGTGAAAACAATCCAAAAATGACTCAAATAATGGCTAAGACTATTGGCTAGACTAAGACTAATGGCTATTTTTGAACGTTTTCGACGATTTCTCCGAGAGCATACCTGGACGGAAAACGTGATATCTCTAAATCTCAAAGTTGTTGATGCAAAATAAAATACAACAATCTTCATGAAGATTCCTTCATTATTGGGAAAGTTATTTCAAAATAAGTGGTTGGCATTTTGTGTGTCACCCTGTAATAGTGACAAAGAACAAAAGGTGCTGACCTGCCACCTATTCCAACTTCTTAGAAATTGGCGTATGAAGCTGATCAAACAGTCCCGGGTGTTACTCACAGTTGTTAAATATAACTTCTTTGTCCCCTCCAAAAGGCGGAAGAAAAATAGAGTTCTTGGGCCTACACATTCATTTTGGCGTCATCCCCGAACGTACTTCGAGCCCTAAATGTCTAGAGGACCACGTTACACGAGGCAGGAAGAATGAAGCCTTTTACGAGAGCAGTCTTTTTGACTGTTACTCTGGCGATTTTGTGGGAAGGTAAGATTTTCTCTATGGTGCACTTTGTAAAATCTTCAGATTAATAGAGTATCTGAAACATATAATCCACTGCATAATACACATTTGTTTCAATACTCTGTTATCATGTATTTGGGCATCAGGCAAAATTATATCAATGAATGATACGGAACTATGTTAAGTTTCCAGTCTGATACTAGTATAATTTGTTATCATTTCTTATCGCATTACATCATCGTGACTATTTATACTGGTTGGAAGTTTAAATGTTTTAAATGAGTGAAGACGGTTGTCAGTCTACGTGTTTAATCAACTTTATAAACTCTTGAGAAACACGGCAATTCAAAAATGAAGACTAAGGTAAATACAAGCATCGTTATTGTGTTTGTTCAAATTGACCAATTAGTCACGATGCAAGTCCGATTGTAGCACATGGCACACGTTGTGCCGAGACCAGTTACAATCAAGCCTGAACACAGAAAAACGGTCTTATCACAAAAATTCAAATTGTGCTACAGAGCCAAAAATGAGCCCAAAGATTAAGAAAAAATTGCGCTCAATTCAAATCTGTCCTTTTGGGCTATATCTACGGGGAAAACTGTTTGAAAGGTCTCTATATGCTTTTTAAGATAACAAAAAATCGAATTATTGAAAAAATCTGTGATACAACCCCTTTTCCCGTGCCTTCGCTATTGTTGTATTTTCTTCTGTATAACGAACCATCGATTTAAAAAGATTGGGTTCACCTGAAGTGGGCTAAATCATATTTGCTGAATTAAATAAAAAAACATTAAGTAAATATTTTTTTTAGATTTAGATTTCCAAAGATATGCCATATGATAATCGTGATAGAAGTAGGACTTTCGTTTTGGCAAATATATGCAAATATTTTTCCTTTATTTATTATTGTTGCTTAGCATATTCTGAAAAGATTTTGAAAAACGAGAAAAGTTTGTAAAGATTTTGTTTTCCTAAAACAAGTATCCTGTTTATTCAAAAAATATCACTCGTCATTCTATACATTGACTTCTATTGTATGATTGCTGTACTTTGACATGCATCAATATGGTTTGCGATAATCAAACAATTCAGTTTTAACCCTTTATTTAATTATAAATGATATTACTTCAAATTCCAAACTTTTTTAAATGTTGTATGCAGATGACACAGATTTTCTTATATCCAATCAGAGTCTAAAGGAACTATTAAACAAGAACTCCAATCAATCATCAGTCAGTCAATCTATGATTTGAGGCTAATGAATTATCACTAGTTTACTATTTTTTTATAAAGTATTATAGATTTTACCCCAGACAGAACCATTATTTAAAATAGATCTAGATATATTTAAAGGCAATGTTCCAAAAAAGAAAGATATATTAATTTTCTCTGAGATTTTGTAGATGGAAAACTAAATTGGGAAAATCACATGCAACATATCACTGAAAATTTCGAGATAGGCAGGCATTCTTTACAGACTAAAATATATCCTCAATCATGATTATGAACTTAAACTTTTCCGTTTATTGATTCTTTCTCATATTAACTACTGTTAAACATCATTTGGGGCTATGTCAAGAAAAACGTTCTTGCTTTAATCCATTTAACTCAAAAGAATGTATAAAATTAATTAACTATTCTCATTTTAGAAAGCACACTGCTCCATTCAAAAGAGTCTCCATATTTATATTTATATGTTTAACCATTTTCCTCTAATATTCACAAAGCTTTTTTCAAATATCACAACATAGCCATGACAAGGTCAACATATCATTTAGTCAAGCCAAAGTATAGAATAATATTAAGGTTGGCTGGGAATTTTAGAATTTTATTTGTCTTAACATACTACCAAAATTACCAAATGAAGTAAAGGATAGTGCCCGCATAGATTCATTTAAGGCAGCTCTCAGCAATAAATACAATTTCAATTTATTATTGTATTTGTGATTACTTCACCGTTGGCTCCTATTTCATGTTACAATACTTCAATAATCAATCATTTTACTTTCATATGACCTTGATCCGTTTTAACGCGCTCTGTGTCGCATTGTTAGTAGTGTTTGCTAAATTTTTGAAAGATGAAAGGAAGAATAAACTTAACCCATAAAAATTTATTCATGATAATCATATTTCGGATAACATTTTATATAAAAGGTGCTTGGTTAAAACACTAGACAAAGGATTCGGGTATAACCTATCAGGATGTCACTATGGACTAACTATAGGAGGACATTTCTTAACCATTTAAATGTGTGGGCAATTTACGTAGAACGTTTGCTCACATTATTCTATGTCATGTCGTTTTTCTTCAAGTTCTAAAAGTTCTGATCTTATTTCAGAATTATCCTTTGGTTTTTCATTTTCGATTTAATATGCCATTTTTCAATTCTTATAAATTTGGTTATTTTTAGGCTCGATAACTTCGAATTTTATATTTGAGATATCTCAAATATCTAAAAAATCAGATTAAGATTGTTTGTTTAACAATTGGCATTTTAAGGGATTAATATTTGAATAGGTAGCAAGTCAATGACTTAATGATTAGTACAATAACGTCATTTCGAAGGGCGATATAGTTAAATATTGGACCGAGGGCCCAAGGCCCAAGGTCCAATATTTCACTATATTGCCCGCAGAAATGACGTTATTAGTATTATTACCACCGTTAACGATCAGGACTGAAACAGGAAGAAAATCTTACGCACTGATCGATATCTAATTGAAAAATAAAATGGAAACTGTGACTTGTCATCGTCATCGACAATTTTTTAGGAAATTATAGATTTGATTGCAGCAAGTGACATCAAAACATAGTGAAATGATCGAGTTGGAAAAAATCTTTCCAAACAGCATGTCAATATTTCCATATAATCCTCTTTCTGTTTAATTAAGCCTGACTGAAAAATAGATAATCATTAGAATATTTACGATACGATTGGACCGACCACTGATGTAGGCGATGTAAATTAGGCATTCAAGGCATAAGATAAAGCATGTAACCATTAAACATAATTTCGTAGTTTCATAATGTATTGTCCATTTTAACAAGACAATTGTAACCTTGCCTACCCGGTGTCTGACTACTCTCATGGATGCAGATATGTACGTGTTCCAATTCATTAGAACTAATTAATTTTGCAGTTACCGAAAGCGTCATAACACAATATCCTACAAATGAAACAAATATTACTATCGCTACGACAGTTGGACCTACGACTTATGAAGTTGTAACTGATGGCATAACAACAGAAGAATCAGACATAATTGAAACAGATGCGCCTACGACAGAAACAGATGACATCACAACAGAATCAGTAATAATTGAAACAGATGAACCTACTACAGAAACAGATGACATCACAACAGAATCAGTAATAATTGAAACAGATGAACCTACGACAGAAACAGATGACATCACAACAGAATCAGTAATAATTGAAACAGATGAACCTACGACAGAAACAGATGACATCACAACAGAATCAGTAATAATTGAAACAGATGAACCTACGACAGAAACAGATGACATCACAACAGAATCAGTAATAATTGAAACAGATGAACCTACGTCAGAAACAGTTGACATTACAACTGAATCAGTAATTGTTGAAACAGATGATCCTACGACAGAAATAGATGACATAACAACAGAATCAGTCATAATTGAAACAGATGAACCTACGACAGAAACAGATGACGTTGCAACTGAATCAGTAATAATTGAAACAGATGAACCTACGACAGAAACAGATGACATCACAACAGAATCAGTAATAATTGAAACAGATGAACCTACGACAGAAACAGATGACATTGCAACTGAATCAGTCATTGTTGAAACAGATGATCCTACGACAGAAATAGATGACATAACAACAGAATCAGTCATAATTGAAACAGATGAACCTACGACAGAAACAGATGACATCACAACAGAATCAGTAATAATTGAAACAGATGAACCTACGACAGAAACAGATGACATCACAACAGAATCAGTCATAATTGAAGCAGATGAACCTACGACAGAAACAGATGACATTACAACAGAATCAGTCATAATTGAAACAGATGAACCTACGACAGAAACAGATGACATCACAACAGAATCAGTAATAATTGAAACAGATGAACCTACGTCAGAAACAGTTGACATTACAACTGAATCAGTAATTGTTGAAACAGATGATCCTACGACAGAAATAGATGACATAACAACAGAATCAGTCATAATTGAAACAGATGAACCTACGACAGAAACAGATGACGTTGCAACTGAATCAGTAATAATTGAAACAGATGAACCTACGACAGAAACAGATGACATCACAACAGAATCAGTAATAATTGAAACAGATGAACCTACGTCAGAAACAGTTGACATTACAACTGAATCAGTAATTGTTGAAACAGATGATCCTACGACAGAAATAGATGACATAACAACAGAATCAGTCATAATTGAAACAGATGAACCTACGACAGAAATAGATGACATAACAACAGAATCAGTCATAATTGAAACAGATGAACCTACGACAGAAACAGATGACGTTGCAACTGAATCAGTAATAATTGAAACAGATGAACCTACGACAGAAACAGATGACATCACAACAGAATCAGTAATAATTGAAACAGATGAACCTACGACAGAAACAGATGACATTGCAACTGAATCAGTCATTGTTGAAACAGATGAACCTACGACAGAAACAGATGACATCACAACAGAATCAGTAATAATTGAAACAGATGAACCTACGTCAGAAACAGTTGACATTACAACTGAATCAGTAATTGTTGAAACAGATGATCCTACGACAGAAATAGATGACATAACAACAGAATCAGTCATAATTGAAACAGATGAACCTACGACAGAAACAGATGACGTTGCAACTGAATCAGTAATAATTGAAACAGATGAACCTACGACAGAAACAGATGACATCACAACAGAATCAGTAATAATTGAAACAGATGAACCTACGACAGAAACAGATGACATTGCAACTGAATCAGTCATTGTTGAAACAGATGATCCTACGACAGAAATAGATGACATAACAACAGAATCAGTCATAATTGAAACAGATGAACCTACGACAGAAACAGATGACATCACAACAGAATCAGTAATAATTGAAACAGATGAACCTACGACAGAAACAGATGACATCACAACAGAATCAGTCATAATTGAAGCAGATGAACCTACGACAGAAACAGATGACATTACAACAGAATCAGTCATAATTGAAACAGATGAACCTACGTCAGAAACAGTTGACATTACAACTGAATCAATCATAATTGAAACAGATGAACCTACGACAGAAACAGATGACATCACAACAGAATCAGTAATAATTGAAACAGATGAACCTACGACAGAAACAGATGACATCACAACAGAATCAGTAATAATTGAAACAGATGAACCTACGACAGAAACAGATGACATCACAACAGAATCAGTAATAATTGAAACAGATGAACCTACGACAGAAACAGATGACATCACAACAGAATCAGTAATAATTGAAACAGATGAACCTACGACAGAAACAGATGACATCACAACAGAATCAGTTATAATTGAAACAGATGAACCTACGTCAGAAACAGTTGACATTACAACTGAATCAGTAATTGTTGAAACAGATGATCCTACGACAGAAATAGATGACATAACAACAGAATCAGTCATAATTGAAACAGATGAACCTACGACAGAAACAGATGACGTTGCAACTGAATCAGTAATAATTGAAACAGATGAACCTACGACAGAAACAGATGACATCACAACAGAATCAGTAATAATTGAAACAGATGAACCTACGACAGAAACAGATGACATTGCAACTGAATCAGTCATTGTTGAAACAGATGATCCTACGACAGAAATAGATGACATAACAACAGAATCAGTCATAATTGAAACAGATGAACCTACGACAGAAACAGATGACATCACAACAGAATCAGTGATAATTGAAACAGATGAACCTACGACAGAAACAGATGACATCACAACAGAATCAGTCATAATTGAAGCAGATGAACCTACGACAGAAACAGATGACATTACAACAGAATCAGTCATAATTGAAACAGATGAACCTACGTCAGAAACAGTTGACATTACAACTGAATCAATCATAATTGAAACAGATGAACCTACGTCAGAAACAGTTGACATTACAACTGAATCAATAATTGTTGAAACAGATTATCCTACTACAGAAACTGATGACATAACAACAGAATCAGTAATAGTCGAAACAGATGCACCAACGACTGATGCAGTTGTAACATCAGCTACAAATCCTACTCTTCCAACAACACAAGCTCAAACGACGGTTGCTACGTCAATCGTAAGTGACGTTTTGACTGCAGCTGCTACACCTTTAGGTAAGCATTTTCTTCTCATCAGCAATAAGGATCAATCAAATTAGTTATTTTTGAATTGGCTATTTGGTAGTCTTTCCTTTAATGCCCCAAATTAGCCACTTGGCTGACGATGAGCCATCCTCCAAACGCAAGGCTCCAGACACCATCCACTATGTTTTATCGAAGGATGTACGAATTCTGGAGGCCTTTGTTCGGAGAATGACGATGAGCCCACACGGCTAATGTTGGTATATTGATTGAAAATGATACAATTGGAGTTAATGTAGTTTATTAATATGGTCAGGCAGAGATCTACGTTACAGGGATTAAAATGTATATAATAAGCTTGGAAATTTCATTTCTATGATTTCGTCCCATGTATTATAGCAACTACTGCACAGCTGTATCCACATGGGTATAATGAAGGAGATACAAAGCTACGAGATGGAGACGATATTACCTCAAACGCCATTCGCATACCAAGGGGACTATTTTTTGGACACAGAAAATATCGAAACTTTTACGTAGGTGTGCCACAATATACTTGACATTTTCTCAAACATACTCAGCATTTTCATTTTTATCTTCACAGAAAACTAGCATTCATTCACCGATTTTTAACTTTAGGTGAGTTCCAATGGGCTCATAAGTTTTGGAAGGGCGTATCGTAACTATTGGGCCCGGCGGTTCCCCTTAAATAGGAGGAGCACTGCCATAGTTGCCTCGTTTTGGGCTGACCACGATCCCCGGCTCACATCAGCGACCACTGGGGTGTATTACCAGACTTACAACAGAGAGGACGCAAATAACGACCAAGCCCAAAATATGCTCGATCTTGCAAGTAGAGACGTATCAAGATATACAAACAATGCTGATTTTGAAGCAACTTGGATGGCGGTTGTTACGTGGAAGGAGGTCTATCCATATCCTCATTACTGCTATCAAAACGCTTATTATTACTCCCGGTGGTGGTGCTATTATTGGCAGGATCGTTATGGTACCGCCCAAAAGCAGGTAAAATCGTCCTGATATTCCTAACCAACACATGTGCAAACAAGTGCCAAAGGGAAAGGACCAAAAGTCGTAATTTAAGCTAGAAAGCGAAAGCGAACCATAAGTGTATACCAATTATAAGAAAAACGGACCCCACTTATCCCAAAAACCATGATCTAACGTGAAAAAAACGATGTCTAATACCCCTTTCCCCACCATTAAGAACAAATATCACAATCTAGAACCAGAGTACCAAGGGACTTTCTTAACAATGCAAGACTCGGACACATTTTGAAAGCAATCTTCGTTACCTAGACACCTTTTTAGAATTCCGATACCAATGTCACGTCATTTTTGACAATGTTAACGTTCTACTGTTTCTAGCCAAATCCATGCAAAAATTAACTATTTTTCAGACTGTGAATCACCAAACTGTGCTAGTAACGGATGGAATGAGGACATATTCTTTATTCCATTATGGTGAAATGTCTTGGAAATGGTGGAAGAACGCCAATATTGGCTACGACGCTGGAGATGACTTCAATTACTTTCACCACTATCTATATGGCAAAAAAGGTATCCTTGATATCAGCCGTATGAAAGGAAACACAGGTTAGTATCTAACAAGATACATTTACGGACACCGTTTATTATTAAATTACATTGTTTCTCACTTATACAGGGTGACCCAAAAATTACCACCATTTGAGGAGGCATGCACTGAAACAAATTCACTCAAAAATGTAAATAAGAAAAATTAAAATTAAAATGAATCATTTAACGAGCATGCAGTTCATCAAGTTTGACAACACTATTTAAGAAAATGGGTAGGTATGACATATTAATGATAATATATGTGAAAGCAATCCAAAAATGACTCAAATAATTGCTGAGACAGAAATCCCAATTAAAAAAAGTTTTTTTGAACATTTTTTGAATATTTCACCGAAAGCATACCTAGACGAAAAACGTGATATCTCTAAAAGTCTAAATCTCAAAGTTGTTAAGTACACCAATATTTCTATCATTGGACGCTCTTCAAAAAAAATCATGAAGATTCTTTCATTATTGCGAAAGTTATTCCAAATAGAGTCGGTGGTATTTTTTGGGTCACCCTGTATATTGGAATTATAGAATTGTGCTACGTGCTTATTTTGGGTTTTACGGAAACCACTCCAATCACAATTCATTTTCTTTGTTCAAATTTGAAGGGTTGATCGGTGGTTGGATCTTTCGCCTGGATTTGAATGGGGAGAATAAACCAAACTTTGGCGCGAAATGTGTCCTCTGGGCCATCAGGGATATCCGATCTTTATCTACAAGTTTATGGCAAGCAAAGAATGAAGTCCAGCCATGCCCATGTATGGTATGGCAGGCATGGAGGGACAGGCGTTTCCGTATGGACTGGTGGTCACTATGCGCACATCAGAGATTCCCTAGCAGACATAGACATGGGCAGGTACGAGAGCTGATCAATAAGTAATGGAATGTTTTTAACGCGGATGCTTTTTACAGACCAATCTCTTTGTTTTAATACCAGTGATACATTTTCAAAAATCAAAGAGATCGGTCTACAAAAATGATCTTTGTAAAAAGCGTCTATTGTCATGACCAGCCCTCGTTCATTAATTTGAAATCATTATTTCGAGATTCAAATGATAAAATAGTTGACATTTATATGATGAGTGCGATGCAATTGTACTCCATAGATGTGCTGCTATAATAATGACTGGTGGACCGATTGGAGGTCTTGGGGGACGTTATTGACTGATGTCAGGACCGGCGCAGGCCATTTTGAACGCTACCATTACAGAAGGTACAGGAGGAAACATAAGAACAAAGACATTCTCCCTCGATATTATTGCTGCGAGGCTTCAAATTACTGCCTCTTATTCACTTCTATTAGACCAGTGGACACCTGTCGCAACTACAGACCACCACGTTGGAGTAAGCCACTTATCTTAACAAGTGTATGTGCGTGATGAATTTAAAGTTATACGCTTGCAACAGAAACTGAACAACCAACTGAGCTCAATAATTATTGAACACACTTAATTGACTAAATAATATTGACCAATGAAACACTCCCTTGAGTTCAAGTAGTCAACTGCACATCTCTTTTCACATATTTTTAGCATGGTTCTGGGGTGATCCCCACGTCCGTACATTAGACGGCAAGACATACACATTCAATGGTTTGGGAGAGTATACACTGATTCAGACAACGGATGATTATTTCACCCTTCAGGGCAGGACATCCAGGGCTGTCACATCCAATGGGACTATCACTAAAGCTACTGTATTCACTGCATTTGCTGTGAAGGACGAACTCTCCGATAAGCTCTATGTACAGCTGGCTGACAATTTAATCGGTTGGTCCATATCTAAATTGTAGCTAGAGCTAACTTAATGGCAAAAAATTAAGAATGCATATCCAAGTATTCCAAATTTAAACATGTGCCGATTCTATTTCAGATATGATTGTACTGGTAAATGGTGTTGATGTCACTAGTGCAGTTGAGGATCTAGCAAATGAAGAACCTCCAGAGACACTGGAGAAAACAGGACTTAGCATTAGCGTTGACACTCACGACCATGTAATAACCGCTGCCTTTGCTAGTGGTAAGTTATGCTTTCATGTTTCATACGATATTTTAGAGATATTGATATTTAAGTGTTAATCTGCTTATTTAAAACAATATTTTATGTTCTGTTTTACATTTGCTCAGTCCCCGCCTTCGATTCTCATGGGAAATGCATATCTACGGAAAACACGATTTAAAGCTTCATCATGGATATTTAAAGATTGTTTCAAGAGGGGTTTGAAAGCAAGCTGCCTTAGTATGCTAAAAATCTACTTGAATGTAGTTATATGAAAGCAAGGTACCCTTGACTGGTTATGTAGAAATACAGAGCCTATGTGCTGTGTTTGATTTTGAATACAAAATAAAATTACACTGTCCTATTTCAGGATTCTCTCTGAATATATCAGTTGCCGTTCGCAGTCTCTCAGTAACAGTTACTGCACCTGTGCTGACCAACACCTCGATTGTTACTAAAGGCCTCATGGGAACCATGAATGGGGATACATCAGATGACTTCACAAAGCCAGATGGTACAGTCCTCTCAGAAGATAGTAATGACAAGGAGATCTATAGCGGATTTGGAGAACTGTGTATGTATTATTAAGGGTCCCATCAGAATGTCCATCTGTTAAACATGAGATTCAGTACTAGTAAACAAGCACATTTGAATTTTTTGAAACATGTCATGTCTTTCTACATGTGTACTAATCCACCAATGTTTCAAAGTATTATCTTATTCACGAGAAAACATAAATTTTTAAATAGGAACAAACACCACCTCCTCAAGTGTAGTGTTATACTGTAGTGTTCAATTTTTGTGGATGGTGTTCGGCAATTGGTTAAAAGGCAAATCTCCTTTTTAAGGGGTTGAACGTGAGCATATACATACATGTACTGTGATTTTATTAATACTTAGATTTCCCAAATTGTAAACACTATATACAGTTAATATGATTATAATCATCGATTTGACTATTTCACGTGTAGAACCTGATTTTACTATTTTTGTGAAACACAAGAACGCCACATGGATAACTTCATTGATCGTTTGACCTTCCAGGGAGATTAACACAAGACCAATCGATATTCTGGTACCCGAATGGATCCTCGACAGACGATTTCTCAGATGCCTCATTCGAACCTCTCTTCCTCTCGGACTTCACTCAAGAACAACGAGACGCTGCTAATACGATGTGTAGGTCAGAAATATCTTGTGTGTTTGACTACCTAGCAACGGGAGAAGAGGACGTGGCGAATGCAACGCTGTCGACCAACGCTGGAAATGCACATGCCGCATTGCAAGCAGGTATGAAATTAAAAAGAATAGTCTGTTACAATATATGACTTATTCACATAATTTGTAACGTCTGAGAAAAAAACTTGCGGTCAGTAAGGAGAATCATTAATGCCTGGGTAACATTCGCCCCGATTCATCGGCCGGCGCCCGCCCGATTGAATATTTTGTTCAAAATTGTATTAAGTTTTTGACGAGAATACTCCATCGGCCGGGCAGCGGCCGCTGAATCGGAGCAAATGTGACCCAGGCATTGCTAACAGATATTGCATGATTATATTTCTCTTTGAATAAATGCTGTTAAAATGCTTTCTCTAGACCAGTTAACTTACAGAGTGCGGCCAACATCAAACAGCATTCTATTCAATGATTTAATGATTTTACATTTGAGCAACAAAATATATATTTCCCATAATCAAGTTCATACCTAACACGCAATTCTTCTGCCAAGAGTTCTTTGTTTTTTATTGCTAATCTCTAAATAAATGAAGCATTGTAAATAGTGAGTGTGTGTTTTGTGTGCCAATGGCAAAAAATCATTAAAAAGATAATATGCAAGTATCTTGGCCATTCTCAACCAATTACAATTTCTCAAATTACATCAACCATTGCAAATAAAACAGTGATAGTATGCTCTTCTGTTATACAATAGACAAATTGAAAATTTATATAAGTTTTCTTTCATTGTAGAGAATTTTGCACCTCAGCTCAGTGTTGACCTTAGTCAGAATTTCACAGTTGGGTCTCTCACGGAGTTTGCTATATCTGTATCGGATAACGACAGTTCAATCATCTACGTTATACCAACCTCACCGCTCCCCGACGGAGCCATCTTAGATAACGATACCAGGACATTTTCATATACTCCCAAAGACTTAACACCATTCAATTTATCGTGAGTATGCAGACATGACGCCATTGAATTATCATGAGTATTTCAACAGACTTGACACCATCCAATTTATCATGAGTATCATGAGTATTTCAACGAGTTTGACACCATGCAATTTATCATGAGTATGCAGACTCGACGTCATTGATTTATCATGAGTATTTCAACGGGCTTGACATCATTCAATTTATCGTGTGTACAATTTATCGTGAATACGCAGACATGACGCCATTAATTTATCACGAATATTTCAACGGGCTTGACACCATTCAATTTATCATGAATACGCAGACTTGGCGCCATTGATTTATCATTAGTATTTCAACAGACTTGACACCATCCAATTTATCATGAGTATCATGAGTATTTCAACGAGTTTGACACCATGCAATTTATCATGAGTATGCAGACTTGACGCCATTTGTTTATCATTAGTATATCAACGGGCTTGACACCATTCAATTTATCGTGTGTACAATTTATCGTGAATACGCAGAAATGACGCCATTCATTTATCACGAGTATTTCAACTGGCTTGACACCATTCAATTTATCATGAGTATGCAGACTTGACGCCATTAGTTTATCATGAGTATTTCAACGGGCTTGACACCATTCAATTTATCGAGGGTATGTAGACATGACGCCATTGGTTAATCATGAGTATGTCAACGGATTTCCACAGTCAAAAAATAATTTATAATTCAAAATTCTGAATAATTATATATATTTTATCGTTTTTCATTTTTTCTTCATTTTCAACATAAACACGTTCACTTACTTCTCTAGATTTCTCGCTGAAGATGATTTGGGAGCGAGATCCCCGGAGTTTAGGATTACAGTTTGGATGTGTACAAACTGTTCCAGTGGGCAGGGAGAGTGTGAGTTTGGCACTGAAGCCGAAAATCAAACCGAATCGAGCGATTACTTCATGATTCCAATGTGTGATTGCTTTGTTGGCTGGGAAGGTAAGATATCATTTGTTTTTTACTAACAAAATATGTGTTTTTGTCCTGCTTCTATGTATTAGTTCGTTATAACATTACCTGATCTCAAATCCTTTACCCTGCGCGCAGAGTCTAGTTTTAAAGTACCTAAAGACGAAGCTCTCGTTAAAGAAGCAAAGTCGAACCAATGCAAAGGGTACAGATCTTGGGAGAATACAAAAAGAAAACACTGTTTGCACATTTGAACACTTAAAAAACTCAAAGGACTAAAAGGGATAGAGATACGTAAAGAATAAGGTTGTCACTAAACATTGTGACAATTTTATATAATTTTGGTCAAGTAAAATAACATGTAAGTATTTTATTTAAGGTGATGACTGTGAGATTGACCTAGATGGATGTGAGGGTGACCCCTGTGGTAATGACTCTATTTGTTATGATATGACACCCGAGGAGCAACAAATCAACGGCACCTTATTCAATTGTTCCTCGTGCCCCGACGGTCACATTACGGTTGATTTCAAGTGTATAGGTAAGTGGGTGGGTAGCTACGTCAAGATGATAGATTCTTAGAAAATTCCCGGGAGCGGTGATAAATATAGCCCGTGGATACCACCGGAATTTCATGACACGTGACCCGATTTTGACCAATCATACATTTACTAGCTTGACATTGATATAAAAATTTGTATTAACATGAGTACTGCTTTGCAGATATTGATGAGTGTGCCAACGATACACAAAACGATTGCCAACAGGAATGTGTCAACGAGAAGGGAAGCTATCACTGCACGTGTTCACCAGGTTACTTAGCGACAAATGAAACACATTGTCAAGGTGACCAGCCAACACATCTCTCAAAATAATAATTACTTATTTTTTTTTATTTTTTTTATTTTTTTAAATTTTATTTCATGATAATATAACAATGGAATGTACAAAGCATGTGCACTCGACACCCTTAGTAATTGGGCATATCAGTGCATATATCAAAAATTATTACAGAGCAATCACAAAACATATAATATATAACAGTATAACATACATTATCTAAATTGTTTAGATGCAATACAGAAACTTTGAAGTCTAGATATAAATAATTAATTTAAATGGAATGTGATCTTATATAGTATTTCCATTCATCTTTTCCAAAAGGTCCTTTTTAATGTTGTGTTTAAAAGAATTCAAAGTTTTACATGTTCGAAATACAATTGGCAAAGAATTCCATAAAATAGCACCAGAATATGTCACTGATCTTTTTGTCAATTCAGTTTTTATTTTGCTGGGGCTGCTGTCACCTCATTCGTTTTTATGACCAGCTTCTGGCAGTTAGTATCTGTAACAAATGTTTTTTGGTAACCATTTCTATGAGGTGACATTTTGTATATTAGCGTGCTATGTAAGAATCAGAGTATATCAACATTCGTTTGTTTTCAACGTGTTACACGTTCCCGTGTCAATTTTATGTGCAAGCTTAATTTCGAGATAAATGTTAAAGATAAACTAAATTTGTTTCAATTCATTTATGTTTATTCTTACTTAAGACATATTATATCGTTACGTTCCCGTTCCAATACCAACAGCACCTGTCCAAACCCCAATTTTTTTTCACGCGGCATAGATAATTTTCTAAGCTTTGCACCGATACCAATTTCCCCATAGGCCCAGGATATAAAAATATTAAACTCATAATTTATTTGTTTGGTCTACTTGCCTATAATGAGCATGTGCAGGTGCCAATAATCCCATTTTATTTACCGAACACATTGCTTCAGATATTGATGAATGTGCTGAGGGCATCAGTGGCTGTGAACAACTATGTAACAATACAGAGGGTAACTTCACGTGTAGCTGTGAAGAAGGGTTCACAGCAGATGGGAAAACGTGTGTAAGAGGTAAATACCGGGTGTCTGCAGCTGGCCCAAATGATAAAACAATATCAAAAACTTGGTTTACATCTTCTACATTCTCATCAAAATGTTTCTGAAATGTGAACAAACCATCTTGGGGTCAGACCCGAAATCATAGCTAAATGATATTTTTAAGATAAAGATGACAAATAAAGTAATACATATACACAGTACGTACATTAAATTGGTAATCACTTACAAGTATTACACTTTCAGCAAACAAAGTAGACCCTCAGTCACATTTACTCTCAAAAAATCGATACAGAAAATCTACATCGTACTGCGATTTTCACGCAGCAAATTCTCTCGATTTTGGGAAGCTATGGCCGCCGTACGGTTGTCGTAAATCAAATGTGACTTGAGCATTAACGTTTCCAGATCCTGCATCATTATTACCATGTGTGGATGAGAATCTGAATTGCGAGTATGGCTGTAGGAATACATCCGATCCACCTGTGTGTTTCTGTCAGACTGGGTTTGACCTAACGGGATCCGAAAATTGTACAAGTATGAGTAACATTTCAAGTTCATTGCACAAGTATGTGTAACAGCTCAAGTTCATTGTACAAGTATGTGTAACATTCCGAGTTCTTTGCACATGTATGTGCATATTTCAAGTTCATTGTGCAAGTATGTGTAACATTTCATCTTTACTTAACTAGATGCAAGTAGGTAGTGCCCTTTTAGATGTTTTGCCCCTTGTGGTTAATCAGGGCCAGATAACGTAGCCTATTGTTCCCCTGAACTTATATGATAAAAAAATTTAGTGGATATGAGTTTTAGCTAACCTTTTAATTTGATAAAGCTACAATTTAAAATGTATTCAGTAAAGTAAAGTATTGTCTTCTCAAGAAAATGCATTTCAATTTTTATGATTTTGTAGCTTGGGTTCTATGAGAAACCCATCCGATCTAATAATCACATTTTCGAAAAATGTCAGTATTGATAAACAATGTTGAAATATCACTTTAACTTAATTTTGAATATTATGTTGCATTCGATATATTTGAAAAAATGGAATCTCATAATTCTTTGCACATATCCAAACAGGCACTAATAAACTGTCTAGTTTTGTTGTAGATATCGACGAATGTGCACGCAACATGGATGGTTGTGAGGTGGGTTGTAATGATACAGAGGGTGGTTTTCAGTGTTACTGTGATCCAGGCTTTCAACTCGGAAATGATCAGAAATCATGTGAAGGTATGGAAGGGAAATTGAGAAAACTACGACATAACGTCATTTGTATTAACGTTACATTGCTAAAATGATGTGTAATGTCCAGAATTTCTACTTCACCCACCTACATGCATGATACAACCATTGCTAAATGAACGGATAGAGAGTGAAAATTGTTTGAAAGCATGCCAATGTCTAGTTCAACGCGCAGAGTCGGAATACGAAGCTCTCTTTTAAGAAGTGAAGTCAAACGAATGCAAAGGGTAGTTCAACAAGAGTATTATAACCTAGTTCGGGCCTTATCTGTTATCTGACATTTCATAGGTGGCCGACTCTGACCCCAAGAGAAATCAAATTTAAATGAAGCAGGATGGTGAGTTTAACTCGCTGAACTATCCAATGTCTTTCTTACAATCAAGTAATTCAATTTTTTGAAAAAAAGTATTCAACGTTATTGAAGATCTAGAATCCAAATCCAAATTCAAGAGGATTGAAAAATAGGTGAAACTGAAATCATGACAGACAGTTCACGTGTCAAAATATCTTATTTTCATCATAGAGTGTGACTCCTCTCATTGGGGCATTGCATGCGCCAATCTATGTGAATGTGGAAGCCGAGCCAGACAATGCGATGCCAGTATTGGTTGTACTGACTGTGTACCAGGTTGGGGAGGAGAGAACTGCGAGGAAGACATAGATGAGTGTGTTGATGACTCTACAATATGTGGTGATAATGCTCAATGTGTTAACAATAATGGATCCTATGCGTGTTTATGTGATGAAGGATTTCAACAGGATGGTGATATAGTAAGATGTGTAGGTGGGTACAATAAAAACATATGCATTAATGGCCCTGATTGTGTGATAATAAGGGAAAGGGGTCACCAGAAACATCAATGAAGAGTAGGACCATAATTTGAGAGGACCTCCTACCTGTACCCTTTTACATCTGATACAAATAAGAGGTCGCAACCGTAAATTTCATAATGGCAAAAATCCACGATAACTGTGTCAGTAATAACGGATCCTTTAATATTTATGTGAAGCTGGGTTTGTTGAAGAGACCGATTTATACAGCTTTAAATATGTCAGTTATATTGATTTATAAATATATAAACCATTCGAAGAGTACAATAAATCAAAACACCAATAAAAGGAATCACTCTTTGTCTTAGACAATGATGAATGTGCTACGTTACAACCGTGTGACCCGGACGCCAACTGTACCAACACCGATGGTTCCTACGACTGTACATGCAAGAGAGGCTATGAAGGAAACGGTACAGAGTGTGAAAATATTAACGAATGTTACCATTCAATAGATCCATGTGGAACAGATGAGATATGCACTGATACGCAAGGGTCGTTTTTCTGTTCATGTAAAGAAGGATACTCAAAGGTATGTTACCATGGTTGCAGCAATGATTGAGTAGCAGAATTATCCAATTTCATGGTGTTGAGTATCACTATCACCAAGTCGAATTACTTGAGAACAAAATAATACAATTTGTGTGTGAAAATACCATTTTGAGGTATTGTATAATCTGCAGTTAGTTTGTGCTATGTAGTAGCTTCTCTGTCATGGAATATATTTCAGGTCAACTCGACATGTGTAGAAGTGATATTTGTTCCCCTTGCAACTACCATGGCAATGTCAGTTGCAAATGTATCCTTCGAAGCTACATTCATGGTACCTGAAACGTCCACTTCACCTATTAATGCAAGTATGTGTCTCTTATAACTGCATTTATTCTATGAATACTATGATACTTTGTTGGTATGCGCTACTAAAATCATATCATACTGATGGTGATATCCAATCGTATCCAATAGATACTGTTTTTCTTTTTGAATTTGGCGCCTAAAATGGTTCTTAAATGAATAGCTTTGCTTGATTGGCCGTCAAAATAAAGCTCCGACAACACAGGGGGGGGGGGGGAGGGGGTCACAAGGGGTAGCTACACTAGGACTCAGCATATAAAACAACGTGTATACTATGGCCTTCAATCCTTCATATTTATCTTGCTCTTATATTACTTATAGATATGGTGACGATCACTATAGAGTTCGAAATGACATTCCTGTATGGGATTTATGATAACCCATTAGATCCTGCAACAATCTCCCTCAATGCAAGCATTACGTCAATGGTAAGCACTCATCATAAGACATAAAATACGTTTACACCACTTTAGGGCTATAATGAAATGACTTTTGCATCGAAAGAAAAGCCTCAGTCACATTTGCTCTACGGCGATCGCACGTCGACCGTAGTTCCCTGAAATAGTAAATTTCTGCGATAATCATAGGAAAGCTATGGTCCCCTTACGGTATCCTTGCTGTATCCGTAAGCCGTGCACTTTGCAGGCCGTAGCGTCATCGTAGAAATTATAAATTGCTATGGTCACCGTAGAAAAGCCGCGGTCAGACCATGGAAAGGTCACACGGTGGCCATACATCGGGCGTACAGAAGTCTTTTGGTTGCCCTAAAATATTATGGGCTACAATTGACCTTTGCGAACCGTAGAATTGCCCCCCCCCCTGCAGTCGCCTCGCGTCTATCTGTCAACAGAAGTTACGCCCGACGTAGGAACGCCCTACACTGGCTGTACGTCATAATTTAAAGACCATGCGGCAACCATAGTTTTATTTTATGTCTCATCAAAATCAAAGTACGACGCACGACTGATAGCAAATGTGACTGCTAAGGTATCTGACAGCAGAAATTCAAAGGCGACCATAGGAAAGTTACTTGCGCAAATGTGACTGAGGCTTAAGCCACTCATCAATGCTAAAAATGATCACTTCATGAAGACGAAATTATAATTTATTACTTTATAATAAGTATTGTAAGTAATGTTTCGGCATAGCCATTTGACCAAATGGAAGTCGTGCTCGGTTTAATTATAAATAACAATGGATTTTGTTTGTAACAATATTTCCAGCTTTCAATAATATACCAAAGAGTAAAGAGCATCGTTTTCAAGGCAGTTCACATAAGACGTTTCTAGTAAGTATTTTCGTGTTTTAAGGAATATTTCCTGCGAGCCCATTTTCTCTTGATATGGTAGCTCTAATCATTTCTTACTATTCATTATCAACAAAACCTAGGAAATGTTTTATGTGGGTCAAAATTGATCATTTTTTAATAATATGCAGTGCTCGTTTTATGTGGGCCAACATATTTTAAAATTCTACACAGAAAGTGGTGTCATCAGTTCTTAATTTGCATCCAAGGAGGATTGGTTTTAAGGCTTCAATCTCGAAATTTTGCCATATGTGGAGATGTCATGATTACAAAATTCGAAATCAGACACATCCACCATTTTTTTACTCCAGAATTTGGATTGCGAGTTTTGTTTTTTTCCAAACAATAAATTCAAAAACACAGAAGATGTGACCAATATATTTGTTTCAAATCTTTTGGATCGCTGATTATAAACTCATAGTCAGTTTTCAATGTTGGTATCGATCAGAGTCAACGTCAAATATCGAGTTGGAACCTTGGTAGCCTCAGGCCTGTCAACTGTCCCGCAATTTGCGTATTTGTCACGCATTTGCTGAAGAATTTGAAGTCACGCCAGTTATTTTTGCGTGACAGAAAATGTCACGCAAATACGCATTTTACCTGGTAATTGTCAAGCAAAAATATTTCTGTAGAAAATTTTCTAAAAAAGATCGTCTACACAGGAAAAATACGAACGACGGGAAAAAAACGTACGCCTTTCGTTCGGACTTTTCACGCGAATTACAGATATGTCACGCATTCCGTCCGAAATTTTTCGTACCTACCCCCCCCCCGTTGATGGATGTTTTAAAATTTAAACCAAGGTGTTCAAAACTTGGATCAAGGTGTTCAGATTTGGACCAAGGTGTCCACATTTTGAGGGGAGGTGTTCAACATTTCCAAGTCACTCATGTTAGGTGTTCCCAAGTTGACAGGCCTGTAGCCTATCCTCTTTGGTTTGTATCTTGCAAAATATTAATCTCATATTGTATAACGTTGTTTCAAAATAAGATGGCATCGGTTTTTGTGTCATCTCTTGTTCAATTGTCTAGTGGTGATATTTTGCTACTTTCCTATACTGTCATTAGAAAGTTTTTTGAAGTAATTGGTTGATGACATCACTCTCTTTATGAAATCTTAAATCATGGTTGCCCACATGAAATAAGCGCTGAATTTTTAAATGATCATTTTTGACTACATCAAAACATTCTCCCATGTTTTTCTACATATGAATAGTATAAAATGGGTAGAGCTACCGTATCAACAAAGAAATGGGCTTGCAAGGAATATCCCTTTAAACTTCGCTGTTCTGAAAGCGGAACATACGTAGGCTCACATGATGACGTGATGCGCAAATATGCCCAGACTCATTTCACTTCAATCACCTCACTATCTAGTATATTAAGCAAGCTAACATAATATCCAATACCACCACACACTCATCATCACATTATATACCAGGAATGAAAACTAAATCATACAACAGTTTAATAGACTAGATGCGAGTAGAAGTAATCTTGATTTACGTCATTAAATATTCAAAATTCAGTCAAAGTGATGTCATATTTGAAATCTAAATGTAAAAGTACATCTAGAAATATGGTTTCGAAAATTGTTTATCAACTTTGAAAATTAAATTTTTTTTGAAAATGTGACTTCTAGTTCTGGTTGATTCCTTATAGACCCCATGTTACAAAATCACAAAAACTGAAATATCTTTTCTTGTATTTGACAGATAACATTTTCTTTTACTGGACATATTTTAATTTACATAACAATTAGATACGTAAGAGTAATATGAAAATTGAACCACTAAAACAGATGTAGTTTAAGTTAAAGGGAACTTTCTACTATACCCGCCATGCTATCTGACCCGAACGAGCCACCTGGTGGTGAAACTGGTAACTACTTACTCGCATCTGCGTAATTGCACCAACCGACACAAACAGACTCTAACAATCAGCAAATGATAGGGCAACAATGACTGTAGAGAGAAAATTCGAAAATATTTATTTTTCTGGGCTATCAGGTCAACATTTGGCTTAAAACCTTCTTTGACATACCTTTTTTCTTAAAATGTATGTATAGACCATCAATTTCAGCATTAAGAAATTCAGTTCTAAGCTTCTATAAAGGGAATCCCACTTATAGATTTTTAAGATCCACCACGTTTCAAGAGGAATATCAGCTGAAATAATTTTCATCTAGGAGGTTTCATTGTAGATAATGAAACTATATGGTAGTCTTGATGAAATATCCAAACTTAACTATATTTTGACACTGGTTGATGATCGTTGCACTAATTGTTGCACCTTTAAAATTGTTATAATAAAACTCACAACGATAAGATTCTCCGATTTAGTGATGGTAGTATCGGAGTTGAGCACGATGTTGAATATGAGACAGAACTAGACACCATAGCCATATCCGAAGTTGCCCTTGAGCTGTTGGCTGCAATTGATAATGGAGGTGGGAAACTGACTGATCCAGACGACAAAGTGTACGTGGTGAAGGGGAAACCAACCATTAAACAGGATGGAGAAGACGGTAATTTAAGTGTTAAGTTTCTTATTGTACCTGTATTCTGTGTCGTGTTTTTCTCTTAAATTTTCCTGCTTTTGTATGGAAGGTACATTTTCAAGGAGCGATTTTGAATAACTTACAATATAATCTCACATTCATTAACATGGTTAAATGTCTTCGATTATGTATTTGTTATATTTGCATCACTTAAGTATGTATGTGTTTCAGTTGTAATAACCGAAGCGTGTTCTGTGTATGAACACAACTCTGTGTGCAAGAATGGAGGCAGTTGCACTAACGTAAACAGCTCCCCGCGATGCAGGTGAGATCATGAGTGAAAAATAGCCTAAGGGTAACGACGTTGGTGTCATTGAATCTAGGGCATATAATGCAATAATCTTACAACATTGTACTGCATTTTAGACCTACTACAGTATTAGTGTAAACTGGTACATTCGTGACACAAAACAGTCTGTAGCGTTATTGTGCCACAACATGAGTGCCACTACAGTCCATTAATCCATTCCCTTCAAACGTTGGGTCCTTGAATTTTTTCAGTGTTTTTGCACTGGTTTTAAAGCGATATTGGTTTCAGCTGTTGTCGATATTACGTTTTTAGTTGTTACGTTACGTTTTTTTTTTCAGTTGTAACTTCATGTACAAGGGGATATACTGCACGGACTTGAATACAGAGGCTGCAGTTGCACTGGGTACAGCAGGGTCTTTCCTTCTCATTCTTCTCATTTGTTTGCTAGTGCGCCACTCACTAAGAAAACGGACGCATAGAGTGGGTGTGACAAACTATGTATGGAACTAATAAGTCTTCATTATATCACATCCGGTATTTGAACAAACTATTCCAGCCTCAGATGTAGAACATTTAGAATCGTTTGTTTATACTCTATCATTCGTAATATCGGTTGAATTATTCTCCGATTATTTCCTACATCTATGAATAGTAGGAAAAATCATGTAATAGTAGGAAAAAGTATACAGTAGGAATAATCATGTATACGCAACTTCTACGCGATGCTATACATTCTCTGATGTGCCCTTATTTGCTAGAATAATTCATTCTATATAATTTTATTTCGCAATTTAGTGCTTTTGTAAACAAATAAATTTATTTTTGATTTGAAAGAACTTTGTTAAATTAATTGTTAATACCATTTTATGTAGGTACGTGTAACATAATATAGTCCATGGTATGAAATCTCTAGGACGTCTAATAAAGGTTACATTAACATACCTACATATGTCCCCTAATAATTTTTATTATAACCGTTCAATATACTTCCGGCTTTTAGGCTGAATTATGCCTGCCATTAACAGAGGTCAAAAAATCACCAAAAAATAAAATCCCAATTTTTCACAATTTGGAGTACACAATGCAACAGAAAATAATTTAAAAAATGATTTTAAATATATGATTTATGTTTCTAAGCTAAAAGTTTGAGGTTATTTTTCTCATCAATACCAAAAAATATGTAATCAGTGTACCGACGTTTTGTATTGTTTCTGATGTATTAATAAGATAAATGCTACAAATGAATCACTTTTATATTGGAATGACAAATGTTTAAATTATGCTAGTTTTTTTTACAAAGGGGTCTCAATACGTTTTGAGATATTGACCTTTATTCAGCGGTGAAAATTATCAATAAAGGCGGGCCTATTGCTCTTCCTTGACTAATTGGGACTACAGCTAAAATTCTTTTTCCCGTAGTTAGATATATCTCAGTTGCTTATAAAACAACCATCAAGACTTGATCGAATTCATGAATATTTGAGAAAAATCGTTATCATTATCTTCCTAAAATCTGATTGTATCCAGCGGTAAGGTAAAAAAAACAAACAGCCATCAGAAAACTTAATGATAGCCACAAGTAACGTCGAGGAAGAATTTCAAGGCGTTCGATTGCATATGACTCTAATTGATTATTGGACATGCCCTTGGAATATATGAACATTCAAATACCTCTGTAACATTTAATTAGATATAAATCTTACCTATTTGTTATTGTATTATGTTTTGTAAAACATGAACAATAATTTGTTGTTAGACCCCTTGCGATTATATGGAAAAATTCTGGTAATAAAATGTTTTAAATGGTAAGAAAACTAATATGTTCCCAATCATAAATTACCTAAATATTCCACATAATTTTGTTGAATCGGCTTGGCTCATATTTGAAAAATCAAACAAAATCTGAAAAACACACTTGCATAATTACACTAATTAAACACCGACATCTACGGTAAAATTGAATAGAATATTTCAAATTATGATAATTTATTTTTGTTCGTATGCTAAGAATAACGGTTTGTGTCTTATAAAATGTATAAAAGGTCGAATCAAAATATTTACGTTTTTTGACCCCTTGTGATGAAAGACATTTTTCGACCCGAAAGCCGGAAGTTTTTTCAGCAAATGGTATTTTAAAAGAATCAAGACATGTACACCTTCATAAATATTGCTTCAAATGTTGCTGCGCTAGAGTGTGCTACGGATCTCTCATATTCGGAAGTCATACCATGGACTAATATATTAAGTGCTTTCTTTTATATGTAGTCTAGATGTCATTTTAAAATTTCTGTTAAACCGCAACATATACCCACTAGGACGTCTAGTGATTTGTTTTTATAGTGTATATTATATAAGACTTATGAAATCAAATAAATTGAATTGAAAACAGGTTTTCAAAAACTTGCAAAAACAAGTTGTTTGTCACCAGAAACAGATGTTCAATATGTCCTCCATTTCGATCAATTATAGCCCTCAATATTGGCCCAAACTGATCAGTAGCATCATTGACATGCTGTTGAGACAATGCATTCCACTTCTCACACTTCTGTCATTTAGGGGCTGAATAGATGTAAGGAGTTCATGATACATCAATTTTGTTGCTTCTTCCCATACGTGGTAGTCGCATCAGGTGATCTGGGGAGGGGGCAGTGATTTGGGCTATACATTGAGGCACATTCTCTTTTAAATGTTTTACTTTCTTGTGTGATCTATGGCTTGGAGCCCCATCTTGTTCGAAAATGTGATGATCAGAATATGATATCAGGAATAGGTCCTGTGTACAGGATGTATTGATTCATCCGCCTTAATAAATGCCCCTCCAACCAGATCACCCGTTGCTAAATTCTGCGACTACCACACATGAGGAGAACTAACAAAGTTGGTCACTTTGAACCCGTTACATCTATTCAGTCCCTTAAGGACAGAATTGTTGAAAAGTGGAATTTATTATTTCAAAAGCATATCAATGATAATATCAACAAGTTAATGCCAAGATTGAGGGCTTTAATTGATCAGATTTTGAAACGAAAGTGACGTCACTTGTATTGTGGACCCTGGCTGACAGGCATTATAATAAATTTGAATAAAGATAAGTAAATTTCCTATCCAATGGTATAATATAATATGATATGTTTTCTTCGATAATATCAAGATTCATTTTTGAAATACGAGTGTCCCATCTATTTTGCAACACCCTGTACTTAACCGTAAAAGGAAAAATATTTTCAAAATTCATCGAATCCATCCCTAGATATTTTGTAAATATCACAAATATATATTTATGGCCTACATTAGTTGAATATATAAGTTTTATATTTCTGTATCATGTCTTTCGATGCGAACTTAAATATTTAAAAATGTATTTTTCTCAAAAAAACTTTTGCTGCGCTTGTGAGTTAGGCTCTGACTTATTCCCGAACCATACCTGTCATTTTTAACATAAAAATATTATTGATGTACGCTATCAATTGGTTTGAAATTTGAATTATTGCTTATTGAAAGGTCGAATGACTGAACATGTATGTGACCCGAATTGAGTATAAAACCGGTTTATTATGAATAGAAGACTGTGTTCATTAAAATTATATATTTCATCGCCAATTTGGCACAAAAACATTGAATTTGAAGCAAGTTGGTCTTGGTCAGCAAAGCACAAAATAGACCATTACTTCCAGTCCGTTAAATCAAAAACATTTATTTCCAGGCCCGTAGCCATGGGGGGGGGGGGGTTATTTCAAAATCATGCAGTTATTCACCATTTTGAGCACTTCTCAAATGATTTTAGCCATATTCGGGTCAAGATTGGCAAATGTGAACTCCACCTTGGACATTTTTTAAAACTGAAGTCACCCTTGGCAAATCCTGGCTACGGACCTGTTTTCCACACAGTTTGTTCTGTCCCGTAACTCAGCTGTATAGTAGAATCCCAGCATCATCCCTTATAACAAAAGTGTCCCCTCGTTAGACACTAGTATTTTCCTTTATGTTGTCTTCTAGATCTATTTAAAATATTAATCAAGGAGAATTGGAAGCCACCATTTAAATATACTTAGTATATAAAAATAAGATAACATGGCATTTTAAAACCGGTTGTTGCATTCAATTTTAGATAACAAGGGTGGTCGAAATTGCCATGGGAAACTTTGAATAAATTAATCAAACTAATTAAACTAATTAAATATTTTATAGCAATAATATTCTGTGTCTAAGCAAATGATGTATATATTTTTATAGGAGTAGGGTACAACTTAACTGAAAGCTAAAAAATGTTTTTTTAAATATTAGATCAGCATGGTACCTAATGTTTTTAACCAATCATAACGTTAAATTTCCAATTAAACACGGTGTTGGTTCAGCCTACCAAAGCTATATATGAAATTGTATAGGCACACACAACATTAATCATACATACATAATCATACATAAGGAGGTCGAGCGAAACCGAAATAAGGTAAGTTTATTTGGTTTATTAAATTGATGATAAGAGGTTGTCCCATGGACAAAATAAAAGTTTAGAGAAAAATTAGTTAGTTAGAATTTATTAGTTAGAAATTTGACACGTTTTGCCCAAAAATGAAATTCTTTTTTTAGATATAAAGGAGGAGGGAAATTAGCGCAACAGATTTTGGACAGTCATATTTTGGATTTTGGCCATTTTCTAAGGATTTAAACAATTGCATATGTTAGGCCAAATGCAACATATTGGTGCAAGAAAAATTAAAAAGCAGGGATGGAAGGGGTTAAAAATCATGAAAACGTTTCAGAAAAAACATGTGGGTGGGTTGTTTGCATCTACCCTGTCTCAAAGTCGAAATTATTTTATCATCTCTAGAAGTGATTTCCCTGGAGGTAATGCATTCGCCTAACATATGCACCTGTTTAAATCCCCAGGAAATGGCCAAAATCAAACATATGACTGTCCAAAATCTGTTGCACTAACTTCCCTCCTCCTTTGTATTGCCTGTTACCATTCTCTTGAAAATATACACTCCCCTCCATAAGCTTGGCAACCTTAGCTCTCCTATTGAACTACGTGTTAAAGCCTCTTTACGTTTGAATTTTTATTTACCTAACCGGCGATGAAATAACTTATAATGTTGATGGAAACGCAACTTGACTTTATTTTCGATACCTCCAAATTTTCTCAATTTTTTTTCTCAATTACAATAGGTCAAAATTTGATATTAAAGATGAATTTTTGAAAATCGTCATTCCCATGTAATCCAATGGGAAATGGATGGTTCGGGGCAAATCAGAAATCAGGATATCTTTTCAGTAAAAGATTCAGCAAAAAATATGTTTATATAGAAAATTTAATCGTCTAACTTTTTTGTACTCCGAGTATTTAGTTTATTTGATTATTACTAACGTTACAGCGCTTCAAAGTCATTTTTGAAAATCATTTTTCGCCTCCCGTGTTCTTTCAATGTGAGAGTTTTTTTGAAAAACAATTTTGACTTTAAAGCCCTATTTTTTGTTAAATAAAGTTAGCAAATTTAATTGCCTACCTAACTCGTATTTTTTGCAAGGACTCGGGTGTATGGATATTCTGTCAACAAACCTACCTTTTCCCATTGGTTCACATGGGAATGTCAATTTTCAAAAAATCATCAAATCTATCATCAATTTTCGACTTATTGTAATTGAGGAAAAGAAATTGAGAAAATTTGGGAGGTATTGGAAATAATGTGTTTCCACCAATAGAATAAAGATTTTCATCGTAGGTTAAGTAAATAAAAATCCAAAGGTATAGAGACTTTAACAGTACATGTAGTTCAATGGGGGAGGTAAGGTTGACAAACTTATGGAGGGGAGTGTATATTATAACGTTAAATCCATTGTACCTTTCAAACATACGTTTAACTTTATATCCTTTTAGCATTGTACTACGTGCAATCCCGGAAACATATTAAAGGTTACACAGGTTGAAGTCATTGTTTAAAGACGTCTGACTGCTTATGTAGCAAAAGTGTATATTATAGATCACGACGCATTAGAAAGGGAAATTTTTATTTTGACGATCAAATAAATTTCAAATTAATTTGTGAAGTTGCTGGATCTTCTAATATGTTTTTAATGGGAAAATTGATAGAAAATCACTTTTCATACTGCACATGGATCTGATTTGTTAGGATAATTACTTTCGTTCAAAATGAAAACTCGGGGTTGTTATGTTCTCTTATTATAATAAATAAGATGGACAAAATATGTAGTACTGGTTTAGTTTTATTTCACTTCTCATAGATGGCGTTCTATACTGAACGAAAAGACAGGTCAGCAGGTACAGTAAAAGTAAATAAACCCGGGAGCTACAGAGTGCGCACTTATTACACATATCATGACATCTCCCTTTTAAGATTTTTACTTTAAACAATCTTTCACATAATACACAAAGTAAATATAGCAAGTTATCATGATTAACTACTTATTTTAATACTGAAAATGACTTATCACTCATAAACAGTTTAGAATGTCTCATCTCTCACAAGATATTTTAAATGTCTTATACCTAATATTTTAAGAGTTTTTATATCTTGCTGGTTTAGATACTGTGATACCACTTCTGGATCTAGTTTGAATTGGTGACCTGAAAGTAGGGGTAATACTTTCCTTTACAGGAGAACTGACTTGGTCACTACCTTCAGATGACAATTCATTCTGAATAGAACTTGGAGAAATAGGAGTCACTTGATGATTGTTATTTTGAACATTACTACTGCTAGTATCTGGATACTCAAAATCATCTTTGATATGCACTTGGACATTAGGCTTATGTTCAGTTTTCATCAAATGTCTCTGATTCCTTCTATACACACCACCTTGATGTTCAACAATGAAAGATCTTGGAGCTTTGTCTGTACTTAGGATTTTACCTGGTGAGCTCCAAAGTTTCTCAGTGTCCAACTTCATTCTAACATGATCTCCAGTTTTCAGTGTAGGAACATGATTTAAAGCAGTTTTGTTATACTGTTTTGCTACTTGAGCTTTGTACTCAGCATCATGTTGCTTCACTGCGGAATGATCAACTACACTTGAGTTAAGTTTATGAGGAACTATAGGCAAAGTAGTCTGAATTTCTCTACCATACAATAACTTTGCAGGACTGACCCCAGTGGCTACAGATGGAGTTGCACGATGAGCTAGTAGAGATAATGACGGATTTTCCGAACGAAGAATCTTCTTAGCCGCTTTAACCGCGCGTTCTGCCATACCATTTGATTGATGAAAATGGGGACTACTTGTCACATGATTAAACCCATATTCCTTAACAAACTCTTGAAATTCAGAACTTGTGAACTGTGGTCCATTATCAGTAAACAATGTTTCACAAATTCCAAATCTGGCAAACATAGACTTTAGTCTCTCAATGATTTTTCTTGCTGTGACACTACTTGGTACATGCACAATTTCTAAAAATCTTGAATAGTAATCTATCACAACAAGATACTGTTTCCTCATATACTCGCACATATCTGCTGCAATTTTCTCCCATGGCCTATCAGGTAATGGAGTACTAATTAATGTTTGATTTTGCTTAGTAGGCTTGTACTTTTGACAATGATCACAACTACTAACTTTCTGTTTTATCATGTTGCTCATACCTGGCCACCAGACACATGAATTTGCTCTCTCTCTACACTTACGAAGACCAAAATGACCTTGATCATGTATCTTATTTAGAATCTCACTGCGATAACTCTTTGGAATGACTATTTGATCACCATAAAGTAGGATACCATTGGCTATGCTGAAATTGCCTCTATACTCATAATATGGTAACACATTCTCAGGTATATCATTTCTTGGCCAACCCTGTACAGTGAATTCAATAACTTTCTGGATATCTTCATCCTTCTCAGACAACAATCTCAAATTCTCGAGACGAACACTAGAAATAGGCAAATTGAGGACTGAAGATGACACATTTTGCTCAATCTCATGAATCTCAATTTCCTCTTTTGAATCTAATTGACATGGCAATGGTTTCCTTGATAACAAATCAGCAACTACCAACTCTTTACCAGGTCTATGAATTGCAATGAAATTAAATCTCATCATTCTAATCAATAACCTTTGAATACGTAGAGGAACCCTATCTGGTCTTTCTCATTAAACAGAGGTATCATTGGTTTGTGATCTGTATGTGGGATAAATCTATCGAGACCAACTAAAAATCTGTCTAACTTCTCACATGTCCACACACTTGCCAAACACTCTTTTTCAATTTGAGCATATCTTCTTTCACAATCAGACAATGTACGTGACACAAAAGCTACAGGTTTCCACTGATCATTAGTTTTCTGCATGAGACAACCTCCAATGCCATAAGAACTTGCATCTGAACTAACCATTGTTGGCTTTGTAACATCATACATTTGTAAAGTTGGAGCATTTGAAATCTCGCTTTTTATCTCATTAAAAGCTTTCTCTTGGGCTTGATCCCACCACTGCCACCATGTTATGTTCTCTTATTATAATAAATAAGATGGACAAAATATGTAGTACTGGTTTAGTTTTATTTCACTTCTCATAGATGGCGTTCTATACTGAACGAAAAGACAGGTCAGCAGGTACAGTAAAAGTAAATAAACCCGGGAGCTACAGAGTGCGCACTTATTACACATATCATGACAGGGGTTTGGCAAAAAGTCTCCTGCCATTCCTAGATCAGCGCAGCGGCCATCTTAGAAAAATATTTTGTTGCGTAAAATTATTTACCAAATTTTTCCATCAAACATGTAGGAAGTCAATCAGATCGTATTTGAATCGTCTCGAAACGTATAAACATAAAAATTGCTTGGAGATGGTTAACTTGTGTAGCCCCCATTTCAATGCCTTTTGCCCCTGTTTATATCAATATAAAATGTGTTTTCTATATGAGGGAAGTCTGTTCTTTGAAACGTTACAATCATTTTTGTAAAAAAGTACCGCTCATTTTCTAGAGCCCTAATGAAAATAAGATCAGGGACCATATAAGATGTCTGAGAGTTTGCCAAATTCAATTGGGGTTAGATACGTTAATTATAAAACCGGTTTTATGTGAACGATATGACCAAAGGATGGGCCTTACATTGGCAATGAGCCTATAGTTGATCAATTGATGGCAACAAATGGCGAATATTGTCCTATGATTACATATACCGGTTGAAAATAAAGGAACTGTGCGCTTTAGGATTTGACCTGAAAAAATTGCCAATTTTTGTAAACAAGTGGTTGGCAACGTTTTTTGTCAAAAGGAAGTTCCATCTTTGTCCATTTATGAGTGATAATGAAATGGCAGCCAAAATACTTCCTTTGACAACACTTCAGTCGTTTTAACTGCAAATCAAAATTTAACGAGATAAAGTGTAAATACGACATGGCTTGATTAGATGACAAAATATTTTGATCAATCCGAAACCCAAGTCTGTACCCTGAGGTGGTATCAAAGTGCATGCTAAGGCTAGACAAAAGTTTAAATAACAGAAACGTTGTTTAATACATGTAGGTATCATTAAAAATATGATTTAACTCTTATACCTTCACGGCACGAATTTAATTCCATCCACCCCCTTTGGCTCATCTATTTCATGGCCCCGGTCCGATTTCGGGTAGCGCAATTTGTAATACCTTGCGTAATTAACTTCACTATTTTTTATTTGCTTATTTTATTTATTTATTTTTTTTTTGGGGGGGGGGGTTCTAGAATAGAATGGTAGCATCCAAGATGTGGTTTTACTGTACTTTTTCGTTTTGCTTTCCAGATTAAAATGGCACAATCCAAGAGTTCTCGAGCGATATGGTTTGCATTCCTAATCATTGGTGTAACGCATATTAACGGTAAGAAATTCAAATATTATTTTCTTTGCTAAAAATCAGAAAATGAGGTTCAACGGAGTTCTTTTTAACCCATTTGAAAATATAGAGTTGTATGGATATTTCATTATTTTTTTTGAAACGTAAGGGTTTTAGTTGCAATACATTGTGTAGAAATGTGAAGACAGTTGGTGCAGAATTGACAAAATGCCAAGACCAATCCTGTTAGTTTTGGAACACCCTGTATAGTCATTCATTTATGCAACTTTTGTAAAAAACAAACACTATGCTTACATGTATTTTGTCAAATTTTTGCGGAGGCAAATTTACTTTTTGCTTAATTTATGCCAAATTCACTTGAAAGTTGCTAAATCTGCTTAAATGTTGTTAAATTTGCTTAGATGTGTGAAAATATGTACTTTGTTCTGAGTTGGCATAAGGCAAATATATCTTGTAATTAAACATTATATATGACGTTAGTTTTGTTATGTAATAATATCAAAGGGGAACATTATCTGGGGAATATGGGGAATGTCCTACATGACTTATACGAATTGGGACATTAACAGCAGTTACTATAAAAACAGCCATTTGTAGAATTAAGCAGCCTTGTAATTAAATTATGATCATTTATTCAAAAGGAAACTAATTCTAAACTTCGCAAACATTACTCTGTCCCGCTAAAGCGTTACTGAGGTTACTATAGCAGCCATATCTTCAGAAATATTTGTTACCAACATATAAAATTGTTATTGGTTACTCTAAAAAAATGTGCAAAATGAATGATAACTTTTAGGTTTGATCATTTTTATCAGGAATCCTGGATCGGCCCTTGTATACCTGATATTGCTCTGACCATGGTAATATAATTATAATATATTCGTGTACAGTAAGGTGACATGCACAAATACAGTATTGTTTCTGTCTCAATCATAAACATTGTAACATCGTCTCCCTCGCATTTAACAAACGTTTTATTTCATAACAATTAAAACCAACATCAAATTTTGTTTCAGGTTTAAAAGTAGTCACTGTATGTGATGATCCTGTGAAGAACATATGTAGCAGTAACGGAATCTGTATCGCGAATTTCAACACTGTTAGCTGTATTTGCAAATATGGATTTATAGGGGATGGAATAACATGTAAAGTATTATTTATGTTTCCATAATATAACACAGTAAAGGTAACATGCACAAGTACAAAATCGTTTCTGTCCCAATCTCAAATTTATAAGGTAACATTGAGAATTTAAGGGCAACAAACACACAATATTTAAACAATTAAAAGATGAAGTTTATTTAAATCAAAAATTAAAAATATTTGAAAAAATCAATTTTTTGAAAAAAAGAAATTTTTGAAAAAATGATATTTTGAACAAGGAAAGGACCACGAGTTGTTTGTAGAATGAATCTGGGTAGCTGTTGACAAATGATTTAAAATTTTTTTTATTTAAATTTACCCGGATTCCTTATACCATCCACATAATCCTAATATCATCCCTGTCCTAAATATGTGATTTATCACTTGCTATTATATAAGTGATTTTGTTCTGACCATGGTTATGTTTACTATATACTCGTACAGTAAAGGTAACATGCACAAATACAGTATTGTTTCTGTCTCAATCTCACATAAACATTGTTACATCGTCTCCCTCGCACTGTAGAACTTATTTAGCTATAACGCAGTCTGTATCTCTGCTGCGGGTGGAGTTATTAACTGTGTATGCAAATTGGGATTTGAAGGAATTTATGGAAAGTAGTATTTATATCACTATCAATGTTTCCATAATATTTAACACAGTAAATGTAACATACACAAGAACAAATCGGTTCTGTCTCAATCTCATATCGACAATGTTACTTTGTCTACCTCGTAGCCGGTAAATGTCCAAAGACTCAATATTAAATTATATTTCAGGTGTGCCAAATCCATGTACTGATCCTGTGCTGAACAACTGTGACGATAATGCAAAATGTACCCCTGGTTTAGACGAAGCTGTTAATTGTACTTGCAAAACTGGATATGAAGGGAACGGGACATCATGTAAAGTATTACCTATCAGAATCAAACATGTAATGAAAAACAATTCGTAGACGGCTGTCACGTCATTAAAAGACGAGGGGTAGCCGAGGCCGTAGTTTACACTGGGCTATTCAACTTTAAACTTTGATTTCGTTTGTATTGACTATTTAACTATTGATGCATCTTCTATACCACACTGGTTTTTAAAAGCTTGCCAAGTGTCGATTTTCAAAAACAATGAACACTTGTTTTTGTTACATTTGTTACATACATACATGTATGTAGTGTAACATGCACAAGTAAAAAAAAGTGGATTATTGCGCAGATCCTGTGCTGAACAACTGTGACGTTAATGCAGAATGTGCAAACAAAAACGGAGGTGTTAGTTGCACGTGTTTGCCTGGTTACCAAGGAAACGGTACAGATTGCAAGATGGGTAAGCACTGTTATTGTTCTTTATTCAATTTTCTAACATGCAAATGATACTGTTCTACTACTCTTAGCACTACTCTATCTAGTAATATTAACCATAGGCATTTAGTGTATTTATCCTAAGATGCATTGCTACTTATATCCTTAGGGACCTGCTACATCTCGGTCGTGATTTCTAATATACAGGGCGTTCATAAAGTTCTTGCTAAAGTACTCTAATTTTTTTGTTTCTCAATCAATCTGGCTGAAATTTCCACTCAGTATACCTACACTATTTATGCATTTGAATCTTGAATTATAATGAACAAGTTCTTGAAGAAAAAAGTTATAATTTCATTGTGTATAAACATCAAGTGCTTTGCTACATCTATAGGACTGTTCGTGAGCTGATGAAGTGGGATGGAGCTTTGGGTAGTATAAGCTTGGCTGTCTCTGTCGTCAGGCTTGTGACTGACCTTTGGCTGGTTTAAGATCTTTGATGGTACCAACACTCCCATTCCAGAGACTGAAGCTTTGGGACATTTCATTTGGTGGTTGAAGAATGATGGAAACTTCTTCGTTCTATTGGTGGTGGGTCCATTTGTCACGTCTTCGTATCCAGAGCCACCTGGAGCACGATTCTGAAACTGCTCCAATTTCTCTCATTGCTCGTCTGAGTTGGCTAGAATGTACCCCAATGTCTTTGAACAATGAGCGTAGAGACAAAGCTGGGAAGCCCCTGCATCCTACTTCTACAGGGTATAGTCTTGCTTGCCATCCTTTGCTCTGGGCTTCATGGATTAGATCTTGGTATTTGTTGTACTTGAGTTGGTGGGATATGTCTATTCTTTCCTCCCATGGTACTGTAAGTTCTATCACTAGTATGGTCTTAGAACTTTCAGAGAGAAGTAGCATGTCGGGACGTAGTGTTGTTGCTACTATGTTCTGAGGAAAGACTAATTTCTTATCCAGGTCAACATGCAATTTCCAATCAGAGGCCTTAGACAGTGATGAGAGAGGAATTGATGGGTCTGTATTCTTAGTCCTTGGAGTTGGTTGTTTTCCCTCCAGTTGAAATGCTGGAAATATGGGGACCAGTTGCTTGTTGTGTGTTCTAGCTTTGTCAACCCATTCAGCAATTTTCTGTAGGACTTTGTCGTGTCGCCATTTGTACCGGCCTTCACTCAGTGCTGTCTTGCAGCTGCTCAGGATGTGGGTTAGGGTACATCTGGGTCTTTTGCATAGAAAGCATGTGTTGTCATCTTCAAGGCCCCATGTGCTTAGGTTCGTTGGAGTTGGTAAAAGGTCAGTAAAGGCGCGCAATATAAAGCTGAGGCTTGCTTGGTCAACTGTCCAAAGATCTTTCCATGTAGGAGACCTTTCCAGATTGATTCCCGTTGGGTCCAGTTTCCCTGCTTGGAAAGCCCCACTGCTTTTACAAGGCGTTCTTCTTCCTGCGCTTTACGTGTTTGCTTTACCAGGCAGTCTTTCTTTGCCTTTGGAGTCTTTTCTAATAGCTTGGAACCATAATTGCCTAAGCCTAATCGACCTTGGCAAACAACTCCAACTATCTGCTCATGTCGCTCCCGTTCTTCAGCTTCTGCTATTGCTTGTTGAGGTTTCCATTTCCTTCCAGTTGATATTGATTCTCCTGAGGAAAGGACCTTAGGATCTTTGGACATTCGAAGGGTTGTAATGGCCCTGACTTTGGCCACCTTGAATTCCTCCACCAGTGAAGAAATTGGGAGGGACAACTTTGAAGATGTGCTGTAAAGGTTACAGGAGCTGAAGCTTGGAGGTTCTCCTAACCATTTCCTCAAAAATCTGTTGCACAACCTTTCCATGGAATTGACAAGGGATAGAGGGAATTCATTCAAGGAGAAAGGCTATTGTAATCGGGGGATTACTCCAAACTGGAAACACCATACCTTGAATTTACCTAGGAGGTGACTCTTGTTAATAGTTTCCATCCATCTTTCTAGTTCCTTGAAGACTTCCTTAGTGGTGTTGCTATCCTTTAAAGTCTCGTCATAAACTTTCCCTAAGCACTTTATGCGTTCATCTTGGATGGATGGGATAGCTGCTCCTTGGATGTTGAAAGTGTGTCTTTGGGTTGTCCCTTGACGATGGTCATGCTGCGTGATTTCTTAGGCTTAAACTGCATGCGGGACCATGTAGCCATTTCCTCGAGACTTGTAAGAATCCACCGCATGCCAGGGATAGACTGCGTCATGACTGTGATATCATCCATGAATGCCCTGCAGCATGGGTGTCTAGTGCCATCGGTACATCTCGGTCGTGATTTCTAATATACAGGGCGTTCATAAAGTTCTTGCTAAAGTACTCTATTTTTTTGTTTCTCAATTAATCTGGCTGAAATTTTCACTCAGTATACCTACACTATTTATGCATTTGAATCTTGAATTATAATGAACAAGTTCCTGAAGAAAAAAGTTATAATTGCTATAGTAACACGAGTCAGGGGCAGGCGGAGCAGCATTGAAAAAAATAGATGAAAGATATGGGTTCGAGGTAATTTTAACATACTTAAAAGTATCCTGGAAAATACAAAACAAGCTGATGTTGCCATGTCAACCCTAGATGATGTCATTTGATGACATCATGGTTGAAATTTCTTTGATTCATGATATCATTCATATATTTTTGTGGATGTGACAATTGTTCAATTTAAAAAGTGCTACAAGGCAGCATCTAATTGTTTTCAGCATTAGCCTATGGAGCTTGAGTAACGCCAACTTTCTACCATATTCAGACAATAGATCATAATTGTGAAAGTAGGGCTTAATATTGATAATCAGTTCTAGGTTTTAAAGTCCACAAAAGACCGTAATTCCCATTGGAATTCCAATTACAGATTTTAAAGTCCGGGACTTTCATACCAAGTATTTTAAAACCAGGAAACAGTCAAAACTTTCACACCGACAGTAGTATCATAGTTAATTGAATTATGTACCCCTCATGGAATAAGAAACCTGAACACTTAACGCCTACCCTTTAATTTTGTCTTTGAAATAAGCTTAAGGTAAGGAATTACATGCATTGTCGAACTCATTGGTTTGGTAAGCGCTCCTGAAACTATGATCTTGAAATGCTCACGGTATGATTTCTATTTTTTAGCTCCGTGCAACGAGGGCGTTGCTATCCCCTGGAACGGAGGATTCCAGTGTTTGTGTCCTCCAAACAAGAAAGGGCTGAACTGCAGCGAAGGTAAGATTCTGAATGCCGTTTCTCCCTTATGAGAGCCTTTTTACGTGTTTTCGGCCATTTTTAGGGCCAAAGTTGTCAAAGATTTTTGAAACTGTGCAACCCCTCCACACTTGGAAAATCCGGTCTATGGGCCTGAGATAGACCTTTCTAATAAACTCTGTCGCACCTTGTGATATTCCAAAAGACGCTAGAATGTAATGACTAGATTTTATGATGTCATAGGTTATAGGTTATAACATCTGACATCATCATATGACATCTTCAACCCAGCCAACATATCATAATTGCTACGATGTACCAAAATGAGCAGGATTTTACAATATATACAAGAGCTGCTTAATTTAAGTCATTACCTAAATGCGACATTCCATTCTTTTTAGCTTGACAATTCAATTACACAAATATTTTATTTTTCAGACGTACCTGATTCCAACACCAACTGCTCATGGCCTTCAAATGGTAAGAGCATTGTACAGTTTTGAAAAAGAAAAAGTCAAAATCGTAGTTTCATTTTCTTGATTAACAACTCTGTAAAATAAAGTCACTTATATTATATTGTATACAATACAATACATCATCGGATTGTAGAAAATGATGTTAATTACTTTGCATGAACATGGCACATCAATAGTTTGCATATTAGACATTCGAACATGACTGTATTCACGGCTTCTATAAACTGTAAACAAAGTCAACATTTCACCCGGGTTATATTTGCGAACATTGCCCGTGGTAATACGTTTAATGTGTTACGTCATAACAGCGGGCCGTAGTAATGGCGGATATATAATGAATACTTGAAACATTTTGTTGAGTTTTCATGTGCGAATCGTAATATAGACTTCAGAGTAGGTGTAATATCGTCGACTATAACCCTTAGGGCTAGGCACAAACGTTTTCAGTGCCCTGAACGACCGAAGGAGGGAAGCCCTTACTTAGCCCTTAGTGGGAAGCCCTTAGGGCCCTAATATTATCCCTGCTCTTCGGTCTATATTTCTTAAGTTGAGAGCCTGCACAATGCGGCCGAAGGTGTCAAATATATAGATTGTATCCCTATTGACGTTAGTAGATGCTTCATAAACCTGTAAACTGTGGGTGGTGAATGGCTTATAGAGACACATCCTAGCTAGGTAGATCATTGACTACTATTCGAACATAACTGTACGCCTTCTGTATAAACTGTGAACAAAGTCAATATTTAACCCGGGGTATATTCACGAACAATACCCTTCGTTATACGAATAACATGTGACGTCATAACGGCGGCCCGTATCGTACTAGCGAACTTTTCATGTTCCAATCGCAATATAAACCTCAGAACATGGGCAATATCGTCGAATACACCTCTTAGGGCTAGGCACAACAGCATTCGAACCCATCACTTCCTACGATCGCTCGGGGTAAAGAAAGCGTTTGTGCTTAGCCATGTGGGATGTATTTAACAATATTACCTCTGCTCTTCGGTCTAAATTTCTTAATTATGAATTTTGCAAGTGATTTTAGTTGTTGTTTTTTCATGTAGAAGACGCATGCAGCTCGAGCCCATGCCATGGCAAGAAGGCCGTATGTATTAACACATTCGGGGGAAATTTCAAATGTCTTTGCGAGCCGGGAAAGGAAGGAGATCGGTGTGACCAAGGTACGATCCACTTTTGATAATTGCGTCTGTATCTTCTTGACAGGTATGGAAACCTGTTTCTTTAAATTTGGATGATTTGTAAAACATTATCTTGTGAAACAGAATCAACTATTATACCACTGACATATTCCTTACTTTCTGATTGGTCCATGCCCTTCACGTGACAAAAATAAGAGGCAATATCCAACGAAAGTCATGTGACACTGTCATGATTAATTAGACATCAATATTTTGCTATTCCATTAATGTGAGTGAGGAATATAACTGTGTATAATAAAACAAATATTTGATTGCATTCATTGTATTAGAGTCAACCGAACTATCCGCACATTTTTATTCATATACAGTACTTGTGTGTATAAACCATAATAAAATTAATATATTTATATAGCTTACATGCACAAGTCATGATTTTAATCTTGATCTACGTACTGTGTTCGAAATAAATTTCTTTGAAATTCCAAGGAGCATAATTAAGTACCACAAATTATCAACAAATTAATTTTAAAAAAATTATTTTTATTTATTGGTTATGTCCACTGGTCTTGAAGTTTCCATATCATGACTATATTATCAGCACTTATCAAACGTCTTAGCATATCAAATTGTATAATTCACGAAATCTTATGTATTTATTTCTAACGTTGTTTTATTTATCCAGGTTCCCACTGCTTCCCTTGCTTCAGTGTACGATGGAGAAACGTAACGTGCTCCGTTTACGACGACGCTCAGTTCATGCGATCAATGCGCTTAAAGGCCACTGTGGTTGACAGGCAGATGTCCAGGTGAGACTGAATGACGTCATGTATAGTTAGTTATTTTTATTTCAGATTTTAAATTCATATGATTCATCACAGCATCAGGCAGATGTCCAGGTGAGGCTGGATGACGTCAAATAGTTATTTATTCTTGGTTTAAATTTTTAGTGTGTTTAGTGAAATCTTCCATTGATATGATTAATCAGGCCTGTACAAGTATGCCCAAGGGCCAAAGGGAAAGGACAAAACTTTAAACAGAACACAAACATGGGAAAACCGTTCAGAGTTCTTTCAACCCCAAAAAGAGATTCAGATATTTCAATTTCTAGATTTTAGGTCAAAATATGAAATTTAATTCGTCAGTTATTTTTCCATATATTAAGGGGGGTTTGATCACACCCCTTGTGCATGATATGCGAACGTAATTCCCGGAACCTACCTGCTCACAAATCAACTGTATTTAGTGTTCGGCTTTTATCGTATAATGTTCTGTTAACTGATCTGTACGTTTCTATTTGCAGAACAAAGTGTACTGAGGACAAATGGGGCTTTGATCAAAACACGGGAGATATGTGGGTGGCTCGTGGATGTAGAGCAAGGTTCTGTGTAGACTTTGAAGCAAAGCCAATGATGCGTTGAGGCTATCCAGATGGCTACATGCAATGCACTTTAAGTCATGTATATTGTTTCTTTGTATATCCATACACATGCTTGTCTAAGAATAAATTGTATGGTCCCATAGGATTTAGGCCCTTTATTGTTGTTCACAATGGGACCATTTTTCGGAAAAGATCGATCAAATACACGAGCTTGACGGCTGAGTAAGCAGTGTGCAACCATGATGTTATGCATATGAACATTATGCCTACTTTATTTTGGATTATGTACATTTACTGAAAGATATGCTCAGTTAATAAGTGGGGCAATTGACTCTTTCTTTGAATAACATTGAAATTAAATGGGCATATTGTTCCATTACGCGTTTCTTCCAGAATAATTAAGATTTAACAATTTTTTTCTTGGTGTGAACTTTCACAAGAATATTGTGAATTTAAGCTATAGTATTGGTTGTTTTAAAATCGCGCCACGCTTTTTCAAGACATTTTAGATTTTAAAATATTCCGGCTAAACGTCATTGAAATTTGAATTTTTAAAATAAGATGCATTGAGAGTAAGCTGCCACAAAAACGTTAACTGAGCAACTCTTAAAATTGATTTTTTAATTAGGGGCTAAGATGAAGAAATGTAATAGGGTGACCCCCAAAATGCGACTATTTTGGAATAATAATAAATTATAAGAATAACAATTATAAGCATTTTTTGTCATCCCGATAAATGGAAATTGATTGTTTTACTAATATTTGTAGATATATCATGGAGCATAGAAACCCTCCTTTTTTGTAATGGTTCATTTATAGCCAACGAGATCTCTCGTATTTGTATGCGTAAATGACGCTACGCCAGTATGTTATAAAAATATTATTGTATTCTAAGAGTGTTACTTTCGTCAACATTCCTTATATGGAAAAGAGGCGGTCTTAAAGAGAGAATCAGAGCAGTGAACAAAAAATTGATTCAATTTAAAAAAAATTCTGGGTTATGTCATTCCTTTCATGTCTATTTTCTAAAAATCCCCAAAGTGCAAACTTTATTTTAGGAAAACGAAAGATTTTTACAATTATGTGTTATTTTCTATAAGAATGGTTACCATTCTTATTATTTGGGAGAATTTACACATATTTCACCCATTTTTGCACCTTGAATCCATTTAACTTCACCACAATTTATTATATATCAAAGATCTTTTGAGAGATTTTGTATTTGAGATTTTAAGGAACAGATTGGTAGGTCAATTGAACATGATGCTTGTAATTTTGTCACCCCCATAGGTCTGATTCTGCCTTTACACTCTTTTAAATCTAGTTAAGAGCATCTTTTCAGCTTAGAATCACTTTTCAGACATTTTTGGTTTAGGCAACACTAGAGAGGTTAAGCTACACGTATTTAACAAAACTCGAACGTGAACTTCAAAGCGCGCGCAGATAAATGACGTCAGATTTATTTATTTCCTTTGGGCCAACGTGAAGTTTACAGGTTTTTACATGAGATTTATCATATTCGTGCAATTTACAGACGCGTATTCAAACAAAGCATGAACGTGTACTTCTATGCGCGCGCAGGAAAATGACGTCAGATTAGTCTACTTTCTATAGGTAAGCGTGAAAGTTACAGGTTTTTTACGTGTATATGAGTGATTACATGTCGCTCAATACGTGATTGATTTTAGCTATGTTCTAGTATGGCCCGGGAGCCCATATTTGATACAGACAATCTTGCTTGTTACATTGGTAAACCCCAATCCTTACCCCCCCCCTTCACACCAAACTAGTTCTTACCCGTTCTTGCCAGTCCTAGGAAAACGTCGTCAAACGGGCTCAATCTGGCTGTGGTCGGGAAATATGTCTGAAATAATTAGCTTCTTCGTTCTTAAACAGTCTTCAATACGTCCATCTCGTTCGCAGTTCGTTCAGGTCGCACCACGTCGGAGTGCAACGTCGTAGAACGCGTCCCTTAGTCTAGAAGGTCAACATGACCTGATTACAGAACGGTATGGTCGTCATCGAATTTTGAATCGATTCAAAATTCTAAAATCACATTCCCGTCTGAGAACGTTCATAAAGTTCGTAAATAGACCTTAGAAAGTTGCTGCTACGTTCATTCCGTTCGCACACAGTTTAAAACCAGTTTTGAAGAACGCAGTGGCAACTTGTTTGGTGTGATAGCTATATTTTTGCTAACTCGTTCATAAGCAGTGTTAAATACGTTCTTTATCAGTTTAAACCCGTTTGCAATAAGTTCTACCTCGTTCTCAACACGTCCGCAGACAGTTCAACTCGTTGTTAAAACGTCCCTAGTAGGATTGAAGTACGACGGTTCCGTTCGTAGTACGTCCAGCTCGTCGTTAGTACGTTGTCACTCGTTCTAATTGTAGAACGTGACGACCACGAGAACATTTTGAGCATTGTCTAAGTTCTAGAGGACCTAACCGTTCGAGTACGTTCGATGAAGTTTGTAAATAGATCCCAAACGGTTCTTAGTAGGTCCAGTCCGTTCGTATACAGTTGAAGCCCGTTTTCGAGAACGCAGTGAGAACTAGTTTGGTGTGATAGTAGGGTTAATTGGAAATAATAATACATATTAATGGGTAAATGACAACTTCAAATGTGATAGTTTGTTCATTCCGTACGATATAAAAAGGCATGGCCAATTTGATAGCCGGAGCTTAGTACAATATGTATACTAAAAGAAATGAAATGACAACCAGGGCAAGAAAGGATCTAGTGCGCTCTCCATTATGATCTCCCCATGAACAAAAATAAATTCATGTGATTTTTCAAAATAAATATACTGCTTTTATTATTACATTTATATGTACACTAGTATCTTGTTGACCTATATTCAGCACTGTATTGATGAATGGGCCACTTATTTGGGCCAATATTCTATCATAAAGTGTACAGGGGTAGAGATGCCAAACCAGGAAGTCTTTTTGTGTCTGTCAAAATCCATTTGCATCCTACACATCCCTACATCTTATCCAAATATGTTATTAATTAATGAAACAAAACAGTATAATCTTTGAATTTACAAAGTTGTATGGGATTTCATAAGTGTAAAAGTTGCTTTTGAAGCATTTTTCTATAGCCATTTTGTAGGAAAAAATGATGAAAATATGTATAATCTTTTAATTTGAAGTATAACCTGAATCGATTGCAAACTTTATATTTGCACATCTGATGTGATATACCATTAGTGTCATATTGTGAAGTCGTTTATTTAATTTGCAATCGATTCAGGTCATAGTGTATTTCAGGTATTTTTGTGAAAATCAATAGAAACCAATGGCCTCCATTTGAACCTGTTGGTATCCACGTGTTAAGTCAATAGAACACATCCAATGTCAAGTCAATATACCCTTGCTGAACTTAATGACCTCAACCTCAGCCCATGTGGGTCCAAACGCTTAAATATTTTCCAAAGTTTTATGTTACATTGTATTCTTCATGTTACACCTAAAATGATTCATTTTGTTCATGGGGAAATCATAATGGAAATGTGCACTGAACTCTTTAATTGTGGTAGAATATGAAATAAAGCAAAAGTAAAAAAAAAAGTTTTAATGCGACTAGATTCGAATCAAGGCCTAACGGACTTGAGTCCGAAGTGCTATCCATTACACCATAGAGACATGACCTTAACAAACAGTCACCACATAATATAGCTCCACGTCCACTGACATGGTTTCAGACATGTAGCTTAACAGAAAATTTTCTTAAACGTGTACTTGAGCGTGACTTACGCGTTCAGGTTCATGGTTTGCATTTATACGTGTAGCTTAACCTCTCTATTAACTTCTCATTTAGATATAATCTTCGAAACTACTGTATGTTACTGATTATCAAAATTTTAAATTATATTAAAACCATCAGTATAGATAGGTCAGTATAGATGGCAGTTAGCAAACAGGTTTATGTAAACAAAGGCTCTGGCAAAATATCAGTCTATGCAAATAGGCCGTTACTAACGATTTATGTGGATATATAAGTACATGGATTTATTTAGAAGACTTTCGGATTATATAAACCATATAAAATAACTCTTTATCGACATTAATTCACTCAGAAAGATCTAAGCGTTTTCCTGGGACCACCAAAGATGGCGACTTTTGGTGGGTACCCAGCCTGCCTAGTTGACATGAATAATTTGGACATATGTGTATTTCGCCTACTGACAATCGTAGAATGTAAACCAAGGCACTAGGTAACTGATGTGTGATGCCCCCCCCCGATCTAACTCTCTACTGAACAATGACCAAAATTTCATCTTTTGTCCACAGAACTTTTCTCCGGCTTGTTGGACACCCCACCAGTAGCTCCAAGAGATTCAAGTAAAAATTGAGACGTGTTCACATGTAGCTCATGATCAGAGACGTCAGTTAATGACATGTTTGGTTTTTGTGAGTTCATATTTAAAAAGTGCAAACTATTTTTTACAGTCCTTAAGGTGGTACGTGCCAAAATTTAAAACTGCGCAGGCGCAGCGCTCTCGCCAACCTATATAAAGAGATTACAGGGTACAGGCTTCAGAGGTAAGCCAGGAAGGTGTACAACTATAGTCCCGTGTTGATTTCCCGTATAATCGTAACCAGGCAAGTTTCAACATTGGAATTGAAAATAACTATTAGATATACTATTAGATGTTTATATTTAGAGGTTATGTCACTATGACGTGAAATATGCCTGAGTTCTCCCAATATAGGCCGACCTTGGGAGGCTCTATATTTGGGCAAGAACGAAGGCATATTTCACGTCATAGTGACATAACTGATGTATTACATGCCTTTGTTCCCATGGTTACTTTGTATCAATGACGTGACGTCATGATATTATCATGGTTATTAAAGAAATCTAATATCAAAACGAGGTAAGCGGGCTATATCGGGGTAATCGGGCAATATCGGTGGATATAGCTCGCTAACTTTCCCATTGACTTCCATACAAATGCTTCGCTAGGTATGTAATACATGAAGGTATTAAGTGTATGCATCAATCAAATGACTCATTTTGAACATATAAAAAGTATTTGTGTTTTGTTTCCCAGGGAATTGTATTTCCATGTAGTATACACATAAATAGTGTACATTATGTTGTACTTCAATAGCCTGGCTTATATAATATTGAATGGCATGCTAATTGTACTTAGAGGTTATGTCACTATGACGTGAAATATGCCTGAGTTCTCCCAATATAGGCCGACCTTGGGAGGCTCTATATTTGGGCAAGAACGAAGGCATATTTCACGTCATAGTGACATAACTGATGTATTACATGCCTTTGTTCCCATGGTTACTTTGTATCAATGACGTGACGTCATGATATTATCATGGTTATTAAAGAAATCTAATATCAAAACGAGGTAAGCGGGCTATATCGGGGTAATCGGGCAATATCGGTGGATATAGCTCGCTAACTTTCCCATTGACTTCCATACAAATGCTTCGCTAGGTATGTAATACACACGAGTACATGCATGAAGGCCTAATATTGATATTGCTTGCATACATAAGTAAAAAATAAACTCTTCTAATCCCCTAATGTAAATACGGCGGTATACGTAGCCCGATTTATCGGGGGCTTTAAGGTGGTACTGTTTTTAAATATAGGATTTTTTCAATTTTTGTAAACCACATGGGCAGAAAACCAACTTATCCCCTTGTGAAATTGAGTTATAGAAAATGTAATAGTCAAAAGTTGAAATGAATAGAGAATAAATCTCTACAGAAATGTATTTTGACCTATCCACTGACTGTGATGTTAGCGCATGTCTGCAACAATCAGCAAAAGTCAGCAAATCAGGAGAAATAAACAGCAAACAACAACACAGCAAAATTAGAAGAAAAATACCACTGCCACCAATGTAGTCAAAGTCAAGAAGATTTGGTTAAACTGCATAAATTTCGTACAAGTTACATAATTTACACATTTGACATTTATTATAAAAATAAGACAATGAATTTCTATGATAATCTCACATACATAAAAGAAATACATAATATCTATGTCAAATGAAAGAGAATAATTTATAGAACAATTAGCAATGTATAAAAAGAGATAATATTTGAATGCAAAAAAGATAATTTGAATTGAAGATGAGCATTAAGTATGAGATTCTGAACAAGTGAAGTAGGCAAAAATGTCTACAGTACCTTCGGGAGTGAAAGGGCAACGTGCAGTATGGCAAGTGATTTTAGACAGTCATATCTTTCACCATGAGTACTTGCTGGCCACAAATTCAGTGGGTTTTATTAAAACAATATGTTGTGAAGTCCCCATGATACTAAAATATCAATCCAACTCTCTGAAAAATTATGGATTAGGACCCCACCTTGTCACTTTTTTGAAAAAAGTAAGGCTTATTTTCAAAAAAGAGGATCTCGTTTTTCTCAATTAAAACATATTAAAAGTCTCCTCTACATTAAATTAACAATTTCTGAAAAGGAGACGGGTATTTAAATGCATTATAAAGTTAAAAACTACATCCCATGTTATTATCCCATAGGAAAAACTCGTGCTATCCATTGTTTACAGCATAATTTTGGTCATGGAAAATGATATCTTCAAAACTAGACTTTCAATACTAATTTGATTTTTGAAGATGTTTTAGACCCCTTGTTAAATATTCTTGTCATGCAATAAAAATCAGAAAAGGGAGATCCTCTTTTGAGTAAATAGGTTCAATATTTTGAAATTTTGTTGGCATGGGGTCCCTATTCATAATTTTTCGAATTGTTTGATTGATATTTTTATCATCATGGGTACATCACTTGAAAGAAAACATTATGTTTTAATAAAGAGTATTTATGCCCAGAAAGTACTCATGGTGAAAGATATGACCGTCTAAAATCACTGGCCATACTGCACATGGCCTTTTCATATTTGTCCATTGCAAACATTTCTATACATTTTTTGGCATGTTTTTCAACTGATATTAAAATGCATAATATAAGACTAATTTAAAAAACTGTTGCAATTTTGGGGATGCTGTGTGGGCCTCTTATGAACCCATTTGCCTGGCCTAAACATGTATGTGACCTGAATTGAGTGAGTATAAAACCGGTTTATCATGAATAGAAATCTGTGTTCATGTAAGTTATATATTTCATTGTCAAGTTTTAAGGTGTTTCCCCTTTTTGTAATTTGGCACAAAAACATTGAATTTGAAGCAAGCTGGTCTTGGCCAGCAAATCATTAGACCATAATTTCCAGTTTGTTAAATCAGAAACATATATTTCACTTATTTTATTCTGTCCGGGTCCAGGATCATCCCTTATAACCAAAGTGACCCTCGTTAGACACTAGTATTTTATTTTCTGTTGTTAAGCAAGGAAGATTGGAAGCCGTTATTTAAACTCATACTCCGTTTCCTGGCGTACACCAATGTGGTATCGATATTACTCATATCTTGAATACTACAACTGCCAAGGAAGTTTGAATATTACTATTAATACTCGTAATGACCATCTCTTAACGAAATACTTGGTCAAAAGAAACCCTTATTAAAATATTTTTGCTGAATTGTTCCACTGCAGGCAACGAAGGATCGAGTTTGAAAATGGCTGCCAATCCTCATTGATGTTATAAGTGAGCTTAGTCAATCGTCACGAAAGAGAGTCATCGTACTGTTAAACAGGTAAAACCTGCTACTATTTCCCAAAGGTCAATGTCATGTTACCTCTTTGAATACTCACATATGAAATACTGCTATTTGAAAAAATAAAGAATATTTCCAATAGTACGCTAGGACTTGGACCACTAGATTCACCATTTCCGTTCAGTGATGAACTGCTATTAGTTTCCCATGTACACTGTAGATTCATGATTATAATAGACGATGACATCCTGTGGAAGTACGAATATCATACACAAGTCTATGTAAGTCATACAAGAGATTACATGGCATTTTAAAACCGGTTGTTATTCAATTTTAGATAACAATGTGGTCGAAATTGCCATGGGAAACTTTGAATAAATTAATCAAACTAATTAAACCAAATGAATTTAATATTTTATAGCAATAGTATAATGTTTCTAAGCAAATGATGTATATATTTTTATAGGAGTATGGTATGCTATCCAACTGAGAGCTAAAAATCTTTTTTTCAATACTAAACCAGCATGGAAGCTAATCTTTTTAACCAATCATAACGTTAAATTTACAATCTAAACACGGTGATGGTTACAGCCTACCAACGCTATATATAAAATTGCACAATTAATGTCATTGACTCATGCGGTAGGAGGCCGAGCGAAAACGAAATAAGGTAAGCGAAGTTTATTTGGTTTCTTAAATCGATGATAAAAACTAAAGAGGTTGTCCCATGGACAAAATAAAAGTTTAGAGCAAAATTAGTTACTCAGAAACTTGACACGGTTTTGCCCAAATATCATATACTTTTCACCATCTCTTGGAAGTTAATATTTTAACGTTAAAAGCCATGCATTGTAACTTTCAAACATATAGATAGAACAAACTTTAAACTATCCTGTTAGCAATCAACGTAATTTGGCTACTTTGACTTTGGTGCTGAATAATTCTGGAACTAGTTTTCTTCTTGTTGGCCTGGGTATTCAGGGGGAAAATCTGGACCCCTTTTGCTTAAAATAGGTTTAAAATAAAAAGTAATACCCAATGAGGCCAGTTTATTATCAAAATTGTTTATGTCGGGATGAACAGATTTTGGGCCCCTTAAATCTTTCGGACCGGCAAAAGAGGGGGCTAGATTTTCCAAGGGCCTATCAGTGTATTTGCTATTTTTGCTTTATTCTCTTTTACAGTAGTTTAATTTCCACTGCAATTTGTAGCATCTGCGGTAGTTGCGGTACGGAGAAAATAATTGGGATTGTTTACATAGTACTTTCAAATGATAATTTTTTGACGGCCAATCGTTTGTGTCATTCTATATTTCAATATAACATCCAATCGGTTTAATAATCCATTTGATTGATAAATGTATCTAAAAGGGAACGCATAAGGTACGGCGGCCGTATTTTGGCAAGCTATGACCAACGAACGGTTGGCGTCAAATATGACTGAAACGCTATCCCGGAAACATATTTAACGTTACTCAGGTTGAAGTCATTGTATAAAACACCTCTGTCTGCTTATGTAGCAATATTGTAGTATATATCGAGACACAAATATTCTATTTTTTCTATTTTGACAATCAAATCCTTTTCACAATTAATTCAAGGTCCAGTTTCAGAATCTTCTAATGCTTAATGGTAAAATTGATATTTTGATACGACAAAATTTTGGGTAATGGCAGGCATAGGTTGACTATCACTGTTTTGTACATCGATTACCCTCGATCAAGTATGGTCTTATATAGTGGGATGTTCACTGATACCCTAGCTTGTATAACAAGAATATATATTGGCTTATCCCACCCTAAGTGCTTTATATAATAGCATTGTATAACTGCAATATAAAACCAACACTCATCGTATACAACTCTTGAGAACGATATACAACTCCTGGATAGCGATAGCGTATACAACTCCTGGGCAGCGTATACAACTCTTTGACTTGATATGCAACTGCTGAATTTAGATTAACCTTTTATTGATTACATATTATGTTGGGATAATAAGATCATATAATGGTTGATTCTGTATATCGTTATACTCTCGTGAGTATATGATATATTCACTCGTTCCCTTCAGTCACTAGTGAATATATCATATACTCACTTGAGTATAAACACGATATACGGAATCAACCATTATATAATATCATATTATCCCTTGGATAATTATTATGTCTCGCGAATTGTTTTATCTTCAGGGAGACGATTTCAATATACTGGAATTTTCCAACTCCCCAAGTTTTTAAAAAATGACCAATCCAGGAGACTATAGTCTAAACCGGTTTTTTGGAAAGTTTTACGTAACACTTAATGGTTACTTGCCAATAGGCACATTGATTGACTTGGTCATTGTAATTTATTAACTGACCTGGTTGAAATGCATGTAGATGTCTAAAACTTTGCCAAAATCAACTGGAGATAGTTAGGTTGAACAAACTTCTTTTATGTAAACGGCATGACGAAGGATGGGCCTTATGCCTTGGTCACATTTGCTCCAATTTTCACTACGGCGCCCGGCCGATTGAGTATTTTGTTCAAAATTAAATACAATATTGAACAAAACACTCAATCGGCCGGGCGCCGGCCGATGGATCAGAGCATATGTGACCCAGGCATTACATTGGCAATGAACCTCGATGTAACGAACCTAGATATTGAGCAACTGACCTCTTTAGAAACAAACGATGATGAAGTTTGTCCTATGATTTCATTTATCGTTTGAAAGGATGGGATTGTGCGCCTTTTAGATCTGGCCTCCATTTTTTTCTGTAAAAAGTGCCGATTTTAACCAGACAATTGTATTCTTGGGTCAAAATATGTGAGATCCATTGCTTCAATAAGAAAGGGATGCTCATTAAAAGGTAGTTGGCAACGTTTCATGTCAAAGGGGAATTTTGGCCCTTAAAGTGGTAATGAAATTGAAGTCAGAATCCCTCCCAGTACCAGGCTTCTACTCTAAAACACAACAATACGAGTAGTCGTTTTAAATGCAAAGCTATCGTGATATTACTTTAAAATGCGATTCTATAAGATAAGGTTGTCAAATTCTGAAGTAATTCTGACTCAACTGTACCGGTATATGAGCCGGTATATGAGCGTTAAGATCATCGTTATATAATTTTTGAATAAGTTCAATTGTCTTCGTAAAACTTTATCAAGCAAGTGTTAAAAAAGGATACAAAATTACTTAAAAACGATGTGAAATATAAACGTACAATCAAAAACTACTTTTATTCATATTTTTATGTTTATATTTAAATTAAAGCAAAGAATGAGTCATTGCCAAACCAGGAAACAATACATTTCACTATCAGTTTCACTTATGATCATGTTATAACTTTGTGGGAATAGCGATGTATGTAACCGTTACATTCCTATTCCACATGCTATATGCTTTCTTTTTATTTCCATGACCGACACATAACCATACAGCTTACTTTGAATGATGTTGATGTTTCTCATTCCCACATTCCCTCATTGCTCACGCTGTGTGTTTTTTCATGATATTATATTTTGAGTGAATGCCGATTTATTAAAATTTGGCAGATTTAGGGCCCAAAAATTAGAAATAGAAAGAAAAACGTTCAAGATCACAGAAGCCCCCTAGAGATGTTGTGGATATAATCACCGACTGTGTACTAAATTAAACGTGACAGTTGAACGCGCAGTGTAAGTTACAACACGAGACTGGTGAAATATGAACAAATTATTTAATGTTAATCCTGATTTTAATGCCCATGATATGGTGTTCGGAAGATCTGTAAATAATGAAAACGCTTTGCTAAATAGGATGTCACTAGTAATCAAATATTACAAGGGCCGAGCAATATATTCGCTACTTTTTGCTCTCAAATTGTTAATAATAAAGTATCTTACCTGAAATTTTCCAAAATAATAGAAAAAACATTTTTCTGTAATATCACCAAATGTGCATTTACTTGGTTACATCCGTAATATTTTACATGGCATTGAATATTGGTTGATAGTGACCACCGGAGCTGACATTTGTGACAATGTTTCAGAAAACAACTTTTATACAAAATGTCCTTTTTGTGAGGTATATCCAGAATTATGGCAATGTCTATACTTTCTATACATTGTCTATACTTTCTATACTTTCGATCTCCTTTTTCATACTATCTACCTTCGACGTTTCTATACTTTCTATACTTTCGAACTGCTTTTTCATACCAACTGCCTTTGACAAATCAGATGTCTATAGTTTCTATACTTTCGAAATGCCCTTTCATACTAACTGCCTTTGACAAAGCAGATGTCTATAGTTTCTATACTTTCTATACTTTCGATCTGCTTTTCCCCATAACTGTCTTCTACAAATCAGATGTCTATAGTTTCTATAGTTTCTATACTTTCGATCTGCTTTTTCCTATAACTGTCTTAGACAAATCAGATGTCTATAGTTTCTATACTCTCTATACTTTCTATCTGCTATTTCCCAGAACTGACTTCGACATATCAAATGTCTATACTTTCTATACATTCGATCTGCTTTTTCCCATAACTGTCTTCGACAAATCAGATGTCTATAGTTTCTATACTTTCTATACTTTCGATCTGCTTTTCCCCATAACTGTCTTTGACAAATCAGATGTCTATAGATTCTATACTTTCTATCTGCTTTTCCCCATACATGTAAAGACGTTATTTATTAATGATCAGTGAAAATATGTGCCGATCGACGCAATGTCGGGTTATATATAACAAACGCAAATTGTACGAAACATTTCAAATATACAGTATTTTGAGCTGGCTTATATTTGTTAAAAGTCAATGTCTAATTAAAATACTGTGTTCGAAGAGTAGGATTATAAAGTATTTATACGTTTGGCGTACAATCTAAATGTACAGATATCAGACTAAAAAATAATCTGTCCCCATTGTAATTTACCCTGTCCCAAGTTATTGTGCCGATCGGCGCAACATTCGATGCACCGACAGAATTCCCCATTGCAACGATCGGTGCATCAATCGGTGCATCGAACGCGCCGATCGATGCACCGAAATGGGTGCATCGATGCACCGATGGATGCACCGAAGTTCTGCGCCGCGATGCATAATTATAAGATCTTCGGCAAGACCTGTACTGTAACTGTCTTCGACAAATCAGATGTCTATAGTTTCTATACTTTCTATACTTTCGATCTGCGTTTCCCCATAACTGTCTTCAGATGTCTACAGTTTCTATACTTTCTATCTGCTTTTCACAAAACTGTCTTTGACAAATTAGATGTCTATAGTTTCTATACTTTCTATCACATATTGTTTTACAATACATTGAGGCAATTCACCAAAATCGAAAGTGACCAAGAAACTTATGACGTCACATATTGTTTTACAATGTATAGAAAGTATCGAAAGTATAGACATAGGGATTTCACCAAAATGTAAAGTATAGAAAGTATCGAAAGTATAGATATAGGGAATTCACCAAAATCAAAAGTATAGACAGTATAGAAAGTATAGACATGTATAGACTTTAGAGAGTCCAATCGTCTAAGACTGAAAAAAGTATCATTTAAAAAAGCAGTTCGAAAGTATAGAAAGTATAGAATATGCCATCAT